AAACAAAAAAAAATCACCGCCATCATCATCATTGTGGATGTCCCCTTAGGGAGCTTTGACTACCGACTAAATGGACTCGATCATTCATTTCACTATATGATTAAGTAAGTAATAATCGCAAAGTCGAATTCTTGTCTATTGGTATTCTGTGTGTGTGTGTATATGTATATATTCCAGATTCTTGTATTTGCCTGAATGGTTTCATGACATGGCAATATGTCTGTATCATCTGTCAAATGTAAATTTTGAGCTAATTATTACATCCGCACACACACACACACACATTGACAAGCCAAATATACAGACACCAGATTTTTTTTTTGTTGGCCAAAGAATCAAAACTGACAATTGTTTTCACAATTCTTCTATTCTTAGAGAAAAAAAAATTCCATGTGTCATCACAATCGACAAAATAAAAATTTCAATAACAAGATCCAAATATGTCGGCATTTTTCGCCTCAATGTACAAATACATCCCTTTTTTCATGTTCATCCAAGCTGTGTGTGTGTGTGTGTGTGTGTGTGTGTGTGTGTGTGTGTGTGTGTGTGTGTGTGTATCGAATCGAATATATGATTATGGTTGCCGTTATTAAAAATCGATCAATCAATTTTTTTTTCTTAAAATGAAATCGAAAAAAAGCCAATATTGCTAAACCAGCATATATATATTAATGTTGATGGTGGTAGATTTGGATTTAGACAAGAAAAAACGAACAAACAAAATCAAATACAAAAAATCATCATCAAAATCTGAAATGAATGTCGATATAATAAATAAAAAAAACTTTTTTTTTATTGCTATAACTGATCATTTTGTCAATGAACATTTTATTGTGAATCCGGGTGACCAATCGATCGCGGTCATAACCTTGAAAAAAACAATCAAAAAAAAAATTCAGCCCTTTTATAATAAAAATGTAGTTTGCATAATTCAAGTGGCAACACGTATAAAATGTACGTGCAATGTGTATCTCTCGACCTTTGACATTGGTGTTTTCTTGTTTTTGTTGTTGTTGTTGTTGTTGTTGCCGTAAAATATTGAATCAAATACAATTGAATGGCCAGTTTATTCAGTGACGAGCTTGTCAATTGATCTATTTTCATTTTTTTTTTTTTTTGTTTTCTGTGTGTACGTGTGTTGATTATCTCATTCAATGAAACGGTACAATCTGCTCGTTCTAGCCTATCGAAAAAATAAGCATAGGCATCCTGTCAGGTCCATTAACCTACAGCGCGATCGGCAATCGTGTATTTTATTTTTATTTTTTTTTTTTGGATGGACACGCGTGCAAATTGCTCACTCATTGAAACCAGATTGTCATATTCAAATTTGAAGGTCATACAAAGCTCTAATAACCCTTTTCTATGGTCCTATGGCGATTGATGAGGATTGAGGTCAATATCATCTTGGCATAGAAGCTATGTTATCACCGTTGTTGTGTTTCCGATCTAATCAACCATCCATTGGTTTATGCGCTAAAAAAAGAATCCACTAACCCGATGACCAAACTGAAAAAAACTCGTGCTGTTCGCGTGTGCAGGTGGACAATGTTTATGGTCCATTCATTCACTATTCAGCTATTGTTTGTTGATTTTTTGTTAATAAAAAAAAAAAATGTTTCTGACCCCTTTGAATGGTACATGATAAAAACTCTATGCTTTGCTTAGCACACACACACACACACACACAAAAAACAGAAAAAGCCGTGAAATCTTCTTGACCAATGGATAATATTTGGAAAGAATTTGACGTCGATGTAACAAATAAAGCATCTGGTCATCATTCTTTCTTTTTTTGTTCTTAATGGCACTAAATGGGAAATGTATGTTCATTTAACAGTCAAACACAAAAATGACAAGACAACCACGTATATATGTCAATTATGAATTATGAACTACAGATTTTCTAATGAAAAACAAAAAATACACATCTCATTTAGCAACCAATGTGTGTGTGTGTGTGTGTGATATTCGTATCGATCATCATTTAGAATCTATGATGATGACTATTCGCTTATTATCTGTTGGTGTTCATCATCATCATCACTCCTTTGATTACATTCTTTTTATTTCAAATTTCGAAAATTGAATTATACGACTGCAGCGGGGAGCTATAGTTATTGATTGTTGTTAAAATAACGAATCAGCGGTTATGTTGTTGTTGTTGTTGTCCATGTGAACATATCGAGATGTGATCACACGTGTGTATGTTTTTTTTTGTTGTTGTATGTGTTCATGTTGTCCATGTCAGATTCGTTGTTATTATATTTTTCTGTTCGATTCATAGATTCACAATAGAGGCCTCACTTACTCATCATTATCATCATCATCATCATCTTCATTGCCATGACAGGACATATGGCACGTTCCTAATAATGTCCACTCTTGTTTTTTTCCCTCTCTTTCTGTCCCTTTCTTTCAACTGACTTAGTTTGTGACATGACAATATTCAAAATCTAATATTTTTTTTTCAATCATTTCATGTCTAATCATGATGATCGGAAGTTGGACAAAAGTTTCAAAAAAAATTTTTCTGTTAAAAACCATCTTCTACAAGGTATTATTACGTAATTTGTAATATCTCTCTCTTTATATTACTATTGATTTATAGTGAACCGGAAGGATGAACCAAATTAACGGGTTATATCCATAAGAGGTTATGCATGACTAGTTATCACCATTATCATTAATCTAAAAATTCAGAATTTCTATCGTCTAATCACAATTTCTTTCAATAGTCAATCAAGTCAAAAGAAAAATCATTTTGACCGATTTTTTCAGTGACCAATCGAATCATCGACCAAATCAATCATTGATGGCCTACATCATGATTGGACAGCACAAAACTAGATTCGATTTCGATTCTCAATCAAAAAAAAACGACTACTTTTTTGTGCTTCTCCAATCATTAGTTCGAAAGAGCCAACGGCTAGAGGATATTCAAAATAAAAAAAAAATTGTTCAACTTTAAATTACAAAAAGAGAAAAGAGTTACAATATATTTATTTATTTTACGTTTATTTTTGTGATGGACTGACCAACAACCGAATTGACCATCTAGCCAATTTTTTTTGGCACGTGTGCACATGGTTCGTGTGTGTGTGTGTGCATATATATATAAAATGCTGTTACCATTGTTGACCGATGGGACAAATGATAATTTTTCAAAATAAAAAAAAATCCTATTTCAATATATCTATAGAAAAAGGAAAAAAAAGAGAGTGAATTTTTTTTTTTTTTGATTTTAGAATGAAAAAGTTAAAAACATCAACATTTGACCTGAACATATAAAGTGCGAGAAAGAGAGAGAGAATGTACACGCGCCACATCAATGACTATTGGATAAAATAGCCATTATGATCATGTCTGGTCACATTATCATAACCCGATATGTTTTGGGTCGATCGGTCGTGTTTTTTCTTTTCTCTTCTTTTGCCATTGTAAAATTGTAGATCGTAAATCTAAATTTAACCCCCTCTATCTCTAACGAAAATAGCCACGCGAATAACGGCAAAGAGAAAAAAAAAAAAAAAAAAATTCAATTTCAATCACACAAACTGGACATTTTCACATAACTGGGTCTAAAAAAAAATTGATACGGTTCATAAGCATTAGTTGAGTTCAATCAGTCTGGTCATTCTAGGCACGGATGGCCTAAGGGGTCATCATCATCATCATCATCATCATCACCACTATAACTCGCTCATGTCTGAATCGGATGTGTAGATTATTATTTGGCCGGCAAGACGTCCATAAAAGAGTTGACTCAGCAAATTCTGACAATCGTCTGGTCACCGTCTTGGATCGATTTTAGCATGATGGTGACCTCGAAGACCATCGGTCATTCGAGACTTGTCCAAGACGATACTGGTCATATCTTAATGTTTGTCTGTCTGGTATGGATGTCAGACACAAGCTCGGTGGGCAATATCCGTTTGACATTATCGACAATTTTTTTTTTTACTATTGCTGTTGTCAGCCATCCATTTATGAACATTGTTGTGGCTCAACGGGTTACAACAAACATAGTCGACACACACGTAGCACGTGCTTGGCACACTCGTTCATATTACCCTATGAACACTATGACCATCTCTAGACGTTTCGATTTATGGTATTTATTAATAATAGTAGCCAACACATGAAAAAAAACCAATGGCTAGGGTCAGACACACACACATATACATAAATATAACAGAAAAAAAGCAATGATGATCGGTCATGAAACAAAATGAAATGACTGACCAGCGAGCCAATGAGTGAGAATGGCTCAATTATTAGCTCTAAATAATAATTCGATAATTTATGTCACCAACGACCAAGAAATAGGCCCAGTTCTATTTCTTTTTTTTTCTCTCTTTTTCTCTCATTGGCTTTGTCTGTTGAGCCATTCTTTGGATCAAAAGTTTTTCATCACATTCATGCTGGACGGCTGCTGTCGTTTTTCATAGTTTGGGGGATGATAAAAATGGGGAACTTTTCATCCGTCACATTGACATCTAATATGGTGATGGTGACACACACCATTGCTGCTGCTACCGTTGTTGATGAAACTTATTTCGAATGGTGGACAAACAATTTTATTCTCGAAATGTTGATAATATTCAATCCTTGCCCGAATGGATCGAATGATTAAATATTGGAAAAAGTTTTTGGGTACAAAAGCGAATGAAAGAAAAAAAAATTTCCAATTCCCAAAAACAAAAATTATAGTTAATACCCAACTAAAACTGAATAGTTTACTTTTAACCATTCAGCAGAGCAAGTAATACCCTTTTGTTTGCCTATGCAATACTGGCCAAAAAAAAAAAATTTATTATATCTCCATACACAAACATAGTGAGCAAAATGTGGAAATTGGAATCGAGAGAATTGGATCAAAACTTAATATGATGCCCATACCATACAACTGATGATTGGAAGACATTTCTTGTTATTATTTCTCTCTCTCTCTGCTTTCCTCTTCAAACTTATTAAATAAACTGGAGCTCAGGTTCTTTTGTGTTGATCGGATATCATTCACTTTTGATATTTTATTCTGGACTCTTCTTCGAATATATAAAGCTTATATGATGATTCGAATAAAGAGAAATTAACTTTTTTTCCAAGTTATTTGTAATAACTCTACATCAATGTATATGTGTGCGTTTGTGTATGTGAGTGAAGGGTTACCAAATAAATGCATCAGTATGAATCCTTCATCGTTATTCGTAATAATAAATAATCAAATCTTTGGGTAAGAAAAAAAATGCAATACCAATCGATTCATGTTGGCGATTGCATTTTTCCACTTGAATTCACAATCACACCACGTGTATATCGCACTGTAGTATGTTTGGCATTGATGAATCAAGCATCGATCATGAAGTATCGAAAAAGAAATATCGGCTTTCGTATATTTTAAATGAACATTGAGACAGATGTGCATGGAATGTAATTTATTCGATAGACGACCGGAAAGGTTCAAGTGGCGCTATCGTTGATTGTGCAACAATGATGAGATCATCATCAGATCGATATGAACCAATGATATCACAGAGGCTGTAATAAGAGCCCAGAAAAAATCCCGACCAACCGACCATCATGATGGCCAAATTCTTGGTTAAAAGCCACCTTCTTTGATGTCCTGATGAACATTGACCGTAAAAGGTGATCAAATGAAGTGTCGATGGTATAATCACGGCAATCGAACTCGATGTGATAGCTCCTATCAACGATATAATAAGCTCGAGTTTGTGAACAACCGATGCTAACATGTCTATTTGGCCATAATCATCATCAGAAGGGTATAATTATTATTATCAATGTGTTTTCAACAACAAAATGGCAAACTTACATGTGAATAAAACTAATCCAGTTCTAAATGACAATTCTATGATCAGTGTTGTTCGATTGGCCAGAATTCCGTCGCCGACAATGAATTTGTTTCGCAAATTACGTTCCATAATTGGCCACAAGATTTGTATGGGCACATAAAGAATTATTGGATAGGTAAACAATACGGCCAACGCATACAAAACCTGTACTGTATTGTTGATGTGACTTCCAGTTAAATTTGACGTTATCGTAGCCTCTACATTTGAACCATAACATGAATAACCCATGAATCCTAGAGTAAAATAAAATGCCCCGATAAGCAATAGGCCAACGTTCAATACGCCAAATGGACGAGAGAATTTCTCCGCCTTATCAATCGTTTTGTACAGACTCATCGACTGTAATGGAAAAGAGAAAATAGATAAAAAATGAAGTTTTACTTTTTAACGATGCATACCAAAGAAATGCCTTCGAAGATGAATAAAGAAGACACAAAGAATTGCGGTATTTTTTCACCAATTTTAGGCAATTGATCAGGAAATTCAGGCCACGGCTGCGTGGATAGGTTATACAATATGATTCCAATACCGGCAACTTGCAAGAAATTCGATATAGTCGACAGGAATGTTAATCTACGTATATTACGGATGTAGTTGATGCCAATCACTATGGGCAGTATCATTGCCAGGCACGCCTCTTTTGATGGACTTTTTTCCGTGCCATAAATTTGCGATAGAAACTTTTGTACATTTGTTCCAATAAACAGGTAGTAAACACAACATCCACCAATCTGAGTACATGCGATGGCCACCAGAACAAAGTATCGAGCTATTCGTGCCCATGGTCGAAGTAGCTTTGGACCAATTCTGAATGCAAATTCGGCCAGCTGCAATTGAAAATGAAATAAATATAAACACAATGAAATGATGAATAATTAATACGAACTTCGTGGTAATCCAGAGGAGTGGTCCTACCATCGATTTTGATGGATAATTCGTTTATCTGAATCAACATGTGAATACAATGACAAGATAAAATGCCAATCATTGGATTCATGACCGAAGCAAGAATGAGACCACCATTCTTAAATGTGATTGGCATCGAAAGTATTCCGGATCCAATAAAACCATTGAGCATGTGCATTAATGTCGATAAATAATTAGTTCGATCCAATTGTTCAGTTTTCTTCTTCATCATGATTGTCGAACTCTTGTTTTCCATTGATTCGATTTCCTGATCTCTTGCTGATCTACCGGATATTGTGATTCTTGAATCAATAATTTCTGCTGTATACGGCGAGCATGATGAATCGGAAGGCATTTTTTTAGATAAGAATGGTGTTGTTCAGCAAAATACACTTCCAAAACTAGTCATACGTTTTAAAACTATCCAATTTTCAAGTCTTCGATCCGATTGTGATTGGCCGTTGGCCTAATTGCTTCTAGGTTTTTGGATCTCTTTACCAAACTTAGATCAATATATGACTGGCTTTAAGTCATAATAGTGTCCAATACTTTTATCTATTATAATGGCTTATCATTTGACCATTTTGTAACTTGGCTACCATCATAATGATGGCCACCATAGTTATAATATCAAGCCAAAATAACCACATAATCGACAACGGATATTACCAAAATATCTGATAGTCATATAAATATGGCAATAAAAAATCTATAATTACCAGATCAAAAATCAAGTTCATTGTGCATTATTTATAGCCATATCATAAAGTTCATTTATTAGATTACAAGTGAAATTCACATTTAGGTGAGATAAACATACACAATACAATGGATGGATGGATATATCCATTTGTGTGAATCATCTGAAGTTAAATAGATCATCATTTTTACTATTTTTTTAGATTTAATGTTTTATCGCCATCTTTTGTAAACAATTAACACTGTTAGTTTAAAAGTTATCTCATAGATGGCAAAAGCACACGATAGAAAGCATGTGATCAATGTGTATACGTCGTTCTATTTAAAAATTATTGATAAGATAACTTGATTTTGGAGTTGATTATTGATTGAATCGATCACTGAATTGAATAACTGAATAACTAGAGTTTCATTTACGTCTATTTTTGCAACCTGATCATCGTGAGACATTCAATTTGAAAATGCCGAAAATGAAACGTAAACCAAACAAGAATCGAACACGCACTGTTTATCCACAGGAACGTCCGGATAAAAAACCAAAATTTGCCATCAAAGATGGTCTCCGAACTGAGGATACTGAAGTAAGTGTGAGATTATTGCTGATGTTTGACTAAAACAATTGCTTCTTCCATTCTTTTAGTTCATTGATCCTAAAACTTCAAGAAAAATCTTAGAACAAGCACAATTACAACAGAATGAACTGGAAGAAGAATTCGGTCTTCATGATCCATCGAAAATGGTTAGAAACAAAGATACCAAATTAGATTTATCTGGAAATTTTTCTGATCGTGAAGCTGATGATGTTAACCACGATGATTACGATTTGTTAGATGAAGATGAAGAATCAGCTCGTGACGTGTATGAATCGTTCTATGAAGAATTAAAACTGAACAAGGAAGATGAACGAGCATTGGAAATGTTCATGATGAAGGATAATCTTAAACGGAAATCCTTGGCCGATTATATTCGTGATAAATTGAAAGAGAAAGAAGATGAATTGAGCACGATGCTTAACAATGAACAAGCAGTACAATCCGGTTCGAATGGCTCTGAATTGGATGATCGTGTAGTGGATCTGTATCGCGGTGTTAAAGTGGTACTACAACGGTATCGCAACGGGCGATTGCCTAAAGCTTTTAAGATAATACCTGCATTAGCCAATTGGGAACAGGTATTGTTCATCACTGAACCTGATTGCTGGACAGCAGCGGCCATGTTCCAAGCTACTCGGTTGTTTGCATCGAACCTCAAGGAGCGTATGGCGCAGCGTTTCTTCAATCTGGTATTAGTGCCAAGAATACGTGACGATATCGAAGAGTATAAACGGCTCAACTTTCACCTTTATCAGGCTTTAAAGAAGGCCTTGTTCAAACCTGGAGCCTTCTTCAAAGGCATCATTATACCGCTCTGTGAATCGGGCGATTGTACATTACGAGAAGCTGTCATTATCGGATCGATCATGGCACGTAATCATATCCCATTGTTGCACTCATGTGCTGCTATGTTAAAGATTGCCGAAATGGATTATAGTGGGGCAAATTCTATCTTTCTAAATATTTTGATCCAGAAAAAGTATGCTCTTCCATATCGGGTGATTGACGCTCTATTTTATCATTTCTATCGATTTCTGAATGATCGCCGATCAACGTTACCCGTTCTATGGCATCAATGTTTATTGGCATTCGTACAGAACTACAAAAATGATCTTTCCTGTGAACAAAAAGAATCATTGTTAGAGCTTTTACGTGTGCAAACTCATCACGCTATCACACCTGAAATTCGTCGAGAATTGTTCAAATCTCGAAATCGTGATGGTAGCGATTTTGTTATCGAATCGACCGATATGCATTAAAAATTGAAATGAATAAATTTTATATAAAATACAATCAATACACTTTCACTTTTTTCTCACTATAAATTTAATGGTGTCATTTAATTTGTTTATTATGAGATGAACATTAAAAAAAGCAATAATTTCACCAATTCTAAAGTTTTTTTTTCAAAGTTAAGTTATTCCACATTTATTATCTAGAATTGTGGTTGACGTGGAAACTATGATGAATTGTAGATGGATATGATTAATTGGGAAAAGAATCATTATATCATTATAAACTGTAAAAAAGAAAATATTAAAAAAATGGATGAACGTCTGGAATTTGGAAATTGGAATTAAAATGATTTGAACATGACATTTCCGCTGTAATCGAATAAAATCATCATCGTAATTGATGTAGCTAATTGCACTAAAAGTTTGATTCTACCAAAAAATCATATTACTCCAAGTATAACGATAATTCTTAAATGAATCAATAAAAAATAAATGTTCAATTAAAAATGATATGTTTGATAAATAGTCTTATTTTTCTTTTTATACAAACCTCAATCGATGATCATATCGATCGTCTTGCTCGTAAAGTTCTGATTGATGATAATTTATATTGACTATAATTTGAATTTTTTTCACATTCACAAACTTCCTTAGCTATGGAAACAAATCATTCATTCAATAGTATGTAGAAAAAAAACACAATTATCATAATCGAATTCTTTGTCATTTGACTATACTCATTCGAACACAAAGCACTAAACATTTTCTAAAAATGAAGATCAAAAATATTGCATCATTTTCACTTGTTAAAATCAGTCATTGGATTGGACCTGTTACACCCGTATCATATCATCAGACAATTATTCGAGCGATTGATTGTCGACAATCTAGTGATTATCGTTACGAGTTTATAATTCGAACAGTAATCATGTTATACACAGGTTTAGTAGCTGCTTTTTTAGCGTTATTTATTGATCGAACCGATCTCTATTTGATGCGGCTAATACACGAAAGCTTTATCTTTAAGCTGGGTTTTCACCCAAAGTTCGGAAAAATAATGTTCTCATGTCACGTGTTGGTTATCATGTTTGGTTTGTTTATTGTATATGTCCGTTATAAAATGCCGTTAAGCGAGAAGGGTGAAATACTCATACGAGAAGTTTTCACCATCTATTACAACAAAGGAAATATTGATTCAAATGGGCGTGGGCATCTCAAAGACTGTGATCCAGTGACATTGAAACGTTTGAAACAAATTGTCCAGATTGGCGAATTTCTCATGCGATTTGGTCCCATTCTCTATGGTGTGTGTGTGTTTTGTGTGCAAATGCATTGTATTTTTTTTATTGACTAAATGTTTGATTTCTGATAGGAATTGTGGCCACATCTTATTTATTGGTCTTGACATATCTAGAGAGCATCCAGCCACCATCTAATGTTGCGGTTATCATTTTCGATTACATGATTGTAGTGATTGGAACAATTACAGGCCGATCGATTGTTTCGGCTGCTATTTGTATCATATTCTCCTATCTAACTGAATTGATTTTTTTCCAATATCAATTCAGTTACTGGAATCACGTTCTAAATAGGATAAACAAACATAAAGATCATATGCCACCAAGGTGGTGTCGGCTATTATTGCATTCATTTTTGCAACATCATGACTTTATGATCAAATGGTTATTCGCTGTCAATAACCAAATTAATTTTATATACTGCTATGTGTTTGTATTCTTATTCCCGATTCATGTCATAATGAGTGATCTAATGGTGTTCCATAGCAATGAATTCGCTTTTCCAAATCTTCTTCTCATCATAATATATGTATCAAATTTAACCATTTGGCCTTCAATTATCGTCGCTTGGTTGCCCATACAATTGCATCGAAATATCATACAGATAAATCAAACCTTATACACTCTGTTGGCTATTGATGAGAGACAAAAATTCCGTTTAATGACATTTCGATGTTATCTTAAGCTACAAACATATACACAACGTTTGACATCTAAAACCATACAAATTGGCATAAATATCGGTCCATTCTGTGTTACCCATTATTTAGCTTTAAAGGTTTGTCACATTTACTCTCAATTAATCATCAATGATGGATCTAACTATTGCTTTCTTTTAATTCTAGTTCGTTTTGTCTTACATCAGCTATTTTATGTTTATACATCAATTATTTCAAAAATCATAGTTGTTTACAAAGCTTGACGAAACAATTTTACGATCCTAGCAAAGTAACCAATGTAGAGAACAAAAAACTATGAATAAAATAAAAGATCATTAACAAAAAAAAAACCCATATCGTTTTCGAATTGTTTACCTGCCAATAAGATGCATAAGTGATAACAGGTTGTCGTGGAGCGATTTCGATACCAATCTCCATACGAGGCGATGTAACTCGTTCCACATAAACAAATGATTTAAGTTGTAACCGGACCGATAGAATTGGACGTGTGTATTGTGAAAAACGGCATAAACAGAAAAATAAATGTTGCCGACAGCCGATAGCATAATAATGAATTGGTGGAATAATTCCAATGGCAATGGTAGCCATGACGAATTGAATCACTGTAAATAAGAATAATACCAGAAAACGACGAGCATCGAATTTCTGAAACAATAACAGATTGGTCATCATGGCATTGTTTGGTATGTTAAACACCATGCATAACATATTACATTCACTCCAATGACCATTCATTTTGTTTAGAAACCAACAAAGAGAATTATGATTATGTAAGAAATACACTAGCCTATGTATACTATACGAATGTATTCTTTGATTTGAAATTATATTGCGACCATTATATCTGTTGCATGTCATTTCAAGAGAAGCCTTATGAAGATTTTTCATCAGTGAATTTAAATGCATAAAACGATCTTGTAGATACACACAACGTAATTCCGAAATGAAAAGCAACCAACATGATGCCGTTACGATAATTCTTGCTACCGTTATACCGTTGATGAAAATATACGATTCAATAATGGCAATCAACATGGTTCTTGGTGGATCATAGTACAGCTGCATAACAAATAAAATGGCAACCAAAAATGCAACAAGCCCTACATTTATTTATTGTCAAAATTGTTCTGAATGAATAAAATAATATGCTACATTTATATTACTTACCATGAGCCAAAGGAATGGCTTTATAGATGATTTCGATACCAAAAACAGTCCAATCAATGTGTTTCAAAGTACTTTGATCACATTGACGTAATAGGGTCGTATAAGTTATCGGTTTTATTCCATTATGATATTCGAGTAATTCTTTTATAAGCGAATTTACCCATTTGCTCTGATATCGGGGCAAAAATCGATGTACGATTATGACCAAGCCATACATTAAGTAAAGCATATAACACAGAATGACAATACGGGTGAATTTTTGACCAAACCAAATGTTAAATACGTTAGATTCTTTTAGTGCTTTAATGATAACAATGTGATCATGATCAATGAACAAGAATACCATAACCATGAATAACATCATCGATATTAGGGGAAATAAACGACGACATATTTCAAATCTAAATCGACGACGGTAATTGATCTGAACCAATGTTGTTTGAGTGAAATCGGTAGCAAAACGTAATTGATATGGTGAAAGCCATCGATAGAAGATATCCACCCATGGTTGATTAGTGAGCCAATAAAAGCCTGACATGTTTGTTTTGCTCTGATCATTAGCATGAATGCATACAAGAATTTTCATTACCATACAATCATAAAGCGAACTATGTTGGTTTCAAATTCTTGTGAATTTATCACTTTCTCTCCTTCTTTGGGCTTGATAAAATTGAAAAAAAAGTTTGCCAATTGCACTCTTTTATTGTATTATGCAACCATTATTTAGCGAATAAATTATAACCGATTGGCAAGCCAACTAATTAAGAATTGTTTATTTTAGCACAATTCAAGAGAAACCTGTACATTAATTGATTGTCAAGTTTTTCATTTATCATTTGATTCAAACATTTTTTTTAAAAACAGAATTCATGTGTCAATTTCTAAGTAATCCGTTAGTGTTATTGACAATTATTATTACAATAATTAGGAATCAAGCGACAATAAAATTGATCGACAATGAAATGATGAAAGCCAGGTTCAAAGTTCTGGTTCAGGCCCTGTTTGACGAAAACAGTTTGATGGTTCGAAAAAAATATCCCACGTAAAGCCCAATGAACTATAAAGTAATGAGGGTAAATTTGAATAAATGGAAAAAGTAATAATGACTTACCTGCCAATAAGAAGCATATGTGATGACAAATTGCTCGATGCCAATCTGGACGCCAATGGTCATTCGATCAGATGTGATACGTTCCAAATAGCTTAATGCTTTGAGATTCGATCTGACTGAAAATGATGCTGAGTGCTGAGGTAATAAAGCCAAGTATGCGTACATGGATTGTCGAGCACCAATGGCATAATAATTGATTGCCGGTATAATTCCTTCGGCAATGGCTGCCAACACTAATTGCAATACGGTGAAAGCAAATAAGACGAGAAATCTTCGTGGCTCAAACGTTTGAAAAAGCAATAGATTGACCATCATTGCATTGTTCGGTATGGTTATGATAACACAAATTAGATTTCTTCGTTTCCACCATGGATTCATACGCTGTAGAAACCAACAAAGAAAATTGTGACGATACATGAAATGCATTAATCGTCTTTCCCATTCGCCTGAATGGTCTAAATATTTACATTTTCGTCGTCGTACATTATGAATATCTCGTACCGAAGCGTTCATTAATGAATTAAGCTGAATAAAACAATCCTGAAAGTATATGGTTCGCAATTCTGCATCGATAAATAACCAAAGAGCACCACTTATAATTATAAATATGACTATAATACCGATTCCAAACACATATAATTCCATGATTGCTACCAATAGAGTTGCCGGTGGATTATGGTACAATTGATAGACGAAAATAGCAGACGCAATCAAAGCTACTAATGCTACAAACATCAACAAAAAATAATGATTACAAATTCTGAAATCATTTTGATAAAAACAACAAAGCAATAAGTACCATAAATGATCGGAGCTAGCGTAAATATAATCTCAAGACCAAACAAGGTCCAGTCGATATGCTTCAATGTATTTGAATCACAACCACGAAGTAGTCGCAATCGACATGCTGGCAACTTTCGATTATGATATTCAAGTAAATCCTTCAGTACCATATTGTTCCATTTGTTATGACAAAAAGGTAGAAAACGATGCATGATCATTATGGATCCATAGCTAAGAAAAATAAGATAACAGCATACAATGACACGAGTGAATTGATGACCAAACCAAATATTGAAAACATTGCTCTGTTTAATCGCCCATATTATGGTTAGCTGTTCATCGTGGTCAAGAAATATGATGATCATCACCATCAAAACCATCAGAGATATGGTTGGTAATTGTCGACGACAAATCTCAAACCGATATCGGCGATGATGATTTATCTGATTTAATGTGGTTTGAGTGAATGCATTAGTATAACGTAGCTGATAAGGAGCAAACCACCGGTATAGGACATCCATCCATGGTTGTTTTGTTAGCCATAGGAATCCAGACATTTTTTACTTTTTGATTTTCCAATAGCTAATTGTCGAATGAAAATGTCTTCACCAAATGGATTGTTCCAAGCATGTATTTAGTTGATAAAATTCCATTTCAATTTCTTCGAAAATATGCTTCATCATTAGTCACCGCGGCAACATTAATTAGTTGAATTAATGGTAAGAGAACCATCAGAAAATTCATTTATTTTTTTTTAATGAACATATGTCGACATATAGGTTTATTGTTTTCAGTTTATTGCTTCATTATTGTAACTAAAGTTAGTTATTAGTTATTGTAACTACAATACAATAAATAAGATACATGACGACATGAACGGATATAAATAAATTGTTAAATGAAAAGAGAAAGACGGAATTATACAAGGCCATGTTTAAGTTTAAGCTGAATTTTTTATCAACTTATGGTGACCATTAGTCATTTCAATCTCAAACATGACGAACATATACAAATTTAAGCCATGAATTTGTTTGAACGTATTAAACGGAGACGGACTCATATTTTAGAGAATGCGAATAGTGTTCAATGTGATATTCATCACGATAAAAATGAATACCTACGACCACCGGAATGGTTTGATCCAGATAATTTTCGTCGAGCACAGCAGCTATTCTATACATACAAAAGCACGTAAGTCTCTGGCAATTGCAATGATGTATTTGTTACCTGAATGTCTTGTTTCTATTAGATTCATATTGAGCTTTATTTATGGTTTGGCGTTGACATTTTATAATCCAGCTGAACTGATTCCTTTGATGAGTACGGGTAAATCGAAATCGGTGGCTCATTTGTTTCAAAGATATCTAACAACAATCGAACATATCATTACTTGGTTTGAACATTATCCATTTGATAAGGAAAGCAAAGCATACAGATCGTTGCTAACGGTACGCCAAATGCATGGCCAGGTATCAAGAAAATTAAATAAATTATCGTCTTCAACTGAACCATGTTGGATGAATCAACATCGAATGCACAATGGGCAATTTGCATTTATTGGTTTGTTTGCCATCTTTCCCAAACAGGTATGAATCGTGTTTATTAATTTATCATCAGCTTATTTACTCATTTCCGATCAAAGCTTGGATTCAACCTTTTGACCCAACAAGACGTACATTGTGTGTTTCATTTTTGGCGTACAATTGGCCATTGTCTTGGTATTGATGATACATTTAATCTTTGCGCAGGGTCGAATGTTGAAATTGTCGAAATGTGCGAGCAAATTTTTCGAGAAGAATGGCTGCCGACGCTTATGATGAAATCCAATGATGAATCGATAATTGTCACAGCACGACGGATGTCTCAGGCCATATTCCAATCGCTCGGTCAACTCGAACCTTTTATCAATTACAACGTTATGATGAGATATGGTTGCCGATTTGTATGGTCTACAACGCTAGCACCAGCTATTGATGAGGATGATATTCAATTAAAAAATTATCTATCCAAAGTCCATTATGGATTTACTGTGTTTGCCTATAGACATTGTTCACGTTATAAATGGTTCCATTGGCTAGCTTCTAGATGGTTGGAGTATCGATTAAAACAGGCACGACAATATGATCAGCATTACGTTCGTTGTTTAGAACGGATATATCCAGACCATATTGTCGATGGTGACATTGTTGCCAAATTGTTAACTTGTTTTTCAGACTAACCATGCATATCGAAAAGTCATTGTTCAACTATTGTTCAACATTATAAATACAATGGTAAATAGTATTAGATTAAGTACTATTTGAATGCCACAAATTGTGAATAAATTCGATTTTATTCGTTGATGTATTTTTGATTTACGATAATGGCGACCATGAACGTCCACATTCCAAGTTATACCCGTCGATATCAAAAACGTAAAGAACGTATCGACTATTATCTAAATAATGATCCAAATGGTTTTCGACAATTAATGCAACAGTTAGCTTGTGGTTATACAGGATTTATGTTTCCATTGGAAAGAACAGATTCAAAAAAATTTCATCGTTATCGTCGATTCGAATTGGCTACATTCGAACAACGAGAACAAATGATTGATAAAATTTATGCATCTATGCGTAGGAGTAAAATGGCAATGTTACGTGCAAAACGAATGTGGCAACAATTGCTAAGACAATTAAAACGTGAAAGGATCGCAACGACAATCGCTCCAGGTTCAATTGATCTTCGAATTGAAACCAAAGAACATATGTTCCAAATTCAATTGACAACTTTCTTACAGCAACATAATTCACTTCGTACGATTGATGATATGTTGACACAATTGTTATCTAATCGATCCATGTTCGATGCTCTTTACAACATTAATGATGAATTTAAACGATGGACAAATCAACTGGCTGAACGGAACAGTAAACAGCGACAAGATGGTGAAAAATTATTTAAGCTGGTGGACGATGAGAATGATCTACAAATCCGATTTAAATTATTAACCAAGTTGATACGTATAGGTGATGATGAACAGGTTGTACAGGCATATTGGCAACGAATGCTTGTATGCATGCAAGCATCCAAATATCTAACAGCTGCACATGATTTGGACATATTATTATCTCAGGTTTGTCAACAAAAATCTGAGCATAGCATTAGTTCATTATCCACAGTTAACGCTTCTGCGGATGTTCGTTTATCACAACAATTATTCTACTATGCGGTCAAATGTTACTATCGTCTGTTGACCAATCCATCATATCAATCATTGGGCTCATTGAAACGTGAAAATCACTTACAACGCTATCAACAATTGATCCGAGAATTACAACTGCTAGCTTATTTTGATTATTCACCTAACAGTGAACAACAGCGAGGATCATCCAGTCAAATAATCGAATTCATGCGCGGATCAAATGCCAATTCAATTTTATTTCGGTCATATGGATCAGTTTTAAGACGATTGAAAAGAGAAGGTTTACCCATTGATTCAGAAGACGTGATTAAAAAGCTTAGAAATCAACAGATTATTCAAGGAATTCCAGGCCAAAAGCAACCATCAATGGATGATGATTTGGTAAGCATATCAATGGATACAGCTAAGGTAAGCCGATCCTTTCTTTCACTTTATCTCACACTCAATAACTAATCAAATATAATTCCATAAAGGCGCATCAAGAATTTGCATATTCAGATATATTCGCAGCTGCTCACTTTAACAGTATGGATGGTCGTTATCTATGTGCATCACGGCCAATACAAAAAGGAGAAACCATTTTCTATGAAAAAATTGTTGCCTTTTCGGTGAAACGAATGTATTGGAAAAAGTATTGTGCCTATTGTAGGCGCCGATTATCACATCATTTTATACCATGTTCCATGTGTTCAGAATCTGTTTTCTGTAATGTAGTCTGTGAGCGTATGGCCGCGGCCACTAGCCATCCCAGAACTTGTACACTATCTACATCGATCATCTATGAACATTTTAACAATGATCATATTGTTGCATTAGTGTATGATTTGTTTGCATCGTTGCCCATACGATTGATTATTGACGCTTCACGTGTGGATGTAATAAGAGCCTATGATCATGGTTTAAGATATCCTGTCAAACTTCCTTTCATGATGACTGTGTTCACCCAATTGATGCTTGATTTACCCTATTCAACTATCGGTCAAATAGATTTGCAACTGCCCGAAGCTGATGATTGTCGAAAAATGCTTTTTGATTCAATCCGATTGGCTATGATCATAGCACATAAATTCCGACTTTCTAGACTAGATATGGAAGCAATCCGTTCTGTTAATGAGGAAAATCAATCAATCAGAAAAACATCCTGTTGAAATGGATGATCTAATACGATTGATACGGATCGTATTCGCTACCATGTACCGATTTAAACATTCGCCAATCGGTCATCATGACCTAATCAAACAATCCATGATGACTACTGCACATAACAATCCACATCATTATCGACGTAATGTCGTATATCAAGAAAATGTCGGCCGAGCACTGGGAGCATTTAGTGCCCGTCTGCAAACCGTATGTCCAACCGAAGCGAATGTTGAACGTCATTATTGCCGTTATGGTAAGATTATTTACAAAGCATCAACCAGAATTGGAGCAGGCGATACATTACGTATATCGAACCAAATACCAGAATGTAGTGGCCAACAACGTCTAAGATGGTTACGGCGTTTCAATCTTAAGCCATGCAATCAATGTCAATTGTGTTTAACAATTGCCAAATCCAATGAATAAATTATTATTTAATTCAAAAAATCTAAACTAGATTTCTCTCTCTCATTTCGTAACCATTATTATCTTTATGGCTGATGGTAGTTTTATAGGTTGTTACGTTTCGCCTAAGATAGTATTTTATTGTCGACAATAGCAATACGATGGCGATCAAAAAAGTCCAAATCAAAAATATCCACTGCAGCCATATGGTGTTAATCAACATGGTTGATCCACTGATGAGATCATTTTGATCATATGAATCGGTTTTATTTATGATGATGGTTGTATTTGGCTTTTTTTGAAGAAATTTATAATCATCTCGATCATCGGCTGTCACGGCGAAACGACGGCCACGAATCCAATCTATAGTTGCTTGAGTCGTGGTATAATAATGACTGCTGCTGTTGAATATATTAGCAAATCGGTCCACAACTTGTCGGATGCTTGTTTGCATTTCTTGACAATGGTTCTGTTGACATTCGATATAATCTTTGCGAGCTTTTTCACATTCGTTCCATTCTTCGGCTCCAATGCTTAGTTTTGATGATGTTTCATTATTGTAGAATTGACTTGATTGAATTCTTAAATTGGCCACTATCAAACGGAATTTTTCCTTACAAATCTGTATGCATCGTTGTATCAAACATTTCATAATGGTTTCATAGTCAAGTAATTTTTCCATCGATGAACATTGTGATGGCCATTCTTGTTGTTCAATCGAAAATGGTGATTCACATACAATAGCCATGACAAGAATTTAACAAATAACAATTTATAACAATTATAAACGATAATAATAAATGCAAATGATTAGTATGTGAATTTGAAATTTCGAATTTTAATTTATTCGATAACAAAATCAACGCGCTTCAATTCAATTTTGAATAAATGACTATTTCCACTTAGTTGGTTTGTTAACCGCTATTTGGAGCCACAAATGTTTCGATCCATTCGAAACATGAAAGTTTTTTCCTAAGTTTTTGTTGAAATAAAAAAAACATCAACTGAACAAATGGATTCAAATTGTAAAAGAAAGATTGATTTTATCTCATTAACATCATCTACAGTGAGTAAAAACTTTTATAAATAATTTGATGATTATCAATTACAATTATAAATTTATTATATATGAAGATCGAGAAGAAAATAAAAAATGACGTGAAAGAATGTTTTGAAAACTACCGATTGTTCCCTGATGAAACTGGAGATGAACAGTTGACAAAAGCACAAGATTCCATTCGACAGGTAAGATTAATCAATTTGATTTTCATTCCATCTTTTTATTTTTTCAAAATTTGAATTTCTAGTACATGAAAATGTTTGGTGAAATTGTCACTGATCCTGATTTGTACGAAGCTAGCCTCACCAAATTGACTTCTATTATTGATAAACTTAAAGCCAATTGTAGAGATTTTATCAAGAATCCACAATTCATCAGATTATTTGATTCATTTACGGACGATTTGTCAAAAAATGCTAATTCTTCCATAGTAAACATTGCCATCACTTTGCATAACGATTTGATGAAAGAATTGTACCGATTCACACTTCCAACAAAAAGTGAACATTCCAAAGTTGGATTGGATAGAAAAACACAACGGAAAATTAATAAATTGACTCTACATTTGAAAAAAATTCAGGATAAACTTTTTGAATGCCAATTAAGACCATTAACATTGGATGAAATGGAAGACGAAACAGTGTTCACTAAATACATACCACGTCTCGAGAAGCAAGCCGTACAAATATGGCAGCGACGAGAAACATTATTAAATCGGTCAACGGATTCTGGTTCACAGTTGTACAGAAAATTTACATATAATCAATTAGACGATCCTCAATTAAATCAAATTGTTGAAGACTATTTTAATCAGTATCTTTTTTCATTAAGTAAAGCTGAAAATGAAACGTTACAATCCAAAAAGCTAACAGTAATCAAGCTGCCCATGTTCACCATTTTTGATCTCAAAGAAGCCATTTCAGACCAACTGAATGCCAAAAAAATTGACTTTCAGCTAACAGATGATGTTCTCATTCGAATCTATCGGCATATAATTGATGAGATGGACAAAAGACGTAGCGCTATCCAATGTGAATGTCTGGATAATTATCATATACTAAATTATACAGATTCACCAGATTCTACAGTGGCCATTGAAAATGATGCCGGTTTGATTGAACAATTGGAAAGAAATTCCGTTGAAGCCAAGGATAGAATGGAAACATTGATAACCGAGTACAAGAAAAAAGATCTTGAAATAAATGGTCATCCAACAAATGATGATTCTAAATCACTTGGCTGGGATGACGACAATAACGATGATGACAGTGATGAAGACGACAACGATATCGATGATGATGATAATGGTGGTGATGATGATGATGATGATGATGTTGGCAGTGATGATGACAATGACGATAATAATAATTGAAATTGGCCATTGTGTGTTCATAAATATTATTTTAAAAAATAATCAATAAAAACTTTTTTCATGTTTTCATTCATATTTGTTGCCTTGATTTATTTATCATTACTCGCGGATTCCGTAGCAAAGAAATCAATTTGTTATACTACGTGAAAAGTCGTACCACGTCATTACCATAGAAAAAGACAATTGATTTAAATCGATCCAAACCGCGTCCACATTAAAACGCAAACACCACCATACAGGGTCGATATATCCATGGGCAACCACATTTGATTGGCGATCAACAACAAGATCAGTTTTTCTTTTGCTTAATAGAGTCATATGTCAGTCAGAAAGAAGAAAACAATGGCCACTATAACAACTATTCAGCGTGATAATGATCAGCAAATTTTTGCACGTATGTCCACTCAAGTGACCGATAGTTATAGCGATCATAATAATCGTGTCCAACAACCGGAATCAAGTTTATTTGAGAATTTATTAATATTAGGCTCATATTTGTTATTGGTTTCCACCTTTCCTATAAGTTTGTTCATGTGTTTCAAGGTAAGGTTTTTTTTCATTCACACATTGCTATTACTAACGATTGTCTCACCATTTTTTTTTTTGATTTATGATTTTTCAACTTCTTCATGGCTAGATTGTCCAAGAATATGAAAGGGCCGTCATATTTCGACTGGGAAAATTGGTTGGATGCGGAACCAGAGGTAAAAGTGTTAATTTTAAAATTGAATTAATGACCGAATTAATATGATGTGTGGATAGGTCCAGGATTGTTTTTCGTATTGCCATGCATCGATGATTATTCAGTTGTTGATTTACGGACAATCACCTACGATATACCCCCACAAGAAGTAATCATCAAATTTATTTAAAATAGTTGTTTGTAGCATATAACAATTATATTTCTCCATCTTTCACGTTTTCACTCTTTCTTCAAGGTTTTGACCAAAGATTCGGTCACTATATCGGTTGATGCTGTACTTTTCTATCGAATATGGCTGCCCACTATAGCCGTATCGAATGTTTTCGATTATGGCCAAGCAACACAGCTTCTTACTTCAGTTACTTTAAGAAACGTTTTAGGTACAAAAACATTGTCGGAAATTCTTTATGATCGAAATAAGATTGGAATCGATATCAACGAGATGGTCGACACGGTAACCAAATCATGGGGTAAATATATTATCAACATCAATGTCTCCAATTTTCACTGATTTTTTATTGTATTCACAGGAGTTAAAATCGAAAGAGTTGAAGTGTAAGGATCATTATCCATTACAATTTAACATTTTCTTTCATTGTTTCTCTTTCTCATCTTTTGTATTCAGTAAAGATGTTCGACTTCCTTCATCAATGCAAAGGTCAATGGCTGTGGAAGCTGAAACAACACGAGATGCAAGAGCTAAGGTAATGAACATCACGATGATGATGATGATGATGATGATGATGATTAAAGCATAATTAGCATTTTCGGATACAAACTTGTCCTGAAAGACAAAGCTATAGATTGCAAAAGACTTTCGAAATGATTGTGCGTCCTAGTTATTGTGTTTGACCATCAATGACGTGAAATAATCACGATTCACATCCCCAATAATTAACTGTATGATTAATTCTAAATCATTACCATTAAAATCTCTTTCGTAGATTATTGCTGCCAAAGGAGATCTTAAAGCATCGTATGGATTAAAAGAAGCTTCGGAAATCATGTCCGTGGAACCAATGTCTTTTCAGCTTCGTTTCCTTCAGAATCTGAGCTCCAATTCATTCGATAAGGAAACAACAATATTTTATCCGGTACCGATGCCAATGTTGACTGTGTCATTGTCATCGATATCGAGATCATAGTCAGATAACATAAACATATGCATATGTATACACCATATTGATCACATTCAAATTGATAGAATCAATACTTTCAGCACTTCATTCAACATAAATAGGTTTCCTGTTTTTGTAAAAAAGACTTGCAATCGTTTTGTTGGCCGTTCATCGTTATTTTTCGTCGTTATAAACAATGAGATCATGAAATTAATGTGAAAAAACGGATGATAACAAATATAAATAAACCAACGGATATTTGTAATAATGAAAAAAAACCAAACAAATTGTAATTTTTATTCAACCAAACTCACGTACCCATAAATATATGCTGAAATCTGTTATCGAGTTCCGATCTTGCAAATGACAATTTGTTTATGAATTTGTTTGAAATTGCAAATTTATTGAAAAAATCGACAAATTAAAAAACAACATTCGAAAAAATTATTCAAAAAAAGGAAATAATCGAAAATTACGAGGAAATTCAAGAAAGGTGTACATTGTTTTCATTTGTTTCTATGAATGGTCATAGGATGTTGAAAAACATTAATCTAATCAACGAAAAATGAATTTAAACTGAAATGACATATGAAATTTCATAATCAAGCACATTAGCCAATCATCACAAACAACGAGGATTAGATTGAATGAGGAAAGAAATGACCACAAATACACAAACACCGAATAGCTTGTTGAACTCGATTGATGGACTCTGCCAACATAATCGTATCGTTCATCTAAGCCACACATGATGCAAATGATCATTGGCCATTAAGATAATGACTAACAAATGATGAAAGCAATATTTATAAGTTGCTTTCCATTGTGTAATTTCTCTTTCACAAGGTACCCATTTGTATGAGTCATTCAATGAATTTTTTTTATTGTAAACAGATGGGTTCTTTCTTTGCAATTTATCCATCGATTCAAAATTTTCTTATGTTACGTAAAATCATATGGGCTAGTCCAGTCAAAGAAAAATGTTTAGACAACACCTGGAGCAATAATCAAACGATAATCCCACTTGTTCACTCTTATTTGTTCCAAGTACGATGTTACAAATTTAGCAATGAGACGAGTTTTCATTATACTTGGCTATTTTGTAATTTCCTTAGATGCTCAGTCCAGTGTGTCCAAAATTGTTAACAATTAAATGAACAAACATTAGAAATTAAAAATCTAACGCGCATATTCGAATTTGAATCATGGATCGTCGATTATTAATCATCACCAGTAATGGGTCATCATACGTCAAGGTCATATTTTATAAGGGGTCATATTTTATACATTGTGTAATCGATATGATATGACAATCATTATCATGATTGGGGTAATTGATCCTATTCAGTCGGATTGTCCGTCTTCTAGATGAGGAGGGAGAAATCAAAGCACAAATGAACAAATGCTAATATGAGATAAGAATCTATCTATCTTTGCTATTGCATTTAATATCAGCTTTTGGACGTGCAATCTGAAACATTCTCTCAGGTATTTCGATATACATAGTGCCTCCAAAAAAAAATATACATGCATATACAACAATTTATACGAAAAGCAATCAACAATCAGTATTGCGAATTGCTGCCGCTTTTTGATTTTGTGATTTACAATGGCAATCAAGCACTGAGAATGTATGTTTTTGAATGAAAGAGTGATAGGGAAAAGAGAGAGAGAGAGAGAGAGGCAGGCAATCTTTTGTTAATGTGATGGTAAAATATATAAAAATTCGAACATGATGCAGTGACAGTCATCATTACTAAGTTTGATTTGATCCGTATAACATCTGCTTCATCATTCGAATGGATTAATGTTTTTAATAATCTCTATCCCTTCTAGCGAATATTGTTCAAATGTTATAAACAATTCAATTATAACATCCTAGTTCCTATCTATTTGGGCCCATTTGGTTCAGTCTTTATCCATATATATTACAAAGCAATTCTTTACATTATCGGTGGAAAACGACTTGTACGTTAATATATTAAATATCAACATTTAATTCATTTTTTTCAGTCAACTATGCAATACTATTCACTTCAAGTACCGTAAGTTGCAACATTTGTCATTGAAATATTTTAATTGTTTGATTTTTATTGTTAGTCTTTTCATTTATTTTGTTGGCAGGGTAATTGAAAAGTTTAGCAATGTTTTTTTAGTTAGTTTAGTTACAATCGATGACATTGACAACGACAGGTAGTCTGTTGACCTTGATGTTGTTTTGTTGAATGGATTATAGCCATTCAAGCAAGTGTTGTAGACGAATAAGATGTTTTCGTTAATATATTTATGTTTGATTTGATTGGAGTGTTAATGTGAAATTTGTTCTTTTCTTCTTCCTTAATGATAGTTGTGCTGAAATGGCTGCCAATAAGCTGTTGGAACATTGGTCGAATCTACGTTCGATGGCGATTGATCAGGATATAACGGTTATATCGATTCTAGTCGCCATAATGTTGTTACTACATTGTATCGCTTACAGTAAGATCTAAACTTACCATCTGGCTCTACGGGTCGCAATCATAATTGCATAAAAACATTGAAAACAATGATGATGATGACTATCAGGATGTTTTCGGCATACATCTTTTGTTTATACATTCATAGATTTTTTTGGCAATTTTTTTTTATTATCGATGGAATTGATCTCACAAGTCAAGCCCAATGTTATTTAATTTATTTTTTTTTCCATTGAATGATATTATTTTGATTTAATTCTCAAGCATCTAAATTTTTTTTTAAAAATTAATTTAATCAATAAACTTTATTTTGATTCATTCTTCTTTGATGATTTCAAATCGAAATTCAATGGCATTCTCGCCAAGATGACCTATAGTTGTAATGAATAAACTATGACATTATGAACAATGGTATCATGATGAATACCTACATTCAAGTTGTTTTTGAATTTCTTCTTGGCTACATTGAGCATCTGGTATCAGTGTGACTAGAATGGGTAAAATTGATCCAGCTTCAATTGGTTGCACAGTGGTTCGACGTACTGATGGCATAGCCATTATGATTGTTTCGATCAAAGTTTTCGAGAATCTTTTTCCATGAATCATTATAAAGTTGTCACTACGGTCAATTATCTGCAGGTGACCCTCTGAATCGTAGAATCCTATGAAGTCTGTAAGAATCCAATCAAATTCTTGTGAATATGATTCATCTGACAGTTGTTGTGGTTGTTGCCAAACTATTCTTGAAGCGAATGGACATCGAATGTAGAGATGACCCGGTCGTCCATATTGATCATCACTAGCAATAGTCTCGTTGCTATGCCAATCAATAAGCTTTACCTGAACCAATGGCCATGAATTCATATATGACAGCGATCCTTGACGATTCATTAATTGAATGGCTCCAAAACCACTCGATTCCAGAGAATCTATGTAAGTTTGTTTCAATTTTCAAGAATTTCGATTAATGAATTTTTAATTTCATATAGATTGTTCTTACATAGAACGAAACGGCAGGTTTGAATTTGTTCAAACCTGTTTTGCAGATCATTGATCATGTTTTTGTGGAATGGTTTGCCAAAATAAAGAATTTTTACTAATGAATTCATTCTAACCATTGATGGCCATTTCAGCAAATCGATTAAATAACATGAATCCATCAAACAGGTGCTCACATTATATTGATTCACCAATTTCACCATTTGATCCAAACAGATACATGAATCTCTTATATGAGTGGTGTTGATGATGATCTGTGCTCCGACCGACATGACGATCAATAATTCTAGCACACTCACCCAACTAAACATTCCATTCATACTAAGTATGATATCATTCATGTTCCATTCAAATCCGCATCCAGGCAACGTAGCTGTAATGAAAAATAATTGTGATTAATATTATGATTTATTAATGATAAATAAATTATAAGAAATCGATTACCATAAATCAATTGTGAGAATATAGCATAATCGTCAATCATATAAATCTTGGAGATGGTTGTGGCCTTGAACTTGGCCACAATGACATGTGTTTCTTTTTTCCGTGTTTCATGTTCTCGGTTGAATTGATCGATTCGGCTATTATCCAGATTAGATCGACCGAAATCCTTTGGTAAACATATGTCTAACATGCAATACCTGATGTTGCCATTCATCGATCCATGGATTGACTGTTGTTGTCGATCTTTCTCACCAAACCACACGGAAAAGTGACTCTGATGATAGTAATTATCATACAATGTGAGACAACACACGGAAATGATGAAAGCCTTCAATTACCTTGAATTGCTCTCGCAAATGATACAATCGTTGTTCATTCAAAATGGACCGATCGCGATTCGAAATGACAACTAGATTCGTGACTGCACATCGTTTGATTGTTTCTAGTAATTGTTCTAAATTGTTATGAATTGCAAGTGCATTAAAAATGAAAGCCATGTTTCAATAATGAAGTAATTGATAAAAGATAGGAAAAATCAAACCATTGGTTAGATCGGTAGCATCATGTTTATCATCATTAGCGAACAATACAAGCTTGGCATCAATCATGAATGTTGCCATCAATGTAATGATATGTTCGTAGCTGGTGTTGTCATTCAGAGGGGCAATTATGGCGATCGTGCTTTTGGACGATATTTGATGCTTTTCAAACACTTTCATCATGCGACAAACATCTCTGAAAACGTGCCCATATTTGATATAACGATCATTCTGATGATCAACCTGGTTTTGTCAACAAACAAAACATCCACACTCAATCAAAATGATACATTTCATTTGATGTGAACATACCAGGAATATAAGTTTCGAATAAGATGTGAATTTTTTCCACATCCATTGAGCTATATTTATACTGTCTGGTATGATGATTTCCGGCCATCGATTTGAATTCATTTCTACACAATTGAATTCAACACAAAAACAAATCAACAACCATGAGTAAAAACAAAAAAAAGTAAAAAAAAAAATAAACCTAATGGGATACACTTTAAGTATATATATCACATATTGATTCCATATCTTTTCTATTAAATCGTCGTGTAGATACATTGACTGGGTGATAATCTTAAATCTTAGATTGAAATCTATCATTTGACAAGGATATAATTGGCATAGTAGCTGTTTGTATAAAATGAAAAGTTTCTTAATGGACGTCATGGTGATTTGTGATACAGGTGTGACATTGTCAAAAAGTCAGAATCGTTTTTCATATTAGTTTTTATTTGTTTATTTGTTTTGTTTTTTGCATTCGATTGGCAATCGTCATGACAAATTTTCCATCATTTTCGATTTCCATATCTAGATTCATAATTTTATGCAAGATGTGTGATTCGTCGATTAGAATAAAATGCGTGGACATTTGATTATCATCAATCATATATTGTCATCAATTGATCAATCTGTCAATTTCAACTAATAATAATGATGATAAGTTCAATTTCGATCTTGGCGTTTTCAATACTTTTGCTATGTTCACCATTGCCATTATTGTTCAAAGAAGTTGATTGTTGGCCAGTCAACGAGAATGTTAAACAGCAGAAAATTGAACAGGATATCGCTGTCAAACAGATAAAAGCCTGTGAATTGGATCCAGAATGTTTTGGGTGTTGGAAAAGTGTCGATAAACAATTAATAACCAAAGCATCGAATGAATTTTCTGCCTGCCGATTGCCATCATGGATGTCTGTACCGTTCAGGAATGTCGAACAGGATTATTGCTGCCAATTATGGTCAACATTTGATTGTCGTTCGGAAATTGCCTCTCGACATTGTACATTGGCTGGCTACATAAAATATCGTCGTAATATGATTGTATGGGCAAATAGTCTCATGTCTAACAATATTTGTGCATTGTTTGAATATGAATCCGAAAAATGTCGGCCACAACAACAAAAGAATTTTATTCTCGATGAATTTGATGATGTTAGGCAATTCATGTGACAATGATCAAGCAAATTGTGAATCATTTATTTTTAAAGTAATTAATAAATTGCCAAAGAAAATTGAGAACAAAATATAAATATTCTGATATGTTCGTCATTCAAATACAACTCAATCAATATATAGCTGGTACAATAATATAGTCGTAAAAGTTTAATCATCCTTTATGATGATAGCTTAGCCATTAATGCTCGACCAACTTTCGATGAGGTTTCACGTTTCAAAGCACGGCAAATAAAATCACCAGCTTCTATAAGCTTCATTATATCGACTCCCTGTGTATTGAATCGAAAATATGTAAAATATTTGCATGTTAACTATTAAGAATAAAAAGTCCACTTACCGTTTTGATGCCGATACCATGTAGTAAATAAATTACATCTTCGGTGGCCACATTTCCGGTGGCACCTTTGGCAAACGGACAGCCTCCTAGACCAGCAACCGATGAATCAACAATGGCTATGCCCATTTCTAGTGCTGTTAATATGTTGACCAAGGCTTGACCATACGTATCATGGCAATGTACGGCAATCACCTTGATTGGCACATATTTAGCCGTCTCTTCGATCAGATCACGCATCTTGTCAGGAGTACCGATACCGATCGTATCACCCAATGATATTTCATAACAACCCATTTCATAAAGTTTATGAGCTAGTTGAGCAGTTTTTTGTGGTGCGATAAAACCTTCATATGGGCAGCCAAGACAGCAGGAAATGTATCTGTTCAATTAGGGAATCACACGTTAATCCATATATTCGAAATCCAACATAAAATATAACCACTTACCCTCGAACTTTGACATCATTTTTAAGAGCTAAATTGAGTATTTCCTGTACCCGAAGCAAACTCTCTTCGATAGTACAGTTGACATTTTTCATACAAAATGTTTCTGAAACGGTTGTGAAAACGGCAATCTCTTTCACTCCAACTTCCATGGCATCTTTCAGGCCTTTTAGATTGGGTACCAATACCGGATAATGGACTATTGAATTTTCACTGCCAATCGATCTGGAAATAGTACGGTCGACCGACATGTCGGTCAACGTCTTGAATACGGTTTTATGATCTTTCATTTGGGGAACCCATTTTGGCGATACGAAAGCCGTAGCCTCAACAACACTTAAACCGCTCTCCGATAATAGATTGATGAATTTAATCTTTGTTTCGGCTGGTACGTATTCCTAAAAAAGAAAAACAAAAACGTTACAATGGGTATATCAATTGAATGACCATAATAGAATTCGAACAAACAAACCTTTTCATTTTGAAGGCCATCTCGTGGGCCAACTTCAACTATTTTCACGAACGATGGATAATTACGCTCACAAATATTTCGATTCTGCAAAACAAAAATAAACACAATAACATTATCAATCAATCAATGGACGAAAGACAGTGAAGTGAGCAACATCATCAACAAAATAATTTGTTTGATTATATTGTATTCTTGTTTTAATTTGATTTATCACTTTTACACCTGAATACCTAATCCAAAAGAGTGTATGAAGCACCTACTTTGGCGCCAATTTATAAGATATGTCAAGTGAAATAAAGTGGAGAAGATACTCACTGACGCGGTGGTACTTTTAGAAGTTGATGTACACAATTTACGGAAACATTGTGGTATGCTAGGCAATATAAATTGATACAATCGTTCATTATTCGTGAATACAGATCGGCTATCAATGCCAAGTTGACTAATTCCAGCTATTAATCTATGAGCCACATTTAAGTTTGATTGTTTTACGAATGATGATGATTGGTGATATGTTCTTCTCAATGTCAATGACTTTTCGGATTGTCTAGGCTCGTCATTGTTTTCATAAGTGGCAAACATTGGACAAGGCAAAGCCGAGTTCCAAAGATAATAATTTTCACTCGATTTGTTTATATTCGAGTTCAACAGTGATTCTAAGCTTTGCTGTGCTACTGACTCCCAAACGATTGTTGGCTTGTTGTTGTTGTCTTGTTTATTATTATTATTGTTTGCCATTGGATTCGGCAATACTTCTGTGTTTATATTGGGAATAGAAGCGCTTGCTCCATTCCTATCATTATTTAGTCGTTGGGACATGACTTTTATCGTCACAGCTGTAGTTGTTCTCGTATTATCTGTATTAATACAACAAACAAATTCTGCAGGTTGTCGCAATGGATTCAAAATAGATAGACGACATGATGATCTTTGTGATCGTTGTAATGAATAAAATCGACATTTAATCGCAGCTCTTTCTGCAGCGATTAGTTTTGTGAGTATTCGATTCATTCTTTTTTTTTTTATTTTGTTATTGTCATTCACAAGGCTAACTATTTCTTACAGATCGATGATCCAGGCTTCAATGGGTCAGATGGTATATGACAATGATGATAGCTTTTCATATATGAATAAAAGCAAATGTAAATGGTACCTGGCATATGCTTACTTGACAACAATCTTAATCGATTTGTTGATGATGATGATGATTGCTGTTGTGTTTAACATATGCAGACCAACTAAGTAATCGATGATTAGATTCGAGATTCAACAATTATAGCAACCACTACATCACAATGTGACCATCATGATGAGGAAAAACGACAATCTTGTCTGAATCAATTGCCACTTTGAGATGTAAGAAATGCTCACATTAATTCAAACAACAAGTTGTCCTTTGTGTGATAGAGAAAAAAGAGCAAGCAAAGAAAACAACCATATCATCAATATGATCGTATGATGTTTGGCGCCACTGATATCAACAACAAATACCTGACGGTAACTAAATCAAACTTGTCATGATAAACTAAATTCACTAAAATCAAATACACAGATTCTGTCGATTGGAATTAACATCCATATATATATATAAACATGACCACATATAAATCGAATAAAAAATGTAAATTGGACTTACCGTGCAGAATTTGGAAAACGAACGTAAAGTTAAATTGAATGAATCTTCTAGATCTAATGATGGCATTGCTCTTATGTTGATGATGATGATAACTAAATAAATAACCAAATTATTGATCAAAATAAGAGCTTGATGATTCCACTATTTGGATATTTGTCGGATATGAACAACAATCAAATGATGAAGATATGTTTGTTGATTGGCATAAATATTAATCAACAATCTATTGGTTCTAATATTTATAGATGCAATATTTTTCAACAAGTAATAGTGGTCATTACACAACAACAAGTGAAAATACTTTCAAACATCACAAACTACCACATTCATATTGACGTCACCTGATGATAAAAATTGATTGACGCGATTTAACAATATTCCGGACGAGTAACATCAGCAGTACAATACACACACACACATACAAATTAAAATACACAATAAGAGAGAGAGAGAGGGGAGAGAGTGAATGTTTAATATGAATGAAATGAATAAATGAAATGATCGATTGAAATTAAAATTAAAGTTATCCTTTCGGAACAACAACAACAACGAAAAGATGATAAAAAAGTGAATCTAATCACAACAAGCGATTAGTATGTGAATTTGGACTAATCAGCCAGGTTTCGAAATTGGATACAAGAAACACACACACACAAACATTTTCCCTCTTTTCTGTCAATGACATTAGATTACACCACCAAAGCTTCCAGCATAGATATCATATCAATGACCATAAAATGATTTGATTCATCATCGGTTGTTAGGTTTAAAATTTTAACTGGCTGATTAGAATAAATTGACCATACAATGAATACAAGAATATAAGTGGAAATATAGATCAAAAAAAAAAAAAAAAAATTGATCACAGCATTATTAGCATGATCATAATGAACGATGAATGATGATCATGGATATAGATGAGATAAAAAAAAACTATGTCGATCGAATCGTTCCAATTTAATCATTAGCCAAGACATTTGAAACAGAGATGAAGATAAGTTGAAAAAATGAAAGAAAACGGAACACTTGTATGTAAACGTTAGTGATTGCAATACATTTTTTTTTTTTTTTTTGAGGAAATTATTCCTCCAGTTTCTCTCCGAAAAAAATATAGATGCATACATTCAAATCATACTAATATATGGCATATATGGAACACACCACAAGGCCACTATTTCGAATTTCTCATTTCCACATTTGTCTTTTTTTGTTTGTTTGTTATCTTTGTTAATGACCATTGTGCAACCAATCAATCGATTGATCGACCAACCGACCAACAACAACAAATTAGCGAACAAACCGTATGAGAGATTTATTAAGATATTACACACGTAAACTCGCTGTTGGATTGTGTGTGTGTGTGTGTGTGTGTTCAAGAGATTTTGACCTTCAATTTTGAATTTTAAATTTTTTCATTATTATTTATATTAGTATTAATCACTATCGATAGATGTCATGATAATATGAAATGGAAAAATAGATTAACATCGAAACTAAAAAAAAAATGTATGAACAATTATCAAGAATTAGTAATATGTATACATAATAATAATGATGATTAAAATCACACAATAAGAACGGCATTAATACAGCCATCATTCTCGGGATTATTCGTAACTTGAGCATATTTTCCCCATACGACTTTTCCTGATTGTGTTACTAGGCCAAGTTCGCTAATATTCACTTCGATAACGGTGCCTTTAGTTATGACACCCAAAGATGTATACATTGGACTGCTTGGATTCTTTTTAACACCAATGATGGGCAAATTGAATGTCGTATTTAGTTCTGGATGTGTTACATGAGCTGTTTTGAATCTCAATGCCATTGGTCTAATGAATCGTTCGAATTTAGGTGGTTTACGTGTGAATCCTTCTCCAACATAGCATACTTTGGTAACCATTCGTTTCCAAGATTTTTTCTTTCGTTTACCAGTTTCAATTGTTCTATATAAAAAAAATCATTTACAAACGAAAGTTAATAAATAATAGTTTTTATCAATAGCTAATGAGACTTACTTGAACACTTCAAAATCTGAAACTGCTTTCACTTTAGGAATTGGCACTTCCCATTTGCCTGCTTTATCTTTTCGTTTTTGTTTGATCATATTGGATAAAACTTTGGCTCGAGTTTGATTTTCTCGTTCTAATAAGTAATGAGGCAATGCTGTTCCATCATCGGCTGGAGCTTCTCGCTTTTTACTTTCCTTTTCCTCGTGTTTTTTCATCGTTTTCTTCATCTGAACTTTTTCAGTAAATCTTTGCCGATTATAGATTTTGGCTTTGATACCACGAAGTTTCTTTGCTTTGGACGATATTTCTCGCACACGGCGAGCATCTTTCTTTCGTTTACGTTCTTCATGATCTAGCCGACGACCATAACGTTTGTTGAACAATTCAATGTGTTCGTTTTGCGGCATATTTGTCGATGAATAAATTCCGTTGGAATTGTTCAACAATAATAAAAATAAAAAAATCAAAATAAAAAACAAAATTCACCACACACTTAACAAATAAATCAACGTGAACACGTTGCTTGAATTCGTTGATCATAAACAATGTTACATATATTGTGGTTATATATGCTAGCTCAAAGATGGCGCGACTACTGTTGAAATTGTAAAATACACATGTGACAATCGTTCTAATGACAGACTAAATCTTTTGACTTGAACAAATTTTTAAAAAAATGATTTGAATGCAATGTACCATCAAGACAGTTATAACAAACAAAAAAAGTCTGAAGAAACAGAAAGAGAAAAAAAAATGAGAGTTGATTCCTAAATGCAAACAAACCATGCTCAATGACAAATATGTAATGAAGCGTAAAAGTTGTCTCAATGGACTAAATTCCCTTTGGAGTTTAATGTTTTTTTTTTGAATCTATTGAAATATGGTATGTGAAAACATTATGTGAAAAAAATAAACAACAATTTTTTCATCCATTCCAACAGTGACAATAATCTGTTATAATAATAATGAACAGGAAATGGGCGTTATGTATGCAGAGAATAACAAAATTTCTCTGTTCATCCATTTTCATTGATGACGTAGACGTGATTCGTTCATGATTGTTGGATCTATGACCATGAAATCATAGGCCAGGTGAGTAAAAGTTTCTATTAAATAGACAATCCCATAACAGAACAGAACAGATAATAGATAGATAGAGAGAGAGAGAGAGAGAGAGAGAGAGAGAGAGAGAGAGAGAGAGAGAGAGAGAGAGAGAGAGAGAGAGAGAGAGAGAGAGAGAGAGAGAGAGAGAGAGAGAGAGAGAGAGAGAGAGAGAGAGAGAGAGAGAGAGAGAGAGAGAGAGAGAGAGAGAGAGAGAGAGAGAGAGAGAGAGAGAGAGAGAGAGAGAGAGAGAGAGAGAGAGAGAGAGAGAGAGAGAGAGAGAGAGAGAGAGAGAGAGAGAGAGAGAGAGAGAGAGAGAGAAGAGATAATAATGGCTATTACAATGAAGGCGAATTGATTGATTCATGTATAGATTATTATAAATATAATGTTACACATTGGGCGAAGATATTTTGAAAATAGAATATATTCGTGCAATGAATCACAAATAATAGCTTATTCCTTATCAATTTTTCTGTTTAGTTGCTCAGTTTTTTTTTCATCAGATCATTCTGTGCCATTGAAAAAGACACATTTATTTCGAAAAATAGTGCCAGACTATATATATGTTTGCCAAGAAACCAATAATACCGATGATAGATGATATATATCATGACTAACATTTCAACTAAGATATGACTTGATTTAATTTGATTTGATTAATTATCATTTTTGCCTTTTTGTTTTTATATTACACTTTTATGATGAAGTGACTGAAAAAAACGTTCATCATCATATCCATGGTTAGCTCGAATCATTCGATCAATGAGATTCAGTCTTGGACCATTGAGTGACGACTTGTCCTCGAGTATCGTTTACTTATTCACCAGAATATTGTAGACAATTTAGCCCTATAGTGATGATGAACAGATAAATGGTAGCAAGAGATTTGATTTGGCGTCTTGATGCTACATCCAATTCCATTATCATCATCATTTGATATTGCTGTCCACTTAGCTCCATATGTGACTGAATAGCAAAAAAAAAAAAAACGGCAATCATTTTTCAGCCATTATTTGAGATTCATATAGCTTTGCTTTCGATTGGTTTCGATGCCGGACTCGATAATGACTTGCCCATTCAAGGCTCTTGAATTGGATTTAGGCTTTTTGGTTGGCAACATCCAAAATAATTGAAATGGTATAAGAAAATATTGCTTATTTTTTTCTTGCTTGTTCCATTTTCGTCACAAAAATAGCTTGTATAGCAATCGATTAGAATGATTGTCGATTGGATAACCATTAAAAACTAGGGTTATTGCGAATTAGTGCATCATTTAAATTGGGTCAACACATCCAATATAGAGACGGCAATTGTATCACATTGATGGAATAAATTGTGCTAAATCATCCATCGATAATGAGTAGATTCAGCCGTTGGCTACAATCAAAAAAAAAAAAAAATGAAGAGGATGCCACTTCTTATGTTTGTCATTCATTCTGCAAAAAAATAAGCATTAAACGATTCATTTCTTAAGAATGTTATTTTTTCGAAACGATTCATCCCGGCTATTATCCCGGAAAAAAAACTTTTCATGCAATTAAGGTGTAGACAACATTGGAATCCGAAATGATAATTGAACAACATCTGTGCAATCCTATTAATATATGGGCAAATAACCGGTGTTATGGTTATTGTATTGTGTGAATTTTTCAATTATGAGATGTTCTCCATCTTTGGGAAACTGAATTGAACAAAAATCTAATCAGGAAATAGGCCAGAAAAAGCCATCATCATTTTTTTTTGTATTTCTTAATGTTTTGCACTGTTATGTGGTCGAATAATGATTTTTTCGTTTTTTTCGTTACTTATCGATAATTGAAATCAATAAATTTGTGTGTTAAATTTACCATTTATATTTGAATCAACCTAACATTCAATGACCATTATATATATGCTATTTACGAGTTTTCTGCCAACTTATTATGAATGTCATCAATGAACGATAATCGATAAAAAAAAAACTGAATCTGGTGAGAAAAATTATTTATATATTGATCTGTATATATGTTCTTCATTGTCTATAGTTGCTTTAGATGCAAATATAGTCGCGTTTAGTTTGTTTACTCTGTGTTTGTATATACACTTTGGTTGTTGGCGCCCTATTTCAAGTCAGAATGAAAAAAAAGAAAAAAGTTACCATTTCCTAATGGTCCTCCTTCATCAAACCACTCGATGATTGTAACAAACAAACAAACAAACAAAAACAAAATTGAAATCTACTGAATTAAATTTCCATTTCTATTCAGAACTCAACTTCAATTTGATGGCTCGGTGATGACCGTTCAAACAAAATAAACAAATAGTTTTATTTTATATGGTTGATGCATAAAAAACAATAATCGTATCATTATTATCTGTAGGCGATTTAGATTGACACACACACACACACACAATGGTTGTTACATTAACAAATCAAAATTGAAAATTCACATTAATTTCAGATTCTTGAGCTTAAAAAATGATTAAATTATCAGTACAGTGGTATATCGGCCAACCATTGCAAAACTCGATACAGTTTTACATCGGTTAAAATTTTTTTTTCAATATTCGATGGTTAGAATCATGAAAGAGATCTGTCAAAGTCGATTGCTGTAAATGTTGTTATGTGCACGAATGATCTAATTTTAGATTCAAATAATCACCATAATCATAATATATAGAATCGAATGAGAATTGCCATCGTATTAAAATGAGCATATAATTGTGCATATAATCAATCATTGAAAGTTTTTGAAACGTTCATCTGCACATAACTATTTATTGTAGTTATTATTAGAAATAGACCAATGGGAACCGTTAATGCATTGGTTAAGGTATGTCAGGTGTGTATGTGTAGCTTAAAGATAAAAAAGAAAATATTTCCGTCATTAAAGTAAACTGAATTAGTTGCGTGGTTCCGATTTTTCAAAAGAAATGTGAGGAAAATTCACATGATGGAATGTTTTTTTTGGCATTTGCAATTTGAATTCATTCATCTTATGTTGAATCGGTTACCAAAAATGGTATCCGAATGGATACGGAAATTTCTAGTTCTGGATTGCATTGAAATGCTGTACCGATCTTATTCTGAACATCTCAGCATTTCAGTCTGAATTTTGATTGTACTGCATTGCAAACAAGAAATTTTTTTTTATGGATAAAAAAAATCGACAATCGATCATGGCTCAATCATGTTCAGCCATTTTATTTTTATTCTTAACCACTTTATATAGATATATAGAATTTTTAGAGTTGGCCAATGATCGATACGATTTGATTATTCGATTTATATATGTGAATTATATCGATTAATCCATCACCATCATAGAATTGTGGAAAGCAAAAATGATAACAATAGGGATCACCACCCATTCTATGTTTGAATATTAATGTTGATGTAATTTTGGCTGTAAACTATTTTTTTCATTTTCATTTTGATGAAAATTTAAAACCATTTAACCATGTCTTCCTATAATGTTGATTAGTTTTACATCAAATCCAGATCAACATGATCCACGATGATTCCAAACTTTCAGCTGCGTTCATTAAATTGTTGGTCTACGTTACTGAAAATTCATTCAAAAGGATTAAAAGTTTGCCCACCAACTGACTGGATGCATGATAATCTATCTTTTCATCACTTGTGTTGCTTTCATTGTGTTTTTGCTGATTAATAATTAAATTCAGGCTTGAAGTTCATATAAATGTCATTGTGTTGTTTTGATAATCAATTCGATTAATCCATAACAGAGAATTTTCTAGCGAAAGGCTGTTGTACAATGCGTGTCCCGAAGCTTGTCTTTATATGATTTCGTAGAATCTCTTAGAATTTGGCAATGTTAAAATTCTGCAAACTATTCCATTGATTAACTAAAGTCAATTTTATCAATACAAATCCAGTCTAGAATTTGAATGTTTTAGAATTAAGTTGTTGGTCCAATGGCATGACCCAAGGCATTATACTATTTAGATATTCACATAATTTACAATCACCTGCCTTATTTATACAATTTTGATCACAGGTGTATGAAAATATAGATGATGTTGTACTGTATGATAATGATGAAAGCTTTAATTCAATTAATTTCAGTCATCCAATTGAAGATATAGGATATATTATGGTTGCTAAAAGCTACTAAATTTGACTACATTACATCATTTAATGATAAAACTAATGAGATTGCCACACAAAACTATTCGATCTTCAAATTCCATTATCCTTTCATCACGTCGTACAGACACACACACACACACACACACTTATGGTGAGAATATGAACATTTGGAGACAATCGAATTAATATGATTGTTGGCGTATTTTCATTTTCATGTGTTTCATTATGGCGACTAAAGTTTCGTGACGAATAGCTGATCATCGGCCATATATATATTATTTTGGATTATAATTTGGTTATTTTATCAAAAGAAACCAAATTAACCAATATTCGAAAAATAAGCAATGGTTCATTTGTTAAAATATTCGAAAACTAAATGAATCAATCCAAATTATGATTGTGCTGTATTTTGTTCAAGGCCATAATGATTTTACCCATCATACAAACTGGCCATGAATTTATACAACATCCGTCCTGATATACCCGATTCTATTATATTGTTAGATGAATGGACTCTAATATCTATAGTTATCTGTCTATTTCAATAGGAAGTAAATAGCATTGATATATTATTTTTTTTCTTTTTATTTCTATTTTTCTCACATCCTATTATAAAACATTTGTGTTCGTGATGACTTGATTCATGATGACATGATCCAGTTAATGATGATAATCATTGTTGTTGTTGTTATTGTCGGTAATTAATGTTTCCTCAAGAATGTCTGTCAATGTTCTTCTTCTTATAACAAATGTTTTTGTTGCCTTTGTGACAAGCTCTAATTAAAATGTGCCATTCTTTTTTTCTGGTCTTTCATTCTAGAAAAATGTGTGTGTGTGTGTGTGTGTGTGTTATATCTTTGTCACCATTATCATTATGGTGAATGAATGGATTGAAATTTGTAACAAATGGATAAAAATTTTTGGATGTATTTGTTGTTTGTCGCAAGAAAAGTAAATCTCATTTGCTAACTCATTGTGTTTGTGTGTGTGTGTATATGTCATCCTGATTGCTAATTTATCCTTTTTTTTCCATTTGTCAACGCCTTTTCATTCGTTCATTTTCCATCGTAAATGTTGAATGTCGTGATGAATTATTTGTCAATGAATGTGTGTGTCTGTCATCATTTCAACGATAATAGTAATTGTAATTGGCAACAATCACGTGACATGAATAAAACAAAACAAAAAAAAATGATACATTCAAGAAACCATAGAAAAAAGATGGCTATGAAATGATATGAATTTCTTTTTTGGCCGGACTTCTATAAATAGCTAAAGAATCGCCTTGAATATATAAAAACAATTTGGTACAATGCCAATGCTGAATGTGAATTCAAAAAAAAAAAAAAAAAAATCAGCATGTGAATGGTGGTCCCTTGTCGGGTTGCAGATGAATGGTTGTATAGGTTGGCCATGAGGAATTTATTATTTAGTATTTTTTTTTGTATGCAAATTCTATCATTTTCGACCACTTTGACACTTGAAACTTGAATCGAATTTTGTTCGACCAACCATGACAGAAAAAAAAGAAAAAAAAAATTCGACATTCGAGCTTGTTGTTGTCAATCACATTACGCTCACTGACTTTGCCTTTTTTTGTGATATCGTTGATGTTTGTGTTTGTGTGTGTGTGTGTATATGTCATCCTGATTGCTAATTTATCCTTTTTTTTCCATTTGTCAACGCCTTTTCATTCGTTCATTTTCCATCGTAAATGTTGAATGTCGTGATGAATTATTTGTCAATGAATGTGTGTGTGTGTGTGTGTGTCTGTCATCATTTCAACGATAATAGTAATTGTAATTGGCAACAATCACGTGACATGAATAAAACAAAACAAAAAAAAATGATACATTCAAGAAACCATAGAAAAAAGATGGCTATGAAATGATATGAATTTCTTTTTGGCCGGACTTCTATAAATAGCTAAAGAATCGCCTTGAATATATAAAAACAATTTGGTACAATGCCAATGCTGAATGTGAATTCAAAAAAAAAAAAAAATCAGCATGTGAATGGTGGTCCCTTGTCGGGTTGCAGATGAATGGTTGTATAGGTTGGCCATGAGGAATTTATTATTTAGTATTTTTTTTTTTTTTTTTGTATGCAAATTCTATCATTTTCGACCACTTTGACACTTGAAACTTGAATCGAATTTTGTTCGACCAACCATGACAGAAAAAAAAAAAAAAATTCGACATTCGAGCTTGTTGTTGTCAATCACATTACGCTCACTGACTTTGCCTTTTTTTGTGATATCGTTGATGTCATAGAAAATTTTTTACCATTTTTTTTCATGCATCTCTTGTTCAGTATATATACATAATAATAATGAAAAATCAATTTCTATTTTGGTTTGCATATCAATGACGATGATTTATGTTTTTTTTTTTGACCGAATTTGAGGGGAACCACTCGATATTTTTTTTTTTTAGAATTGTGCCTTCTGTTTTTCGATGATTCACGATTGTATAGAATTGTGCCTTCTGTTTTTTTTCTCTCTCTCTGTGTGTGTGTGTGTGTGTGTGTATTTTGTTATCTCATTTATTAGAATCAGTTTGTATATAATGTAGCAGGTGATTCTATTAGGTGTGTGTATGTATGAATTGTGTATGTGTGGTGGTCTCTCATTTATAGCTTTTCCGTTTACTGCTCCTGATTATTCTATCTTTAGTGGTTGCATTGGTTTTCCATCGTTTTGTTCAAATAAATTCATTTTATTATTATTAGAACGTCAATGGCGTCAGCGGTTCATGATAACCAACAACAAAAAGAATGTAATGAAAGAATTTGTGAATTTTTAATATAGACCAAACATTGGATAGCCCAAATAATAATGATTTTGGCAACTTTCGTATATACGGAATAAATATAAAACACGGTGGCTTCAGGAATGTAAAAAAAAATTTTTTTTTCCGTATACCGAATTGCTCTCTTGGGCTGTTGTTCTATTCGGTTCAGTGTTGTTCAATTTTTTTTTTATCATGATATGGGTAGTAAAAAAAATGGTACGATATTTTTTCCTGTTTCAATTTCATGGTCTATATTTTTTTTATGTTGTATGATGATGATGATAACATAGTCATGTTATGACCGTTATTTTTTACGGTTATTTCTTTTATTCTACGTTTATGATTCTTTTTTTGGGTATACACATGTGTGCTTGTGTGTGTGTGTGAATGTGTAATGATTAACATACAGGAAAGAATAAAAAAAAAATGTGTCACCAAGTTGATATATTCAATTCATGACAGTTTCATTTTATTTCGACACACACACACACACACACAAAACTGAAATCAATACATTAAACATCATCATATAACTGATGATGATGATGATGACGATAGCAGTCCAATTTTTTTTTATTCTTCTCATTTTACTCTTCAATAGACACACTGATTCTGATTTTTTTTATTTTATTTTATTTGAAATGAAAAATCATTTCCTCTTTTAGTTTGGCCTGATGTGTTTTTTTTTTTTTTGTTTTGTTTTGGTTCCTGATTCTCGTTCTCCATCTCCTGTATACTTGTGTGTGTGTATGTTGGTAAAAATGACAATGTACGCACACACACACATCCATACATTAAACCGATCGATTCGGTAATTTAAGTTACTGGTAACACACACACATCCTTCAATTGAAAGTTTTAAAAATCGAAAAGTGCCGAAACATATTGTGTGGTGTTGGTGGTGTTAAAACCACTGTCACTGATGGAAATAATAATGGAAATTGATTGAAACTAAATAAATCAAATTGTTACTTTCAAGTCGACTCTATAGAGTGTAATTCATTCATGTTTTTTTTCTTTGATCAATTCAGTTTGATTTAAACACCTTCTCTTTTTTTCACAAACACATGGCCAGTGATTTTTTTTTGAAATTAATAATGACATTTTTACCATTAGAATTCTTTTTTTTTAGTTTGTTTGGCTAATTGAATATGAATCTTCTATGTTATCATAAAGCTTATTAGATTGTTTTGTCACTGAGCTAATTATCACATACAACCATTTACCGAATGAGTGAGCATAAAATATCACCCGATTTATTTTTTTTTTTTTTTAGTTGTATAAACGTAATTCAATCCGATGACAACAACAACAACAACAATGATTGTTGATTTTTCACTTGTCCTTTTTGTTTGTCCTCTATACATATACAAACATTTGTGGTGGTAGAAAATTTTTTTTAATTAAATGATTTGAGACAAGTTATTCCTATGTTGGCTATGATGATTAGACATAGAATTTATTTATGTTTTTTTTCCACATATACACCTGTATTATTCTGTGCAATGTATAGGTATAATGAAAAAAATGAACATTAATATCAAACAGATGCCAAACTTATCAATCGATTCAGTTCAAAGACCGATCGATTTTTTTGTTCACTATAAATTTGACTAACAATTATGCTAGAACTTTCCATATTGATTGGCCGGGTACTTTTTTCAGCTAATTTTCATTATATGCCGGAACCTGTGGGCCAAAAAAAAAGTTCATATCTTTTAATTATTACATAATGTTGCATTACATTTTTTGTCTAATCTTCATTGTTGTTGGTTAGATATTCTATAGAATCTAGATCATCATCATCATCATCATCGATGTTGATATTCGACTATTTAGACAATTAACTGCCAATGCAATTCCATTTGTTCATAAATAATCATTATATTCTTATTATTAGAATGATTTATTATATTGATAGAAAAGAAAAATATCAGCAATTATTTGGAACATAAATAACACATGTGACATTCACAGTATAAATACAAGTGTCTATTTATTTAATAATCAGAATTCAATCGATCGATAGATAGATCGATTGAATGGTATCCATGTGCTACCGGTTATGTATGTCTTGTGAATGAACTAAAAAATTACAATTTTTTATGCAACTGTGTCTATGTGTATTTGTAATTTTTGCTATTTTATGTATTTATCTATGCATGATCAATGATGCTCGTCATATATTGTCAAATACATACACACACGCCCAGATTTTTACCATATATACTATCATCATCATCATTTTACATCATACCATTCAAATCATTAGTATTTTTATGGTATTTTTTTTTTTTTTTTTTTTTTTTGGTGATCGATGTTTTTAGGAGGACCATATGTTAAGTAGTGGTTTTTTTTGTTGTTGAAAGAAATGGTGCTATCCATGACTATCGACTTGCTTCTTGCTTCCCATTGTTATCTTTGAATCCATTCATTCCATGCGTTGTTTTTGGCCTACTGGTCGAGCAAAATCCATAAGCTAGCAATCGAATCTTTTTTTTTTTTTTTTGACTAACGGTTTGGTCGATTGATGCACAAAGAGATCGTCGTGACATGAGCTTTCAATATGATGTAGCGCTCTTGTTATTGTGACTTTACCCGTATTATACATCATAAAGTTTTTGGTTGCTTCATTTTTTTTTGCCTTCAGACTTCAGAGAATATTACGTTATATCGATTCTGGTATATGCCACCCACACATGTGTATATGTGTTTCCTTTTCTTACTGGTTTAGTAGGTTCATAAAAGAATGGTATATGAATGCCAATCAATTCGTTTTCGAATGTAGCGGTCTGGTTGCCTTATACTTGGAACGCCGATGTATGTATTATCCATGTGTATGTATATTGATAATATTGTACATTATTCGCCCACTGCTATTCTGTTATAGCTCCCAAACTCACATCATTGTTTGTTTGTCTGTGCGTGTATGCATGTGTGTGTGTGTGTGTGTGCGTGAGTGTTTGCATCCAAATGCGAAAACCAGATACTAACATTCTTCTTTGTGTTGTGTTTATGGCAGGTGTGTGTATTTGCCGCTATTTTTTTTTTCTTTATTTATTCTCTTCCCAGACGATGACAACAGCCGCATGCTGGAACCATTTCTATTGATGTGTGTTTAGTGAATGGGCGCCTGACATAAAAAAAACCACCACCACCACCACAATGATGACGACAAAATGACGGCAACTAATATCAATAACAATGATGAAAATAATGTAATGATGATTCTTTAAAATCCTAACTATTCAAGTTCATATTCCTTGTGGTATATGCGTATCAGTGTGTGTGTGTGTGTGTGTGCAAACATCTCATTAGATTTACATGCTGCTCCTGGCCTGATAACGATGATGGCCTCACTTTAGGAACTTCTCTTGTACCGACGACGACGACAACAATAACAGCAACAACAACAACAACATCTAACTAACATAGAAATAGAATTTGACAGACTGTCGGAATTATTAGTCGGTCAATCGTCATAGTGTTTTTATGTGTGCGTGTATTGTTATTGTTTTTGTTGTTGTTGTTGTTGTTGTTGATTAAAGTTCAAACGATCATTTATGATACATGGACCACCAAATAGTCGTAACAGTAGTTATAACTTATTGGGCCATGCAACCACCAAAAACAAGGCCATGACTATTTGTGATTTGTGTTTGTCTGTTATAATTCAAAATTCGTTCAATTGAAATGTCATAACTTTTAATAAATAAAATTATTTTATTTTTGTTCATAATTTGTTTGCATCAGTAATCATCAGTAATATAATGATATAATGAGAAATTTAATCATCTATCAAATTTTACAAATGATACAATGACATCTAAAATGGCAATGATCGTTTGAGTGAGTGAATCAATTCATTTGATATATATAATCACTACTATTATTAGTGTTTATTTGCACATGTGGTCATCATATAATGGGCAGTGATGATGTAATTGAAGAGATGGCCAATGATGATGAACCAAATAATACACATAATACGAATTCAAACAAATTTTTTGAACCTAACGAATCAAAACGATTAAAACCAATCAACGGTGATCATCAAAATCCAGTTTACGGGACTGCAATATCTACATCAAACGTAGTCGGTAATGGCAATGGTAATATTGAAATTGGTGATAATAATCATAGCAAAATGATGCCTTCTTCTGATTCTTCCGGTCTTGCAAACGGAGGAGGAGGAGGTGGAAGTGCCGCTACTGGTGAATTTAATTTGAATGAAACAAATCGAATAAAACGGCATTCATTAACATTGAAACGCGGTGATACAGAATTGAGTATCGATCATGGAGGCATGCAAAGATTTTTACCTACATTCATGCATTTTGCATTTGCCGACCGTGAAGCGGAACAATTATATCAGGAATATTATTCCAACGAGAAACGTAATGATTTTAAAGCATTGATTGTGATTGTGATATTCGTAAATCTTGTACTATTGGGCCTTCATTTATTGTCATCATCTTGGAATCATAGTGATCTTTCCCATCAGCAATTAATTATATTGGGCAGCTGTCTTGTGTTGGCCGTATTTTTGTTCATACTGTGTTTACGACGATCTCGAGATGCACTTGCATCTCGTCTCTGGTCATTGATACCGTTTGCATTGTGGTTAGTGATGTTGGTACAAATCATCTGTGATCTATGCATATTCATTGGACGCCCACCTGAACCATCTGGTTCAATAAGCTGGCTATTGCTTTATTCATATGCTACTTATGTCATTTTTCCGTTACGATTCCGTATCTGTTGTGCATTGAGCATTCTTATGGCTATACTGCATTCATTGTTTATCATTACGTTCGCCACATCGACTTACATGTTAGCCAATCAGGTAATTAACCACGAAAACCTACACAGTTATTATAATCGTATTTGGCCATATTCGGTCTTGACAGATATTTGCCAATCTAATCATCATCGTTAGCGTGAATCTACTGAGTACAATGTCATTTTTTTTCTACGAACGACAACAACGACGAGCATTTCTTGAGACCAGGCAAAGCCTTGAGACTAAGTTGACTCTTGAAGAGCAATCACAAGAACAGGTAAGGATTAATTTATAATTGGTATTTTCTTTATGGATCTGATAATCTGATCTAGATCTGTGATCCTTTTTTTCTATGGCTTCTTTAATTGCATAGATAGAAATATATGTAGTCTATATATTTATTTGAATTTTTTTGGATTTGTTCCATGTACCATAGGAACGATTATTATTGTCGGTATTACCGAAACATGTGGCTGCAGAAATACGTCAAGATTTAGGTGCTGTTGTTGAAGGCCAATTTCATAAAATCTATATGAGGTATGTATAGGAGATTATAAATAGCAATCCAAGTAGTTATGATTTTTATCCTTTCTATCCACTATTAACTGTTTATTTTTTTTTGGCTTCCTTGGAAAAGCCGTCACGAGAATGTTAGGTAAGATATTATTCTTCTGTTTTTATGGCCAATTACTGATTTATTTTTGATTGCGATTGCTCAGCATTTTATTCGCTGACATTGTCGGTTTCACTGCCATATCTTCTACGTGTTCGGCACCGGAATTAGTTAAAACATTGAATGAATTGTTTGCCCGTTTTGATAAACTTTCCGACGTAAGTATATTTGTGTGGATATCATCTAAAAATAGTAATAATAAATCCAAATTACGACATTGGTCACAGAAATATCATCAATTACGAATCAAGATATTGGGTGATTGTTATTATTGTATTAGTGGTGCACCAGAAGAAAGACCCGATCATGCAGTTCTTTGCGTTCATATGGGCCTCTCCATGGTTGAAGCAATCAAGTAAGTTTTTTTTATTAATGCCATTATTCAACTTTACCATATAGTCCTATTATAATGAATCATACCCTTTCTTCTAAAAAAAAAAGTTTAATGAGTCCTATTTTTCATGCCAAGTTTTCATTTAAACTTTTTTCCCTCTTATGAATCTAAATTTAATAAGAATAGAAAGATTGTTTGTGGCTTGTGTTTACACTTGAGAGGTAGAATCTGCAATTGAAAAGCTAAATATACAAAACACATTATTCTGTGTTATGTCTGTGTTATAGGCGTCATGGTCATATTGAATAAAAGAATACTGAGTAAATACTGACATTCGATATGAATGTGGGATCCAGAATCGCAATAACTGTTACAATGGGTCCATGAAAAAACTTGGTAGTTGCAATACAACCAAAATGAATGGAACGAGGACATTTGATGTGATAACAACATTTGATTTGTCTTGTTTGTTATTAAATAAATGAATTTTTTCCTTTTTTTTCTCAATTTTCTTGTAATCAGATCGGTTCGTGAGCAAACAAAATCAACGGTCGACATGAGAGTCGGTTAGTATTGTTATATTTTTTTTTGTATTGTGAATTGTTTTTGACATTTGTTTACAGGAATCCATACGGGTAGCGTACTAGCTGGTGTACTAGGTCAACGACAATGGCAATTTGATGTATACAGTCGTGATGTTGAGCTGGCCAACAAAATGGAAAGTGCCGGATTACCCGGGTAAATTAAATCATATACAATGACAATCTGAATATAAGGATACAATCATATTAATCACCAACATTATTTACTTGTTACATTTTATCTTATCCAAACAGACGAGTACATATATCTGAAAAGACGCTTAGTTTTTTGGATGGCGAATTCGAAGTGACCGATGGAGATGGTGCATCACGCGAAGAAGTTGTTCGTTTGGCCGGTATAAAAACCTATTTCATAACCAAGATTATAAAACCTGTAAGTTTTTTCTTTTTGCTCATCTTCCATCCGATTATCAGATTTTGCATAGAATGACAGCCACCAATAAACATGATTTATTTATAATAAGTCTAATGTAGCCACACATAGAGCCTTTAATCTCTTTTTTAATATTTATTACTAAGCTCATTAGAAATTCTTTGCTCATATAATCGAAAATGCGCGAATATAGATATATTATTATTATTCATTCAATTATGAACTATAGTCGGATATTAGCATCCGACATGATGATGAATATATTTGGCAGCTTGGGCCAAGTTTGGCATCATCTGGCTAAACTTATCCATTGCATTCGTAATCAACTGTGCTAATATGCAAATTAGCCCATTCAATGAGCCATGTTTTGATTTTTATTCATTCCTTTCGTTAATAGTATCCGGAAGGAACTCTAGATGCAATGATTCAAACAGAAATTCCAAATATAACAGATGAATGTGGGGAGGTAAGTGATGAATGATTTCCGATGAATGCTAAATTTAACCATGATAATTATAGACGACCAAATTGAATAGCGATACAACCGGCGATCGCTATCGGCAAGAAGATATAAAAGATCCAGAAGTATATAAACGACGTCTACACGCTGAACTCATACATCGCGATAGTGAAAAAAACATTGCCGAACACACTGATTTATTGAGCTTGACATTCAAGAATGATGATATCGAACGAGAATATCGTGAAAGTCGTGATATAACTAGCTGCATATCGTTACTTGGCCTTCCTTTCACATTGTTCATCTATCTATTGGCATTCGTTTTGATTGGACCGATGCGTTTACACATTTATTTGACCCTTGTCATTTGCCTTGTATTGCTCACCGTTAAAGCGTTCATTTGTACAATACCAATCATATGTTCGGTAAATTGATATTCGATTCGATTTATCCGGTCTCTCTTTATCATTTTTCCTTCCATTCGATCCATTATTAATAACAGTCGATTCCAAAGCCATTGGCTATACTGTCCAACGCTGTACAGCAGAAATCTTGGATACGTGTAACGATCGCGGGCAGTATGATAACCATTTGGATAACGGCTCACATTATTGTCAATGTGAGTAGTAAAAAATCATTCAACTTTACATTTATTCTCATTTACATTTCTAGGTATTTTATGATTCGAATCTCAACACTGAATATGCAAATCTGATTGTCTCGGGCTCGACTGATAGATACCATGTGGCCAACCATGTCATAGCATTGCCTCAATACCTAATATTCTTTTGCATACTGGGCTTATTAGCTATTACTGTATTGACTCGTATACAATTCCTAATGAAAGCGGCCATCATTATAAGTCTAGCATTGATCCAATGTGTTCTCATCTACGCCTGTCTAGGTTATGCATTCAAAGTTTATAGGCTCATCAATTATCAACAATTGATCCATAGTAGGCATAACTATGTCATCATTATCATAACAATAGTTATTGGATTGATTATTATTAATCGACAAGTAAGTCTTGACTGATGATGGTCAGCTAATCAATTTGAATAATAATTTGGAAAATAATACTTGATGATAACAATAGTTTGAACTAATGACACGAAGGCTGTTCCTATGGCAAAAGGATATCGATCAACAGAAGGAAATGGTGGCCGATATGCGACGAAAAAATGAAGCTCTTGTCTACAACATATTACCGCCACATGTTGCCGTCCATTTCTTGGGCAAACGAAAAAACGACGAGGTAAGCCATAATCTATGATCTAGTATTCCTGGTAATTAGTTCTTGCTTTTAATCGTCTTTATATAGGAATTGTACAGTAAAAGTTATGAATGCGTTGGCGTCCTATTTGCATCGATGCCCAATTTCGCTGATTTCTACACTGAAGAATCGGTTAATAATCAAGGATTGGAATGTTTAAGATTCCTTAATGAGGTGATATCCGATTATGATTCGCTACTATCACAGCCACGTTTCAGAGACATATTCAAAATTAAAACGATAAGCTCAACTTATATGGCAGCTAGTGGATTAAATTGTGAAGAATCAGATTGTTCGAAATCGAATAATATTATTGAAAAATGGTCCCATTTAGCACAATTAACTGAATTTGCATTAACCATGAAAGAAACATTGAACGGTATCAATAAGGAAAGTTTCAATAACTTTGTTCTTCGTATCGGTATTAATCAGGGCCCGATCACTGCTGGTGTGATTGGAGCTAGAAAACCTCATTACGACATTTGGGGCAATACTGTTAATGTTGCTAGTCGAATGGAAAGCACCGGAAAAGCTGGATGTATCCAAGTTGTACAGGAAACGATGGAAATTCTTAAAGAATTTGATTTCATATTCGAACAACGTGGACTAGTCAGTGTGAAAGGCAAAGGAAAATTGATGACTTACTATTTGATTGGTAAGAACAAGTAATCCATTGCTCATCAAACATTGAAAACCCTCATCCCACAAATACACACAACTACTATCTTTGATTTTTAATGGTTACCTGCAAAAAAATACGAAATCTTACAATATTTCTTGAATATCAACATTATTATCCATCACTTGTACAGATCTAAATTTACACACCCACCAGCCATTATCTTATTTCGTCTCACTGGTTATCATTAATGTTATTTTATTATTTGTTGAAATTTAATTATCGACAAATTATCCATTTGTATGTACATACAAACACACACATATACAGTAATATAATTGATTGGAATGTTTTAAAATCGATTACTAATTTATGATGAATTCAATTATGATAATTGTTTTTAAATTTTTTCTATAGATATAATCTTTCAATTAATAAAAATGATCTATCTATCAATGAAATTCAAGCATCTATTTCATTCACATTGACATTGAATTATATGTAAAACAAAAATGATGGCTTGCGAGTAATCGCGATTTTGACCATTTCGACCATTTGTCTCGTAACAAATGTTTATAAAAAACGGCAAAAATTGATGACATCGGCATTGCTTAAAGCCATCTGGTGAAACGGTCGATTGAATTGAATTTTATTACGCAAGAAAACCCCTATTCTATATTATATAGGGGAAGATAAAAATCAAGAAATAATAGATTACAAAGATTTAAAAATTATAAAAAACAACCACAGAGGCAATTTGCATTTGATTTTCAAATAAATTAATCACAATTTTTCTTCTATCTTCGAAATAATCTGGCCAATCATTTGATGGTTTGAATTTCATCAATATTGCATTTAATTGATCCAATGTATCCCGATTATTTGTCGATGATGATGATGATGATGAATGATAATTTGATAATAATTTTGGTCCAACCATCAAAATGAAATCATTGGATAATTTGAGATAGAGTTTACGAAATTTTGATTGGCCATACAAATGAAAAGCAATTTGGATAATTTTGATTTTGAAATATTTTTATTGTACACAGTGTCAATTAGAATCAATGTACCACAAAAACGTTGTAATGAAATCATTCTTTTTCGATTCAAATTCAGATATGTATTTTTTTTATTGAAAATTTTTTAACTCCTATACCTTGGGAATAGAAAAATACATATAAACAATATAAATACAAAAAAAGGAAAAATAAACAACAAATAAATGTAAGGGAATTGTTATGGTTTTAATAAAATCATAATAATCCCACAGATCGAAGCCGAAATGATCGAGCATCAAAGGATGCGACAAACATCGATAAACATCAAAAAAGAAAAAATAAACAATCATAAAAAATTAAAAATATTAACAAAAAAAAAAAAAAATAATAATCGATCAGGAAAAAGTTGAATCCAAATGGAAGACTGATTTCAATGCACGAGCTGCAGCGATTGGTCACTATTAAACCCCAATATTTACGGTCATTCATCAACGAAAAAGGTGGTGGGTCAAGATAAACAATATTGCCATTTGATTCAACTCGATAAACTATGACATTATCCCATCAATAGGCTCGTGACCACGAACACACATAGGCCGATCTTCTATGATTTGACGATCACCCTTTTTAAATAGATATTTTTTACGATTTTCATCATGAATTTGATGCCAATTTGACCAAATATAACGATCCGAGTGTACACGACACATCGAGCAATTATGCGATATTTTACGATACTTCCCCATACAAGGTAAACAGGTAAAATGGGAACAATTCTCCAATAGTGCCCAACGTCTTTGTTTGTGGAAACGTTTATCACAAATTTTTTCTTTGCAGACAGCACATTCCTGGACACAGTAACGATAAAAAAATCCAGTGATTGATCGTTGATTATCATGTTCAAATTTATCTAAATTTGATAGATATGAAGCTTTGATATGAAATCCTTCAATACAACGGGGTTCATCACCAAAAACAACATTGTTGCATTTTTTCATTAAATTGTATACACAAACAAATGTTGGTAACCGTTTATTTGATTCTTCACCATTATTGCAATCTTCGGGTCTATTGTTATGTCGACAATTCCCATCATCAAGGATTGGACAACGAAAATTTCGTAAGATGTCACGAATCAATTCATCTTCAGAACTAATATATGATGATTAATTGCTATTTGATTATTTCTTCTTGTACTGGTCATTTACAGGCAATGGTGAATCTTGTACAATTCGTTCATCACCATTTTCGAATAGATATTTTTTTCGATTCTCATCATAAATTTGATGATAATTTGACTCTTGGATTTGGATTTAAAGTCAATTTTATTAACTCGATGATGTGTCGTGTTCGAGTGTGTGCGTGTATAAGCGTGTGTGTGCGGATTCGGAATTTACGGTTGGAAAACATGCTCGTTTCTCTTCACCGTCATTCTCGGTCAAAATAGGAAGAGATTACAATAGGCAGCAATATGCGCAGCTAGTTGACTGCTACAATATATTAAAAAATATCAAGCCCGCAACAAGGCCAATATTCGGATTGCCTTTAATTTTTCACTATGATCAGTGTTTGATAAACTGGGCCTCATCTTTTCACAATCAAAACAAAAAACTATTTTAAAACTATATCATCATTTAATTAAATCAATTAATCAATTAATTAATTTAATTTAATGGTGATTGATCACCAATATAATAAAATGTTTCAATTCTGTTTTTGAATACCATTAAAACCAAATAAGAAGCAGCAGAATTATTGATTGAATTCATCATAAATCTGCAACCATACTTTATAATAAGAAATAAGAAAAGATACAAAATACAAACAAATCGTGAAAGATAGTTCAATAATAATACAAGAAAATTATTTTGTGAGATCAATGGCATGGAACATACAATAGTTAATAATAATTCTCTGAAACAGAATGAAATTGTAATGAGAAAAAATCAAGCAATTTTTGAAACTGTACAAATTCAGCAAATATGTCGCATGGATGTTGTGCTCAAATTATGGAAACAGAACTATAATATTTATGGCAAAAGATGTCGGAATATCTTCATATGATGAAAACCATTATACACACAGAATATTTCACTTGAATTCTTGTTCATTACTACTGATTTCTTGTACATTGTTTTTTTTTGTCTTGTTGGTGATCAAATAAAACTTCGTTATTTTTTTGTTTGACTGTGTGTATTAAGTTGGTGAACAAACGTCGATGGGAAGTTTTGTCGACTGCCGTTGGCCTCCCATAGATTGCACATTTATATATGACATATATAATAATGATGATGATATATAATTATAATAATAATAATAATTGCCATGCGCCGCCGATCGATACTAATCGTCATCATCAACATTTTTTGATGTTTTTTGTCGTTTTTGATGAGCTAAATTTTTCTTTTGATCATCGTTATCATTTTTAAATAAATGAGGGAAAATAGTCGAAGCATGTGCTACCAATTCATTATATTGGTCTTCGTCAAGTTGTTGTGATTGAGAATAGATATCATTAATTTTGGTCATCGTGTTTTTTACTCTTTTTTCTTCTTTCGTATATGTTTGCCAAAAAGCCGAAAATTTTTGCTGGACATTTTCTGGGGCTGCAAAATCGGTCAATTGTTTCCTAGATATGAAATCTGAATATATGAGTTAAAAATATGAAAATAATAATAAATAAATAAAATGCCCATACTTATCGAATCATTTTGTTTTTTTTCAATTTTTTTAATTGGTTTAAAACCATTAAATACGTTTTCTATCTTCGTCAATTTGAATGTATCGTCTGAAATGAATCAAAAGTATAATTGAAACAAGATATATAAAGATAAATGATATAATTATTTACTTTCATATGATATTGACACCGTTTGATCTAAGATGTCCGGTGGATTTATTTCATCTTCGAATTGGAGCTCAATGTTTGTTTGCTCCTTATGCAATGAAACTACAAAAATCATTTAAAATACGAGTTTCAAAATATGAATCAAAATATACTTACCATATTTACGATATGCCAAATGAATGTGAATGCAGAAATTGTTTCTGATTAGGAAATCATGACAATTGCATGATACTTGGCACAGGCACAATTTACATTCATCACATTTTATTTCACAATCTGGCTGTTGATTGGAATTGATCGATATTACATAATATCGCTTCTTTTCCTGCGACCAGTATTTCAAGGTTATGATGCCACAGGAATGATCAATTTCCTTGAAATTATCAATTACCTTTTTTTTTGCTTCTGCGTGTTTTGAACGCAGATATCTTACTTTCGTGGGAATGTATCTACGATTGATTCGCACCACATAATCTATTTCGTAATCACTAATGATATGGACCAATTTTTTTAATGTCGATGTGACATTTCGATTTTTTTTGCCATCCATATATTGGTATTTTAATTTTTTATGAAAATTTTCGATGATCATGTTGGTGTTTATTCCCAATTGTGTTCGATGGCAATATGCCCACCTTTCTGGTGGATATCGCGAATCGTTTGTCAAATAATATTGCAGCATATATTTGGCAAATCCAGTGGTTTCGTTTTGATGCAAATAATTATCCAAAAATTTATTCTTCTCATTTTCGAAGTTTTGTGGATCAAGATTGGTCATTAATTTCATTACTGATGAACGTACCGTATCTCGAATTTCCTTATCCGATATTATGGCATTCAAATTCTGGTTGAATGCCTTTTTCACATGAAAAGAACAATATAGAAAAATACAATTTCCAAAGATATGTTTCCATGCATTGGAAAACAATATCTCCATATCGGTCATAACGATGTTTGATTTGAAATTTTGACCAAGGTTAATTTTAATTTTTTGAAAATAAAAACTTATGAATTTGTAATTCACCCTGTTTGAAAGCAAAAATGCGCAAGGATATCCGACCCTGAAAGAAAAAAATTAAAATTAAAATTACAATTTTATATCTATAATACTTACTTCATTTTATCCAGACACATTATTGTCGTCAATATCAAGCCTTTGATGCTCGAATCATGCGTTGAATCTATTGATATTATTTCTGAGTTTTCCTTCATCATATCTTTTTGGCTATTAGCCTGTAATATAATTAAAAAATCATCTTCGTGAAAATCATCAATTGCTTTGCCGATATCTTTAAAATATAGCACCGAGCACGGCGAAGATTTTAAATAATCGATGAATGTAGACAAAGATTCTTCAGCGATATCTTTAATATTAAATTGTTTTTTGATATTGTTTAGATATTTGGTAGTGACCATCTGTGCCATAGTAATTTTATCCGAATTATCCAAAAGATTGCGCATTTTTTTCTTTATAACGGATGGTTGCAATCCAATCTTGAGATAATGTGCAATCAATTCTTTGTGTTTATTGGGTAATCGACAAAATTTCATATCTAATTCATGACCGACATGGGTTGTTGTCCATTTAGCAGTGTATGTGCCATCTTTGATCCTGGTTAAACTAATTTGTGATGGACATATATTGCCAATTTTAATTGTTTTGATTGATTTTGCAGCTCTTTTTCGCTCCGATCTATTAGCCGGTATGGTTCCACGGCGCGAGCAAATATAATTTGCAGTTATAACTTGCTGATTGGAATCCCGTTCAATTCTTCTTGTCGAATAATTGGAGCACGTTTCTTCTTCAGTTTTCTCCAAAAATGATTTGAACATTTCAAAATCTTTAAATTTCAAATTTTTCACCTGAATTTCGATACCATGTGCTGATTTTAAATGAGCTGCTAAATAACCGGAATACTTTTGCCCGCATAGACAGCAATCATATAAGTTTTTAGATGTGCTTTTATCAACGTCATGTATTCGTTTATTATGTCGTTTTAGATTCCATTTAGAATTGAATGATTGGTTGCAGCGTTCACAAAAATGAAGTGGTTTCTTGCCAATGGATGCTTCATTATTCAAAATTTGGTCCTGAGAAGGACCGTTGGTCACTTTCGACGTACCATTTGAAGTATCACAACCAGGAACATGAACCAGACCCTGAGAAGGGCCGTTTGATCCGATGCGAACGGAAATCGGCACATGTTGATGGCCAAATATTGGCACCTGGTCACCAAAGAAAATTTGGTCCTGAGAAGGACCGTTGGTCACGTTCGACGTACCATTTAAAGTATCACAACCAGGAACATGAACCAGGCCCTGAGAAGGGCCATTTGAATTATGAATTGCACTTGGATCCATTGTTGATCAAACAAAAATTTTATTATTAAATAACAATGAAAAGCCAAAAATTTTGTAAAATGTGATCATATATAAAAATTGCGCCAAAGCTTAGAACAGTCATTCTCAACCCATGTGCAGCGGCACTAAAATCGTTAACAAATCAATAGCACCAAAATAAGGTTGAGAATCACTGGCTTAGAAGCTGGAAAAATCCTAACCGTTCATATACTACGTGACGAAGCCTCAGCTGGCCTGCTCCAACGCTGAAATTTACCTGCTTGTCTTCAGAAACCTTTCAACGACAGATGGCGCTGAAAGCATTCTCAAAAAGCACTGCTCAAAGGTATTCCCTACTGTTGGAGGTGCACACACAAACATAATTGGCTTACTCTTTTATGTTATACACATACATACATGATGATGATGATGATGATTTTTACTTTCACTGAATGTACCACAAATGGCTTTCCAATGTGCTGCCCACATTATATAATGTCAACATCCCAAATGGACATCTGATCACTGATTAAACAACAGATTTTTCAATCATTTTATATGGCAATTAGGCAAGAAATGCCAATCAATTCAAATGGCCATATTGAGATGATCGATCATTCGTTTTTTCATTTATTTGAACCGTTTTTCATTTGATTATCCCAATACTTCATTTGCCCATTGTTTTTTCCTTTGATTTAAGTTTTGTTTCTTCATTTGAGCCAAAATTAGCAGCACACCAGATTTTTCCACTATATTTGATGTCAAGTTTGTTTGTCGAATTGAATAATTATTTGCTAGTGCAATGTTCATCCTGGACGAAAATCAGGAACACAATCTGCTTGTTATATTGAATGAGATCAATCGTCACTTGCATTGTAACCATGGGGAGCAACAAGATCAGACGATATCAGGCAACAAGAAAAATTTACCACATGCAACAGCAAATAAGAGTCATCAAAGGGGCAAACAATTTGAATCAATACCATCGCCGATAACCGGTTTTAATTTGGGAAATCGACAATGTCTAATCGATTTCATATTGAACACTGTACGATATTTTAATACATTTTTCCGTTTCACATCTTCCAACCATTATGGTCTGTATATATTGTTGTCTTATCAATAACTAAAATTTGTTTTTTTTGTCCATCATTATTCATAGATTGTTTTGGCAATTCTAAATCAAAAAGCATTATATTCTGGCTATCATTTTTCTACAATCGTAACCTATATGAAAATATTGATTTTGAACAGATATTTGATACGGTTCCCGAAGAATCGAGCACATATCATCCACATCATCATAGTCATCATCAACATTCGAATCAAAATGACAAGATTCTTTCCGTTACAAATAAAGAACTTGGTGCCAAAAGTAAAGTCGTCTTGAATGGTGTTGCCATGACTAACAATACAACAGTGAATAACAATGCAACCAATGCTAGCAATAACAATGTGCTTGATAAAGCTCTCGTGAATAATTTAAAAGATCAGAACCAATCGATTCCTATGGATGAATTAGTCTCAAGAATGAACGTTCTACAAGAACTTCATCTACCTTCTGGATCTGTGGCTAATCAACAGCAGCAGCAACAACAACAACAGCAGCAGCAGACATTGTATCAGCAAACTCTATCGAATTTGAATGAATTCAACGTTCCAGCTATCGGACTATCCACACAGTTATCATCTTTTCACCAACAATTGAATAACATGCCACAGCTATCAAATATGGATCCAAAGTTGTCATCGAAAGATAGCCACGCTGTGGTGGAACAATTGTTCACGGTTGAACAACAAAATCAGCTAAATTATCAAACCATCAGGGACATAACGTTCATCAGTTTGTTGATTACAGTCATATTCTATAAACTTCGTCATTTATTTCCCACATTGGTCAACTTGTCACGACCCGATGTTTCATGGAAATTCCTGATCAATTTTGAACGAGACATTGAAGTTTCATTCATGCATGAGACATTCTTGGAATTTTTGCAAAACGAATTACTTCAACAGAGGTTGACAAATAAAAAACGTACCGATATTCTCAAGCAAGAAGTGATATTCATGGAGAAAATGTGTAAAATGGTAGACAGAGAAGTGGAGAATGAAATCTGTCGACTTGTATCTCAATCCTCACAAAACAAACCGAACAAATTGCCTCCATTGATGAATAATCTGTTACAGCCTGTGTCTACAACCGGTATTGGTCAAAGTTCTGTTTTGACGATGGCCAATACTGAAAAATCAACTGTAGTAAAAGGGTTACGACCTTGTCCTCATTGTGGCAAAATATTTCGAAATACCTACAAATTGAATCGCCATTTGTACGTACATAAGGATCCCTCGGAAAAGCCATTCATGTGCAATTGGGATAATTGTAGTTATCGTTCGATTTCCAAGAATGATCTGAATCGCCATCGAATGATCCATACAGGAGAGAAGCCTTATGTATGTGAAGTCGGTGGTTGTGAGAAACGGTATTCACGGGCGATAAATTACGCCACCATAAGCTCAGTGTTCATTTCAAAGATTCGACCAAAAAAGAACAGATCTGTATCTGGCCGGGCTGCAATTTTCAATGTCTAAATAAAAGCGAACTGAATCGTCATCAATTGACACATGAAGCAATCAAATGCAATTACATCGGTTGTGATAAGATCTTTGACAAAGTCGATAAACTAAAAAAACATCGTGAGAAAGATCATATCAAAATCGAAGCCAATATGACGGCCACCAATGAATTCGTCAGCACTGGTGGCCATTTTGCTACCGTTCCGGCTATATCTGTCACATCTACACCTGATATTGCTACCGTTGCTGCATCATCAAATCATCACCACCAACAGCAGCAGCATCATGGCCATGGTCATAATCATCAAAATCAACATGCCGGCAGCCATCATCATCACTCTTCTACCCAACAGCAACTGCAGTTGCAACAGATACAAATGTTGACACAGAATCAATTGAATTCGATAGCTGCATTGCATCCAGCATTAACCAATACCGATAACAATGGAAATACGGACGCTAAATTATCCGATCTATCTAGCCATATGACGTTAACACAGGTGTCTGCTGATCCCGCTTCTAATGGTACACCTCAACAACAATCACAGCAAACAAATGCCAATCATGTTAACAACAATGTGATCAATACGATATCATCGACGACATCATCGGTTCCGATTACTTCGATCGTATCGACCAATCAGCCCAATGATTCCAATAGTTCAAATGATCCTGGTCAACAGCAACAAAATAGCATCTCGGTTTGGTCTTCATTAAGATCTTAAACCCTAAACTCATCATCATCCATTACACATCAATTATATTTGGTTATATTTTCATTTTATTCATACATTCATAAGATATTTGGTCGTATATGGATAGAGAGACATTATTTAGATAGGCACAGCCTATAACGAATTTTTTCCCTGTTTCGGCCTATTCCATCACCTGCATCTAGTTTTCAATATTTATAATTGTTAATTGCTGATTGATAATCGATTAATTTATTCTTAATTGATGACATGATTGACATTCTTATTGCTCCTTCAAGTTACATATATTATTCTGTTAAGTTAATGAATGTCCATTGCTGCACGTTGATGTCTGTATGTTTTTTTTACATGAGAAAAACTTTGGTTTAAGAAACCAGAAAACCATTTTTTTTGTATGAATTAACTTGTTCGTTCAGAGCTCTAGTCAATATATATATTATAATAATAAAATTAATCAAAATTTATTTACACAGCCATTCAATTCAATTTGTGTTGTGATCTGCAATGATGTTTGAATCTGCTGCTGGCCATCATCGTTTCCATTATCATTGGTTGCCGTGTCGAGTACAAGTTGATTTTTACAATGACCATTACAATTATGAATTATTTGCTCCAATTGATGGCATCTGTCTTTGCAATGTTTGAGTTGTTGCTGCAAATAGTAGATAGTGTTCTGAAATCCTTCGACAGTTTCTTCGATTTCGTTAACAACTTCTTCCACTTCGGATTGGCTTTTGTTTAATGCTTCGGAATAATTTTTATGCATAGCCAATCCACTTTCCAATTTGGCGATTTTACCAGAGGAAATCATTTTGCCTAGTTCTTCATTTTCATCGTGTAGAGATCGACATTTGGCCATCAGCTGCTTACCGTGTGCACTAGATTGTTAAACATAATAGATCATTGTTTATTATTATAGATTTATGACAAATTTCTTACCTGTCAGCAGTAAATTTCCAAGCTTTCATATCGTTTTGCATTTCCTCTACCCTCGATTTGGACACATCGACTTCTTTTTTCATTTTTTCGAATATATAATTAAAGGCTGGATCTAAATGCAGCGATTCGGCATTGCTAATCGATGGACGTTCAAGTTCTTTCAATGCTTCAATCTGGGCCTGCAATTTTGGGTGGACATAACATTATCATATGGCTTTATTTTATCATTTAAACAACAAGAATCTTACCAGACATTCTTGAAGTTCCTGATCTTTAAGTGTCAATCTCATGATCAATATATTTTCCTTGCGAGTCGATTCCAACTGCTGCTTTTTGAGTTTGTTTTCATAGCTATTTCGAATAGCTTCCATTTCTTTCTTGCTGACCGAATCATTTGATTCTGGATTCATTTCTGGGCATAATTTCGATTCAACAACAAGTACATCGAGCGAAGAATCATCATCGGCAATTCGACTGTCATGTTGCTCTTTTTTTTCATCCTCATCATTAGTGTTCGACAACGGGTTAATTACATTATTATCAACTTTATCCAGTGAACTATTTGATTCCTCTGGTTGGATAGATGACAAATTTGAAGTTTCGTCGGAGATCATTTTTGGATGGTGATGATTTTAAATAATGACAATCAATCGTATTGGTTTGTCATGCATGTGGCAATAGTCATAGTGTGTCCACTTTTCACAGTACAAATTTTCTATCAAGTAGAAATAGTCATCCAACAGAATTTTTTGTCAATCAAAATTAACAATAATCTTTCAATATATCGATATTAATATAATAAAAAATTATGATTCAAATGAATAATAACAAATAAATTTAATTGAAAATTATTTGAAAAATAAAAATGTTTTTTTTAAATTTACAATAAATAAAAAATGATGATTAGGGTCGACGCATAGCCAACATCGTGTTAATGTCCCAGACCATTTTTCTGATACGATCAATGATCTCTTTGATTTGCCGATTTTTCAATCGATTCAACTCAACTAGATCTAGATAGTCTTTTTCTAATTGTTGAAGTTTGGGATTATTCTTTTTTTCTTCCTTTAGCAATGGTCGCAAAGTAATGGATGCAGTATTGGCCAATCCATCTTGTCCATTAACGTTAAGTTTATTCTCATCTTCGTCGCTATCGTCGTCATCATCATCTCTTAGTGGCAACAAAGATTTTGGATCAACATAATCGAGTGATGATGGTTCATTACAAGTGTTGTAGATTTTTCGTAATCGAATAAACAAGGTTTCAATATGTTTGATAGTATCTTTGATCTTGTTCTTTTTATCTTCGCATAGTTGATTTGTACTGACCAGCTGAGGTCCCATTGATCGTAAATGTTGGAATAATTCTAGCGTTTTTGAAACAATGTCCTGAACAGTATCGGCGCCTAATCGGCAAAGTATCTGTTTTGGTGGTGGTTGGTGTTGTTGCGATGGCTGTATTTGTGATGTCACGGTTGCCATCGGTGGTTGAGATTGTGATGGACCCTGGGGAATCATTGATTGTTGCTGTTGTTGAACCATCATTTGTTGTACTACAGACGGTGGCATACCGGCTCCTGTCATCATTGGTCGTACTTGATGTTGCATGGCTGATGGATGAGGGACAGACGGTTGTATGGTCCCTGATAACATCTGAGATGGTGGTGGTGGGCGATTCATTCCTGTCATCGATTGTTGGCCCGGTTGATTAGGCATTCCATTTTTATGCATCATTTGTTCTGAAAGAAACGAAATGGATAAAAGAACACAAACAAACAGCAACTTGAGAATAATTCCAATTCAGCTGATGACTGGCGCCTTAACGAATATCGAACGATACAATCGATAGCCATTTCAAAATCTTGATCATAAATTCAATGTAATTTAGTTTAAATTTTAATGGTTGATGATATAATTAAATGATTTCAACAAAAAATTTCCACAGATCAAGGATGGGTATTTTTTTGAGCGATCAAAAACATTTATTTATTACTCTTTGAAATCACACTTGCATGCACAAGCGCGAATATTGTATCCAGGATGTGAAAATTTTCATACAATGACCATGTTGTTAATTTCATTATCATCATCACGATGGCTGATGCTGACCACAATGACAAAAGTGTAAATATTTGACGATGGCTTTTACCAACAACCAAAAGTTAACAATAATGTTTTTGGGATTTTTCCAATTGTTTTTAGGACCACTTTTCCTCATTCATGTTATTTATTATTAATTGATGAATTGTCTGCCAGATTTATGTTTTGTAATTTCCCCAATGACGGATGTATTAGCTCTGTCGAATCGGCTAAAATTTGATCATGACAATTGATTACAATGATAATTAAACTACTAAAAAGAGGCAAAGTCGATTTAACACCAATTGAAACAACTCATCACATGGAAAATTTATTACATTTGTATTTCACTATAGTCATTGAATTTTCAATGGAAATTTTCTACGTTTGTCTATGCTTGTAGATGACGAAACAATCGATAGATTGATCAGGCAATTGGTCAACTGAACATTCAGTAGTTGATTAGAATGTGGTTTATAATAATCGTCTTGGCCATGATGGTGTTAACCAAAAAAAGTCCAAACAAGCTTTTAGCATCCATGTTCGTGTGTTTGTTGTTTGTTTTCTAGTTTGCTACTAACTATTTGCATTATTGTTTATTGATTGATTGATGATTTTAACATGGATGACATTGACAACTCAAATTTTTATTCTCTACATTATCATCATTCAATTTTTTTTCAATTAATTTGATAAAATCGTATGTATGTGTTTTGACATTTGATGCCATTTACCTCAATACATTGAATACAACGTAATCATAATCCAACTACATAACATTTGAATGGTGATGCGGATGTCATTGTTGTCAATTTAGATATTTTGTTAGTTTGTTGTTGTTTTTTTTTGTATATATTTATCTGGTGGTTCGTTCGTATAATATTGCATCCGATTTGTGGTTTGCAATCATCAATATTTTTATGTGCTCATTGTGTTTGATGATTTGATCTAGATTTACTTTCTATATTAGTGTAAAGCAAATACGCGTATGTTATGACAACAAACAGATTGTGACCATCACTATGACGTAATGATAAAACAAATTTTCCAAAAAATGGATGAATTCGACACTTTTAAATTTCAAAAAAACTAAACAAACTTTTAAATGTAATTCAAATTGATTGATTAATGAATGATTCACCATATGAATAACACAATAGAATCGAATCGAACAAAATTATTTCCAAATGTTATTGGAAGAAAAATTCAAAATTTTAAATCTCTTGTACGACGTTCATTAAGTTTGATATCAAAGACTGATGACCACGTGAATCATAGGTAAGACCGTAAATTCAAAAACAAAATTTATGATTTTAATTTCTGCTTTATTTCGACAACAACAAGTGAACAAGAAAGAATGACATGGCTTAGAAAACATGGCCTGATGGCGAATAACAAAAACTCTTTGAATCATAGCTCAAAATATTCAATTACAAAAAAATCTTTGGGAATTTTATCCAAATCTGACCTGGGTCAAGATAATCAGTCATTGGCTATTATAAAACCAAAATCAAGCTCATCACAATCATCAATCAAAATCAGTGAGAATATTTCACAAGGTACCAGTGAATCGGCATCGCATTTGTCATCAATCAATCATCACGAACGTTTAAGTGATAGTCGCCAACAAATAAACGGCAACTGTAGTGAACGATTTCCCATAACAACAGCATCACAATCAACAATAGACACAATTGCCAACACAATCAAACAACAAACTAATCAGGCAAAATTGGTAAGTGATGTTATTGTTGTTGATGCCGATTCGAAACAATCATTCGAAACATCCGATATCAATACGACAACAATGAGTCGGGAAATGATGGAGCCGAAATTTATTCATTCTAACCATATTAATGATTGTAAGTGATTTTTCAACAATTTTGTCATCATTTTTTTTCAAATTAATGGCTCTACTCTATGATGGAAGCTTATGAATGTCATGAATCATTTAACCAAACTCATGACCACCATGGTTCGGTTATCAGAAATGAAAGTTTCGACGACGATAATAATGGCAATGATCCACCGAAAAACAATGATTCGTATGATCAATATGAAATGAAAGTAGCCGATCAGCAACGTCAAATTGATTTGATTACCAAGAAATTACTATACATGGAAGAGCATATAATCGATTTGAATACGGAAAACGTATCGTTACGGAAACAATTGCAACAGAATGAAGAATTATTTAGGAAAAAGATACAGCTACGTGAAGATGAGATTGAATCATTACAGGAGAGTATTATGGAAATGGAAACAATCAATGCTGACCTGCGATTTAAAGAACAAGAAGTACAGATGCAAAAGAGGATACATCTGGAGGATGTTAAACTATTGAAACAACAAGTAAGTCCATCTGACACGCAATCACATACACAAATTTTTAATTAGCTTGAAATTATAAACGGAACTGATGAAGCAATCGACCGTCAAATCGATTGTCGGTCGAATGTACATTGTAAATTTTGTATTTATGTGTGTGTGTGTGTGTTGTTGACGACAATCAAAAAATAAAAACCATGTAAACATTCGAATGATTTGTTTGTTTTTTCTGTAGTTAGTGGTACGTGAAGCCGAATTGAATGAATTGAATAATTCTTGCCGACGTTTAGCCGAACTAGAACTATCTTATCGTAATGTTCAAGATGAATTGGCAACTCTAAAGCTAAACAATTGTCAAACATTGAATCAGCTTGAAGATAATTATCGATTATTATTTGCTGAAAAAGATTTTGAAATCGGTATTCTTAAAGTCAAGATTGATGAATTAACACATGAATTGTGTAACAGTGTTGTTGATTCAGATTATCGTCATTCTTATAATTCCCATCATCAACAAAATCAACAATCTTCCAAGTAAGTAATTTCTATGATGAGTTTTTTATTTTTGTACCATAATTTGGTGACAATCATCAGCACAAATAAACATGTACATGATTAAGAATGGCTTACAGGCTTGAAAATAGTCTACACACACAAAAAAAAAAAAACAAACAAGTGTACAAAAACAGGCAAAAAAAATAATAAACAAGCTCAATGATTAAATGAAATCCACATTTCAAGGTTGTGTAGATGTGAATGTCGATTATAATAAAATTTTTGTTTTCTGGCTATACTATGAAAATCCTTATTGCATTGAAGTTAGCAATCATTCATATATAAATGAATGAATGTTTCAGTAAAAAGGAAGTGTGATAATGATCTATGTCGATCCTGAATACATAATGAATATTAATTTTATCCGATTAATGGACACATGGCAAATTAGATATCCTGTTCATTCTGTCCAATCAATCGAACACGGTAGCAGCTGTATTCCACATGTGTAATAATCAATACAACAGGCACACACAGGTACACTTACAGTATAATATTATATACATGATAGCTTTTAGCATCTTAACAGTGTTTTTCAATTTTTAAGTGCAAACTTATTAACATAATATTCCGATTTTGATGGTGAAAACATTAATATAGAAAAAAAATTTGTTATTTGTTATTGTATAATAATCAACATCTAAGGTTCTGGATATAATTTAAAACGAATGAATAAAATCTTATGAATTGGCGTCATCATCGATCGATTCTTTCATAGATAATAAATGTTGATTATCAGATGAAATAAACGATAACAACCAATAAGCTAAAGATTCAATAAAATTGAGTTGACAGGTTGACACTTAATACGTGTGTCTGTGCTTGTATCATATGTGTTGCTTTTGGCTTCATATATTGGCCATGAATGAAACTGGAATTTTTAGTTTGTAAATTAGAAATGTAACTTTTTCTTCTGTCAGCATATGCAATGGATAATTCGATGATTCGAGAAAGGAGAGAGAGAGAGAGAGAGAGAAGTGCTAGTATTAATTTGATAAGAATGATGCTAAACATGTGATCATTGATTTCTAGCCTGTTGATCTTTATCTTTATTTGAGAACCTAGGATTTACCTGAATATTTCTATCAAAGACCACAAATCATTTGGAAATGATGACTATCAACATTCTATCTTCCACAAAAACATCTTTTGATTAACATGATCAATGTGCAATCCAATGTTGGTCTGTTATTTATTTTTTTTTTTTTTAATTCATATAGTTTGACAAAAACCTTGAAAATTCATGATGAAATCAAAATTGATTTCTTTTGCATTATCTTCGTCGTAATTACTTTTTAAGCTGAGAGTTAATGTTGTTTGTGTTGTTTTTCTATGATGTTTTCTATCTTTATGTTTAAAATTTAATTGAATTCCTATCCATCATATAAATCTGTATTCCAAATCAATGTCATGGCCATTGCATTTTTTGATTGAAATTCCGATAAAAACTATTAATTATTAAATTCGAGCTGATCGATCTTAACTGTATCGGTATGGCAATGGCCATAGTAGATCAGTAGTAGATCATCTAAATCTGAATCTAAATCAAATTTCCTCAATCAAATCGTTATAACACTCTCAGTGCAACTGGTGTGACTTGGCATTAAATTGACATTGTTTTGTATGTCTCTTTGTGTAAGAGACAAAAGAATTAATCATCAGTGAATTGATCTGGTTATAATTCAATTAATTGTTTTCATTGCAAATAAAATTTTCTACAGTTTAACCAATAATAGCATCTCAACCAGTGAACAAATTATTCATTGCTCTGTTTGTGGTGCCATTGAAACAAGAATCGTGAACAACAATAACGACATTGTCATTTCAGCAAAGATTCAATCGTCATCATCATCATCATCATCATCATCGTCGTCGTCGTTTGAGACCAATTCACATCAAACAAATACGAACATTGGTTTGTTGTCAGTGGATAGTTCAGACCAAACAAACGAATCAACAGTTGTTTTTATCGTAAGTTATTGTAATAATTATGATAATTCGTTTACTTTGACTAATTCTGTGAATACCAAAGGAATCGCAATTAAATCAACAACAATCATCTCCTAACTGTACTGATGATAAATTATCGCTAAATGTTGAGGCTAAAATGAGACGAAAACATTCATTAAAACGAATATCAAGCTGTGATATTGCTGATGGTGATTCATTTGGAATGTCATTACCGTATGTGGCCAACAATAATGATCACCATCATTCTAACATAATATCCGGAGTAGATTGTAATAACAATAGTCAAACAGTTATCCGATCAAATCTTGTTGGTTCAGGTATATCTCCTGCTACAGAAATGAATAGATCGGAAGTGTTTCCATCGCTGCCAGACGTAATGCTTCGAAAATTATGTTTGTTACGCGAAAATACATGCAACATTGAAAGTCTCAGTGAACAAGAAATTGATGCCAAATTCCATACGTTGTCATTAGCATTTAAAACTGATAAATTCACGATCGAACAACGTGTGCAATTGTATCGTCATCAACGAGATATTGCCGAGAATGATGCTCAAATCGAATTGAATCATCTAAGCGAATTTGTACAAGAATTGTATCGGCTACTATTGGGTAGTGAAAGTAAATATTTTTACAATACATCGTTGATGCAATTAAAAGAGTTGAAAGATATGTTAGACAAAATCGATATGCAAGTTCAGGTGATTAAAGCATCAATGATGAAAATTTCTTCACGATCTGAACTGTATGGATCGGTGAAACAAGAAGAAAAGTTGAGCACTGCATTTGATGTTATCTTATTGCATACTGAAAATCTTAAACGTGCCAAAGAACGTGATGCTAAAGAATTGGAAGATATGAAACGATTATTGGCTACTACAGGCCTAAACAAACATGATCAAGATCACGATGACTTCAACATGGCTAGTTCTCACAATGGACGACGTACGAAAAATGTGAGTTTAACATTATTTATATTGTGTTAAATCATTAATCCAGTTTTTTTTCATTCCAGAGAGATTCTAGACGAATCGGCCCATTATTGATGGCCAATCAATTACAAAACATTCAGGTTAGCTATCAACAGACGAGCCGAGGATCTGGTTCTGATAATCAAAATTACATGAGGACAAGACGTCTTTCAGTACCGGCGGCAGAAATTCGTAATAGGCCACGATTGTTACAATTATTCAATGAAGCAACAGCCAGACAATTACAGGAAAAGGATGATAAAAGTGATGATGATATTGATGATGATGATGCTGATGATGATGATGAACAGATGAACATGGCCAAACATCGACATATTCAACGACACCGAACTTTGACTTCCATCGATGATCATAAAGAATCTGCTTCCGATGATAATGATCATGAACAAATGGACAGCTTAAAGCAGGAGTCCAAAAGTGATGGTATCGATCGATTTGAGGCGACAGCAACAAATAGCCGTGATGATAGCGATCACGATGATGGTGGGAGTGATAATAATTGTACCACCAATGATAATGACTTGATCAATCATCGACAGCAACCAGCGACAATGCCAGAAAAAGTATCGAACCGAAACAGTATTAGCGAATCTCATAAGCTAAAGATACAAATGTTTTATCAGAAGCTAGTGGAAAAATTGACACCATTCGAAGATAGGACATGGCGTGATAAATTTATTGAAAAAATACAAGAATTGTATTGTCTCTTATGCATGTTAGTATTTACAATCAGGTAAGCTTTTCTTTCTGTTCATTGGAATTTACTCTCAAATTAAATTTCATTCTCAGATCGGTTGTGGCAAGTATCACCGAAAGCGGTAGATCGAGATTCCGTAATCTTCGACGACAAACCAATTCGTATGATAATCTTCGCTTTACCATATCTGCTATATTCATCTTTATTGCCGCAATGATTCTCGCATTTTCTGTCATTTTGCCAATGGTTTCTTCATCATCATAATATATCATCATTATTTTTTCTAATTTAATTTATAAATTTTAAATTTTTGTAACGAAATAAAACCATGCATGTAGAATTTAGAATCCTGGTTTATGACAAATCAAATCGATAGTTTCGTTCATTGTTGCCGGCTTCGGCTGTGGTGGTAGTAGTGGCAACTGATTGAGTATACATGAATGTATGCATACATGTTGGCAGCTAGTTGATTGCTAGCAGTTGAATTGATGTTGGCCATCGATATTGATGGACAATCCATCATTTGGCTTTAAATTCGTGGATAACTGCTGCTGTGAGTTAAATGTTGAAAAGAGCCTACTTGTTTGTTGTTATCTTCTTTATTTACTGAAATAAGATTTACTAATTGATTGTACCCGAACATTCTCATAGACCAAATAATCATCCATTTCAAATAAACGTCCCAAAATGGAACAACCGACTGTTGATCACCTAGAAAAGACCATTCCTCCAGTTAACCAAATCGATGATGATGCTGATGACGATGATAGCAATGGTGAATCTATGCCTCCTTTGGAAACGGTTGAAAAAACAATGAATCTTGGACCAGATAATAAGAAAAACATTGTCATTCCAGATGATGATCAATCAAAAGAGAAAGAAACCATGAAAGTGATGATGGAGATGAAAATAATGGTTACATGGACATTCTGAACAATGGTGATCTTCGAAAAAAAACGGTGAAAAAAGGTGATAATGTTAGGCCACAACGTGGCAGCAAAGTGATCATTAGAATTGAAACTCGGCTCTATTCTGGTGGCTGTGATGATGACCAAGATATTGGAACGGGCAAATTAATCGAAGGCGAAACATTCGATAAGTTCCCCCTGGTCATTGGTGATAATGATCTTCATCAGGGTTTGGATCTTCTGATACCGTTGATGGAATTGCACGAAGTTTGCAGAGCAATCATCAAATCACGTTTCACTTATGGTCAATTGGGCAATAACAATGTTGACATACCCGGAGATGCAACGCTCGATTGTCAAATAGAATTGCTCGAAATACTGTCTCCAAGTGACAATGTTTATGGCCAAGCAGAAGACGATGAATCCAATTCAATTGCAAATAAAGAGACATTGGACGAGCGACTCAAGTTTGGCAATTACAAGAAAACACGTGGAAACTTCTGGTTCGAACGTGGTGAATACTCGATGGCTATTCAATGCTATAAAGGTGCTTTGAAATATTTGGACGCCAACAATGACGAATTGAAATTAATCGATGATGATAATAAGAACAAAGTAAATGATCAACTTGAATTGGTCGACAAAATCAAAGATTTGATTGATAAAAGAGCTCAAACATTCAACAATTTGGCTGCCGCTCAGATGAAAATGGAAGCATTCGATACGGCATTACGTTCGGTCAACGATTCATTGCTCTTACGACCCAATAATGTTAAGGCTCTGTTTCGTCATGCAAAAATTTTGACAGAAAAAGGCGACGTAGAAGATGCAATCAAAGATCTTAAGAAAGCTGCCTCGATCGATCCACAATCGGAAGCGATCGCAATGGAATTGAATCGATTGAATAAGATTCTTGTCAAACAGATCAATGATCAGAAAGCCCTGTATCGACGAATGTTGCAAATGAAAACAGATGATAAAGACAACCGTAAACAAAGTAAGCATTCGAATTGTGATAACACTGGCAATCAATCTATTTGGTATCGATTCCGTTGGCCTGCAGCCATTTCATTGGGCATGGTTACTGCTGCTGCCATACTAATCCAATCATTTGTTTATTCATCTGCTAAATAATTTTTAAAAATCCTTTCCATTCTTTTGTGAATTACATCACATTTATTATATCACATAAAATCCTGCCCTCATTTAGTCTATCTATATAAATATAATAGTTAGTAGTAAAGTTATCACTGAACACATTTTTAATCCATAATGTTGATAATGATTTTGGAAAAATTTTACAATTTTAAAATTTTGAAAATATTATCTCAACTTGACCTTCAATATAAATGATTATGATCATTTTTTTTTTTATTGAATAACTTTTTTTTTCATTCCATATTTTGATTTTCTTTTGTTTCGTATATATAAATAGGAATTTGAGTTCCATACCATTCCACGATGACCAAGCGCAAGCGTATGAAACTGTTGTCAAGGAAATAAAATTCGAGATGCCATGGATCCTTTTATATATTGGATCTGATCTTTTTTGTCATATTTGATGTTTGATTTTTTTTTCTTGCTCGATTCTGTTCAGTTTGTTTATAATGTGTGTCTATGTTTTATTTTTTTGCTTTCGCTGATTGATTAAATTAATTGTATGTAATTGTAGAATTTAGTTTCAAAACAATAGGATGGATAAAATCAAACCTAGTGCCAATCATCCGATGCCCATTTCGAATAATGGCGATACATCCATTGGAAATGAATCACAAACAGACAACATTACCATGGAACCGATGATGATTAAGACAACGACTACAACGGCCACCAGATTAACACCGGAATTGATAATGCGTGCCGAAATGGAAGTAAACGAAAAGGATGCATGGCGTCTTAGAGATATTGAAGCGTTACGTGAAATGATTCGAGGTAGATATGAAGAACATATATGTTGAATCATTTGTTGATTTTGGTGTTTGATTTGGATAGGTGAGCCATCTCTTCGTTGTCGACTGGATGATGCATTCCTGTTACGATTTCTTCGTGCCAGACGTTTTGATTATGATGGAGCTTTCCGGTTGATTTGTGATTATCTTACACTCAACTGTCGCCATCGTGAACTGTTCATACCGATCGAACAATTGAAATGCGTATTTGATGCCAATACAATTGTCGTATTGGATGATAAATCCAACCAGGATGAGACCATATTCTTATTACGTCTTGGCCAATGGTTACCAAGAAGATTCAGCTTTGATCAAGTGATTGCTGCTGCCATAATGAGCATGGAATATGTTATTCGTGATGAAGTCACTCAGATCAATGGTATCATCTGTGTGATAGACATGGCTGGATTTGGTTGGAGTCAACTACGAAAATTTGGTCCTAGTCAAGCGAAAAAAGTCATACACATAATGGACAAATGTTTACCCATTCGTATCAAAACAATCTACGTGATCAATGAATCAACATTGGCAGATATAGGCTTTGCCATAATGCGTCCATTCACTAGCGAAGAATTACATGACAAGATTATTTTTCTAGGTTCCAACTATGGCCCGATTCTTCACCAGAATATATCAGAGCAAATTCTACCCGATCAATTTGGTGGTAAATGTGGGTCGATGAACAGCGATACTTGGTACAAGAAGCTATGTTTGTTCGACAAAGAGATGAAACATAACTTCTTTGCCTATGGATTCATTGATGATAGCAATATGGTTATCGATTTAAAGGGCAGATGTTCCGGTACAAATATTTGTCGAGGAAACCATTCTGATTCGGGCAATTATGGAGCAGGAGCTGACATGAAAACCATATTTCGTAAATCACAAACATGTAATGGCTATCTATTCGATTATTACAATACGACCACTAGTATCGACTAGTATCTTGTCTTATCAAATTCCCACCAAACCAACAATCATCATCAATCAATATGATTAACATGCAATTTACATCTTATCATTGATTGTTGTTCGGTTGATTTTCACCCTCAATATATCCAATCCTCCTTATGTCTGTATAATAATAATAAAAAAAAATCTGATCATACATGTCTCATTTACTCTGTTGGTCTCTTTCTCGATTGATGAACCACCGAATCCATTTTGGGTAAGCTTTTCTCTTAATAATTTCTGTAACATCAAAAAAAAAACCAGAATATCAGCAATGACTGATGGAATCAAATACAAAATTTTTCATTTTTATGAGCTGCTCGATTCTCTATTCTAAAATTATTTCGCATAGCTCTATAACGTATATATGTGATTGAGAGTAGCTGCTTCTACCTCTTATTACCATTCAATGTAGCTGTCATTCAGTTGACATTGAATACTGTGGCGCTTTTTTCGTTTAATATTCAGCTCGTTCCAATCAGCCAGTCTCTATTTCTCTGTTATTTGCGTCATTATTAATATTGCCGTGTGATTATCATCATTTGTTATTCTGTATTGTATGTTGTGTAATTGAATTTGTTTATTTTTTTTTTTGTCACAACTGTTGTCAACTTTTCAATGCTTTCATTTTATTCTTTGTCCATCATTGTTCGTGAATATCTTGAACAGTACGAATTGTAAGTGTTATTTTATAGCATTATTTATTCTGACTGACAACGATTTTTTTTTTGATTTACCACTTGTCAATTACAATACCGGCTAAATTACTAAGTGTCGATTGATCATCAACCTGGTGATTAGGTCGGTGGTTAAATAATTTCGAAAACCATGACAACAAGACATTAGTATGCAAAAGAATGACAGCTCAATGTAGGTGTGTAAATGGGTGTGCGTGTGTGTATACAAAAGTGTCAACCATGATTTTTGTTTGGCAGTGATCATTCTTGATTACGAATGCAAAAAAAAGACGATGGATGATAGTCTCCTTTAAATATCCTTTATAAAAAAAAGCCAAAAGATTTGATTTAGATGTGTTAAAAAGCTGTGGTTGAAAACTATCAAATTGTTTGGTATTATTGGTGGTTTTTGTTTTGAACCATTTTTATTGATGAATTATTTTGTCCCTAACAGATTTACCAAATATTTTTACTATAAATTCCAATCGATTTCATCATCATATTGAAACAGTGATCAGAAATGGCATCCAAAAAAGGTGTTTTGGCCGTTGGTGGTATTGTAACTGCCGTTGCAGCATATTATTATCTCAAACCGTCTAGGTATTTACCAAAAAGTCCTTTTTCATTTGTTGTATTGTACATACACAAATCATATATATTTTTTTTGTTGTTGGCTAAATAAATTGGCCAACTTATATGTAGGCCAATTTCCACTAACTTAGTCTGAAAATTTTCCATTAACTCTTGTCTCTTTAACATCAAGCTTTTTTTATTTATTTAATTGCTTTATGGTATATATTTGTACAAACATTTCAATCCTAAATCTCTATTCTTTTATTATCTAAAAAGCCATAATTTATAATCATCATCATCATGTTATATAATTATTCATATCAATATCATATACACCTCCTAGATACCTGTATATATCAACAATTGTCATCATGATGACTATACAGAATGAGGCTAATTTTATGTCAACAACAAATGAAAATTTTTTTCCATACTAAATAATGATGATGATTATCATCATTATCTTTATCCATATAAAATTGATAACGAATTACATCTACCTAATAATTGATTGACATTTTCCAATGTCAAATTTTTCATGATAAATGAATATATATAAGATATAAGATAACACGTGTAATTCAACACGTACATACTAAAGTGTTATGGCAACCAATACCAATACTAATACATCGGTTGATTTGCTTTGCTTTGTTCAAAGTTATTCCATCATTTTTTAGGCATCATGTTTCATGCTTATGTTGTGCTCGCTTACCAATGGTCGGTGTTCAAAACGAAGGGGCAGCATTGATTTAAGTGAATTGCCAATTGGGCGTAGTATACCATTGTTTCTTTGATGATGTGTGTGTGTGTTTTTCTATAAAAACGCTGTTTAGTCCTGTTTCATTCGTTAATTCATATTTTTGACTGTTAACATTCCTTTGTTCGATAAAATCAATCTTTTTTTTTGATTTAAAAATTCTATTTTGTGTTCTTGCTGAATCATTAACTTTTTTTATAATTATTCTTCATTATTATTATTATATCGTTCATCGCTGTAAATAAGCTGTCCGAAAAAAATGGTCGATCAAGCTACCCTGAGTAAATTGGAAGCCGGTTTCCAAAAATTACAGAATGCTCAAGATTGTCATTCATTGTTGAAAAAGTATTTGACTCGCGATGTGTTAGATCAACTCAAGACGAAAAAGACCGACATGGGCGCAACATTATTGGATGTTATCCAATCTGGTAAGTATTTTTCCTTGACCCTTTTGAGGATATTGATATTGAGATATGATATTAATAATGACGTGTTTTAATTCAAAAGGCGTGGAAAACCTGGACAGTGGTGTTGGTATCTATGCTCCTGATGCTCAATCATACAAAACATTTGCTGCATTGTTCGATCCAATCATTGATGATTACCATAAAGGCTTCAAACCGACCGATAAACATCCGCAAACTGATTTCGGCAATATCGAACACTTTGTCAATGTTGATCCTAAAAACGAATACGTCATTTCTACTCGTGTTCGATGTGGCCGTTCGTTGAAAGGCTATCCATTCAACCCTATGTTGACAGAGGCTGTAAGTATTTTATTGATACAATCTCTGTTTCATTATTCTTATTCCGCTTTTGTACTTGTACAGCAATACAAAGAAATGGAAACCAAAGTGAAAGGACAATTGGCCACATTCGAAGGCGAATTGAAAGGCACCTATTACCCATTGTTGGGAATGGATAAAGCTACTCAACAGAAATTGATCGACGATCATTTCTTGTTCAAGGAAGGTGATCGATTCTTGCAAGCTGCCAATGCATGTCGTTACTGGCCTGTTGGTCGTGGTATCTTCCACAATGACAAAAAAACATTCTTGATGTGGGTAAACGAAGAAGGTACGTTTTATTATAACATAATGATTATCAAGCGGCTTATACGTTTTTTGTTTTTGTCAGATCATTTGCGTATCATTTCCATGCAAAAAGGTGGCGATCTAAAAGAGGTCTTTGGACGTTTGGTCAAGGTAAACAATATTGCATTGAGTGATTGATATTTTGAACAAGTTTTTTCGTTTTCCCTAGGCTGTCAAGCACATTGAACAAAAGATTCCATTCTCTCGTGATGACCGTCTCGGTTATTTGACATTCTGTCCAACCAATCTTGGCACAACCATCCGTGCTTCGGTTCATATCAAACTTCCGAAATTGGCCGCTGACCGTAAGAAGTTGGAAGAAGTGGCTGCTCGTTACAATCTTCAAGTGCGTGGCACTGCAGGTGAACATACCGAAAGTGTGGGTGGTATCTATGATATTAGTAACAAACGACGAATGGGTCTCACCGAATACCAAGCTGTTAAGGAAATGCAAGATGGCATCATTGAATTGATTAAAATGGAAAAATCATTGTAAAATGATTCTTTTGTATGAGCATGATTGTAGTTCTTGAAATTTTAATCCGATTACAACTCAAATGATTAAACAAGAATTTCACTTTGATAATTAAAAAAACAAAATCTAAATTTGAGTTTGCAGATTCATATTTTTTTGGGATAAAATTAATAAAAAAAAATTAAATTGTCTTTGAAAATTGGTAAATAATGCCATCTGTTGGTAGAAAAGGGAATTTTCAATATTTGAATTTTAGAATTGCTTATTTTATTATTTTATTTACAACTAATAAAATCTAACAATAATGTAAAAACAATTTTCGAATGTTGAGATCATCAAATAAAGATTAAAAATAGCATTGCATCTGACAATGATCACAATTTGCACGATGGAATGTACCATGTGACTGTTGATGGATTGACCAATGAAAACAGTGATGACCAGTATCAAGTGCTTGTACTATATACAAAAATAGAATGCAAGAATCACAACTGGATTAATGAGGATGGCGGGAAAAAGGTTGAAAATTAATCATTAGTGGCATTATCATTATTGTTACTGGAAACATTTTCATCCAGTGAATACATGGATTGCCATTCCAGAACATTAATAGCTGCCAAACTGTCTTGTTCATACAGGTCAAAGGAGGGAATAGATTGATTGCCATCGTTAATAACGGCAATTGTACTTTGATGAGATGATTGATTCTGATTTTGAACATGGCCATCTTGGCGATTAATACGATAATTATAGAGATGTACCATGGTTCGATGACGTTGATTTCGAATATAATTGAAGAAATAGATACCACCGACAAATGGCATAGCAGCAACACCAACTGCTAGAACTAAAATTCCAGTACAAAGACATACGGTGGTTAATACGGGCAATACCACCAATTTACTGCCCAGTACGGCACCACGAACTAATTTTCTTTGAATCGGATTTTTGGGCTTGTATCGGTATTTACAACCAAACACACTAAGCCTAGAATAATGATCACCAAAGAAACGAACATGACGAATAGGATCACCACAACGGTAACAGAAATCGGATTTACATCGAATGCAATGCATATGGTCACAGCCATTTATTCGTTGTATGTAAATCTATTCAAGATATTAATATTGGTAAATATAGGAATGGTCATTTATTCATTTTGTTTACCTTGCATTTTGGACATTTCTGAGCATTTACATCGCCCGTTAACAAATCAGAATGTTTAGCCCAGGTTTTGAGCAAACGATCACCACGAATATAATCATTACAAGAAATTCCTAATAAACAATCATAAATGAATTTTATGAATTTTATAAATTTTTATGGATTTTTAGTTGCAACACTACTTACCTTCATGCCAAGGACTATGACATTTGAAACACCAATCATAATGACAAGCATCACATTTTACTCTGAAATAAATCAAGCGAATCAAACAAGGTCAGATTAAAATATTCAATTGAATTGTCACTTACTTGAATGACTTGGAGTGTTTAACCGACAACCGAGCTGCTAAGCCACACATCAACATTCGTTTGAACAATAAATGCGTGTCGGTATATTTCATTTTAGTTTGTTGTTTACTCGATAATGTGAATAATCGATTACAACGTGGACATGGTCGAATGCGATCCGATTCATTCGATTGGCTCAATAACAATCGACCATACAAAGCTTTATCATCACCATTCAGACGTGCCAACACTTCAGCTCGATAGATCAATGATTTGCATCCAGGACCAATACATTCAATGCTCAATTGTCCCATTCGAATTCGTTCAGTGTAATAACGGGTCAGGCAAGATAAACAGGCACCCGACGAACAACATATACGTTTAAGAAGCCATCGATTTTCACAGCAAATACAGCATTCATTAAATAACCAACGATTGTTGACCGGTGCCTCTAACCTTTGGCCATTCATACGTATTTTTTCTAGTAATTTGCGTTTTATCACCATCATCGTTTGCAGATCCATATTACTATTCGTATCACCAGAATCAGGATTTTGAAATTGAGGATTAGTATCGGATGAAGTTGAATCATCATCATCATCATCATATACGTTGTTCATTGATTGATCGAATGAATCATATGAATCATATTGGTCAATCATGATTTGTGGTTGAATGTGATTGGCGATTCGTTCCAGTAATAATGTTTGTCCAGCCGGTATATAGTTATGTTCGTTGAACAATCCACCATTCTCATCATTCAATTCGAAATTAATGGCTTTCATCGCTCGTTCTAGGTTACTTGTCAAATCGAGATCTAAGAAAAAAAATTGAAAGAAAAAAGTAAACAACATACCACCATTTTAAGAAATTTTCATGCATTTAAGGCATATATGATCAACATCAAAGACACATTATCTATTTTCTAAAAATGTCTCCCGCTATACGTGGCCATCATCATGTCGATGATCGATATAAACAACTGAAATAATGTTTAAGTTAAATTATGGAATGTATGTCAAACTTCAAGAGATCCTCACTCATATCTATCCTATCATAATAGTCATGTTAAATCGAATGAATGAAACCATAACATTCTAGTGATAATAAAACTGAATAAGTGCATGCATTTGAATGTAAATAAATAAATCTAAACGTCAAATCAATGTCTATCTTGTATTCAAAGTTATTTTTTTTCATGTTGTTGTTGTTGACAATTATCAATTATCAAAAAAAAAAAAAAAGGAAATCAACATACCAGCCACACGAAGACTTAGAAATTGATTGACTAAATCCAAATGATTAAACGATGAACATAGCATGGCTAGATCAATGGCCAATCGATATAATTGACTAACCAGATAAGATGACCATAATCGGCTGCTATCATTAGTGTTAGCTTTTCTATCATCAGTTGTTGTTGTTAGTGGTGGATTATGTTGACCAATTATTGATGATTGTTTATCACCAAAAATATCAATGTTTTCATTGAATTGTTGAAGCCAGTGATTAAAACTCTGTAATGCTTGTTCGAATATCGTGGCACGTAAACAGAAAACAATCAAATTTTTGTTGACTTGAATATGTAGACTATCGGATGATGAATTCTGGCTAGTCGACTTTTGTTTAAGAGGATGATTCTCATTTAGAATAAAAATTAACAAATGATCCATGATAGGCATTGTGTGTTGTTGGCTAAATGGATCCGTTCGGGCCAAGTGATTATGACTTAGATAATAACTGCCTTTGTTTTTGAACAAATGATTCAAATCTTCTTTCAAAACAACACGGGTCGTTTCTATAAATTGAAAAAGCTGTGGTAAATTGTAGCCAGGATGTAGCCAATCGATCAACTGGAATAAATCCTTATCAGCGATAGGCACTTCGACCCTATTTGAATCTGAATAGAATAAATTGGTTTTAATCACATTAGAGAAATGCAGGTTAGGTCCGACACCACTGGCAGCTGCATTATCATCCATATCACTCGCTTTTAATAGACTGGCCAATTGCGGAATAAACATGGACACAATAGCAGGATTTTTGGCCATTAATTTTCGACAAAATAAACCGATACGGTGTCGAATTTCTTGTTGATCTCGTTGATCGTCGGCAGTGTTGGAGCTGCTGCACTGGAACAATTGCTGTAACAGGCAAACATATTCACACAAACATTCGCTGGTAATAAATCTTTCTGCTTTTTCGATGCTACATTGTTCATCACGGAACAGATAATCAAGCATTTCCCAATGATCTGGATATTTTGACATTAATAATGATTCAATTTTATGGAAAACTCGTGTCACACATTCTTCGTCAAATGATCCGATTCGAATTTCATCATTATCATCTTCATCTTCATCAAATTTTTTATTAGATTCCATATTGATGGTAGACATTAATCGACCAATAAATGAATGATGATCTGCTGATTCATTATATGAATGATTGTAATATTCAATATTAGCATCAAGTGCTATATTCATCGAACAACTATCACATGATGTAGATGACGATGACGTCGATGATGATGCCGATGTCAATGAATAATATGAACAGGACGTCTGTAATGAACTATTATCATTATTATTCATTTGATGACCAGGATCATTAGAATTTTTAGATGCCGATGTAGGGCCATTGATCTTGTCCGTTATATTCATATTTGTTTGTAAAAAAAAAAATTTATTGTTATAGAAACATCTATTCAAGAGAAATCGTTAGCAAATAAATCAACACACACAAACACACACAAATGCCGCATTTCGATTGACATCAGATCTATTGAATGTTACAATATGAATGAATGCATTTATGTTATTTGAGGACAAATTTGTTTTCTTTTTTTTTTTTGTAGCTATTGTTGATATCGATAATGATATGGCGTAAATAGAAAAAAAAATTAGGATGTTGTTTCACAGCAAACACGTCAACACGGCAACCTTGATGTGTTGTTGTTGACATCAAAAATTACCAAAAAGCTTACGGTAATCATCAATACACATATAGTTACGTAAGCATCACAAATACAAAAACACACACACACAAATATCACAGTAGGTTTTGCGATGATTAATGTTTTCTTAAATTGCCAACTTGCAAATAGCTAATGAATATATATAGTAGATGGTAGATATGATAAAATTGGATTAATAATATGAAAAAAATTACCTATAGATAATCATATTGTAATCATATATACCTGGTATGGTTTTAGTTTGTCTGGAGTGGATAAATCGAATTACACCAGAAAAAAAATACAAAGAAAAAAAATTTAAATGCAATTGCTTTGAAAAATGATTGCCAAATTGATTCAATTCTATAAGCAATCAAAATCGATCAAATCGAATGATCGTCATAAAGCAAAAAAAAAATCATGAGACCATTAAATTTTCAAATAAACAAGCATATTGCAATCAGAGAATTAAAAACGTTGAATAAAATGAAATTAGATGCACACACACACATCTGTTATCGACGGCAGGGTTGGATATTAACACAAAAAAAAAGTTCTGATGGTCAAATCAATCGGGCATTCCACAGTCATTGTTGATTGATGGTAATAAACAGACAAACATATGAGTATGTCTTGTAATGGCGCCCACAGCCAGTTATTTTGTGTGTATACAAACCTACCAAACCTGTCGTTAATGTTGATCGTGACGTTCAATGAAAGCGATCAACAACAACAACAAAAACAACCAAGCAACAAAACCAATGATCAAACATTCAGTACATAAAAGATACTCTCTCTACCTCTCTCACTTTCAAAATATAGCCTATGTATGTTTCTTTATATAGAAGTCTAATTTATGTAGCGGTGCATACAGTTATAGTTGGATAAAATAGCTGGATTGCCACGTTTAAATATACCAAACACACACACATAATTCACATTTGTAAAATTCATTCATTCATTGAAAGTGAATCTATAGAATTTTTCAGATTTGGTTAGTTGTAGTGGTATTTGTAATCGAAATAGTTTTTAAAAAAGAGAGATATTTCATGATAAACAATTCGATTAGATTCTTGAATTGTTAGTGTATTAGATTCAATATTTAAAAAAAAAACCACCAACATACATCAAACACAGTATTGTAACACACAGTGTTTAGGAATGAGAGACCAAACAGGAAGAATAATATCTTTTTCCAAATAATCAATCGGCTCATGTGTGTGTGTGTGTGTGTGGTAGCTATTTATGGCAACAGGATGCATACTTTAGAGTCGAATGAGTTATTATAACTATAAAATTCAACGATAATTTGTTTGATAAGACAGGTGTTAAATTTGATTCATACCATCAATAAATACATCAAACACAGCTGAAAAATAAAAAGAGAGTATATTGAGTTGAAAAGAAAAATACAAGAGAAACACACACACACACATACCAAGATTGGCTCATGGCCATTTCGGTTTTTGTTTTAGTTGTCTGTCATTTCTATTTCAAATATGGATATCATCACGCATTTCCTTTCCATAAATCTCTTCGGATTGCATTTTTTAGAATAATGTGTTCAATTTCCTGGAACAACAATGAAAAATGAAAAAACAATCACATTCTGTTTGAATGGTTGTAATCATTAAACAAAAAATCATGACAAAAACAAATTATTATTATAGCAAACACCTTGAATGTAAATGGAAATATTTACCTGTATGACAAACCAATTCGCATATAGTATTTTTGTTCATTCGATGCACACACACATCAACAACGGTTGCACTCATTTAATGAAATTTTTGATAATTAATTTCGTTCGAATCACATGCAGAATAACTAGCTTTTCATTTTCAAACATCCAAATAGATAAGCGAGAGAAAGATGAAACATGAATACATCATTTTTCTATAATGATTTGATGATCAAATCTGGTAGTGTTGGTCATTCCATCAGAACGATTCGATTATGATTGTTGCCCGCAGCTGATTTTTTTCCATTTGGTTATTTTTTGCCTTGAAGAAAAAAAAATCCGCAAAAAAATGTTATTTTTATCATCATCAATCGGATAGTTTAACCAGAAATTTTCAAATAATGAATTTTATTTGCTCGGGGTTTTCCATTTTTTTTTTTTTTAAACTTCAGAGATCAACACAGCTGATTTATTGTTAAATTGTTGTAAAATTTTGAATAAAAATGTAAATGATACTTAACAGATGGCATGATAATCGTTAAACAATAAATTCGATTCGTAACATAACCCATTTGAAATCCTTTTTCGGAACAAATATTGCCAATTACATGGCAGCAGTCCATTTGGATAAATCATGAATTTTTTTTAGATATTGATTAAAGTCTCAATTCTAAATGAAATTGTTCAGTTTGTCAATGTCAACTAAATTATCGTTGGCAATGATTCATAAGACATGGTTTTTTTTTGATCAATGAGTAACCGGATCAAAAAGGTGCCAATTACCCAGACTGACAAAATCATAATTGCCATGGAATGTGTATGATAATCATAGTGAAACATTCCATCTGTATTTGACATGAATTTTATATCATAGTGTAAAAAAATTCTTTGAATTCTTCATCCAACTTTCAACATAGTGGACTATCATTCATATTGATACCAATGGTCATTTATTGATGAGAAATGATGAACTACTTTTACATTATCAATTCATCGAAAAAACCAGACAATGTTTAGATGATGATTAATGGAATTATACCGGTCATTTATTTATTGTTTATCGAAATCGATAGATAATAAAATGGCCACATGGCCCTTAACATCAATGATAATTTTGTATCATTCTTCAAAATATATCGTAATTGAATTCATTTGTTTATTTGTCAATAATAACTTATCATCTGTAGAATGGAAATTTTATTTTAAAAACATTCATCATTTATTCATTTCATATAATTGTTTGTTATTGGATTTTTTTTTTAAAACATTATTTCATCATATATATAATGATGATTATATATGATATACACAAACATCAATCAAGTGTATCAGCGAAAAAATGTGTGTGTGTGTGTGTTTGTATCAAATGTTGTTCATATATGGAAAATTTGTACAATTTGTTTACAGTAAATCAAAGAAAAAATACAACAACAACAACAACAACCCAAAATCAATTATGCAGTGCAATACATTATCAAAGGTGTATATATTGTGAAGATTGTTTAATACCATACCATACACACACACACACACACACACACAAAAAAAAACATGATGGTTTCTAAACTTTATTTATTTATTTGTGTTTGTTTCTTACATATTATAAGATAGCCAACAATTTGATTTTTGAAAAACAGAATAACAGATTAACAAAAAAAAACAACCAGCATCAATAACAATGATGAAACAAAAAAAAAAATTATGAATAGAAAAAAAAATTATCAAAGAAACAAAACAGCTGTCGTCCATACATACATGATCGATACATTTTGATCGGTTGACTATAGTATGGCCGTAATCGTGATGATTTTTTTTTGTCTATAAAGAATGTATAATACAGCAGCTTCAATATCATATAGTTCTGTATTTGTTCGAATGTCATTCTCATATATTCATTATATATCATTGTGCAAAAAAAACCATTGTGAAGAGATTAATATCTACTTCCGATTCGGTTTTTGGATATGCCATCACTTCATTTATATAGCCACAAGTTTTGATTATTCTTTACTGTGATTTCCATTAATGAAACATTATTCGATTCATTAGAAGCATATATGGCTTAAACCGATATCAAAACATGGAATTCTGCCAAATCCGGACGGCTATTCATATCCATCAATCATCATTAGATAGGGATCATTTCTTATATCGTTATTGTTATAATCAAATTGATGCTCGTTTTGTTGGATCGTCCTCATCCTGTTCATCATAGTTGTGATGATTATTATTGTTAGTGTCAATCAAAGTGTTATTGGTGATAATGGTACAATCATTATCATCATGATGAGAATGGCGTATAGGTCTATCACGAATTGGATGTGCAACCAATGGTAGGCCACCACAATTTTGTTGCTGTTGTTGTTGTTGTTGGCCGAATGTCGATATCGATGAAGATGATGAATGGGCCGAAGAAAAATTCGATTGATGAGAAAGTAGATTCGGTTGTTGTAATTGGTGATGTGATGTTGATGGAAGAAAAAGTGTAGAAGGAGGTGGTTGTTGGGCATGTGGAGGCACTGGTGAAATATTGGTTATCGTTGTGGATGCTGTCATGGTTCCGGTTGCTATCGTTGTTGTCGTCGTGGTCAATAGACCACTACTGCTACAAGCAACGATTCCATGACCAATCGATGTGCAATAATCATGAGGTGACATAAGTAGCGGAGGTGGTGATGATGATGATGATTCTCTTATGAAATGATCATGGTCATGATGATGTGGGTGTTCATCATCATGATAACAATCATCATCTTCATAACAATGATGGTGTGTAGTTGTCTGTATCTCTAGAAAATGCCTGGTGCTAGGAGATTGATGTCGTTGGGCACTTGAGTGACTGGTAGTTGGTCGTTGCATAACCGTACTGCTGAAATCTTTCATACTGTATAATTCTCTATTGTCATGATTGGTAGTTGAAGGAGTCGATTTCCATTTCTCAGTCGTAGTGCCGTTATTGTTTCGCTTACGAATCAATGATCCTTGTTGCATAGTAGAATGATCAGTCGATCGGCGATTAGATGTTGTGGATGAGGCAGCAAAAGATATGGATCGCCGGCTAGGGCGATCATTTGACGACGACGGCTGATGATGATGATGGCCAAACTTGTTAGTTAATCGAGACAACAATGATCGATGATGGCTTTGTCCACTGATACCAGAAGCTGAACCAAATAGATCACTTTTCAGCCGTTCTTTACGTCGTTTTTTACCCATTTTTTCATAGCCATCATAATTATCGCCCAATGCTTTGATATCCATGCCGAGTAATGAATCACCATTATAATAGTAACGAACCATACGAACTCGAGGTGATGATGCTGGAGTTTTTAAAGGTCTGGCTGGATTATTATCATCAAGATAGGAACGAGGAGTGCTAGCATTCCAATAACGTGTCGATGAATTACCATAACAGGTACATGAACAAACGGATATATTCTCATCATTCAAACCGGCACCAGTATATTTTTCGCCATCACGTTTTTGTAGCTGTTCCTCCGAGCCAAGAATCGAACCATTTGCTGTAATGACATCGCCTTCAAGGCGTACGGCACTCTGTGCGGCAGTGGCGGCTTCAGCTTCATCACGTCTTTCATCTTCAGTGTTGAGCGTAAGGAATCGTAACACAAGAAGATTGATAGCAGCAGATACCACTGATAGGCCAAACAAGATGAACACCAAGGAAAATGCAACATATTCAGGTCGCTGTTGTAGGGCACGATCTTTTTGCAAGGCAACATAATCACCAAAACCGATAGTTGTGAGCGTTATAAAACAATAATAAAAGGCATCAAAATAGTTCCATTGTTCGAATGTAGAAAACATGGCCGCACCCGTTGTCATCACAATTGTCGACAATAACATGACAAACAATATCAGGTTCGATTCAGATACCTGGTTCGATTTAGAAACAAACATTAAAATTCATTAATTTAACCAAAAAAATGACCTTTAATAACACTGACCTCTTGATTTTTGCAACGAAAACATTTTTTACATTGTTTTAATCCTTTCTCGACGAATGTATTTAAACGTTCACCGATACTTTGGAACATGACCAATCCTAATGGAATACCAGCCAATGCATATACCATACAGAATGTTTTGCCACCAGGCCTACAATTGTGAAAAATAAATGACAAAATCTGATTAGAATTTGTAGCTTTATAAGATCATACGATAAGATGAATGCACATTACACTTTGATTCATAAAGTTAGGCTTCAACAACAGAAAATGATCACAAAAGATGGCAACTAAAACAATCCAATCAACAGCAATATTTTTAAATCCAATCAACACACACACACACACACACAAACAAAACATTTGGAAAGAATTGAAAGCAAGGAACCGTGTCGCCTTGGTGTTTTCAGCAAATATAAACAACATTCGAGAAAAAAAAACGAAAAAAAACGAATGAAACATTTTTCCTCTCTAAGACAATAATAAAAAAAAAAAACAACAACAACAACAAGACATAAACACAAACAATGGAGAAAAGTGTGAGAGAGTTATTTGGGTCTCAGGTTTTTTTATTTTTATTATTATTATTATTATTATTTTGAATGTGTTAAGTTCAGTCAGGCGTATGGGCGCGATGGATTTTTGTTGTCGTTTTTTTTGTCGTCATCACCATCATCATCATCATCATTTGTTGTTGGTCGATGTATGTGATATACATTTTTTTTTTTTTTTTTGTGGCTTTATAGTATGTTTTATGATGATGATATAAACAACAAATGAATACTTGATCTATCTATCTATCTATCTATATAAATGGATGGAAAGAATATAATCGTCATATCGACAACAACAACAACAACAACAACAACCAAAAACTAAACGAGCAAAGAATCGGATAGAGAAATGAAAAAAAAAATAGAAGCCTAGAAAGAATGACAAAGTGAGTGTGTATGTGTGTGTGTGTGTCTTTATCGGTTTCGATGTCGATAGTGTTTTTGTTGTTGTTAGTTTTTTCTCAATTTTTTTTCTCTTTTGGTTCGATTCTTGTTGTTTCAGCGCTGTCGAAATGGTTATATTTCGTGATTCAATACACGTATTACGTTCTTGTATTTTTTTCTCGTTTTTTGTTTTCGATTTTTTTTCTCGTTTTGTTATTATATTTTGTTAGGGATTCCGGGACCCGATCAAAGAATTTGAATTATATGCATGTCGATATATGTGTGCGTGCGAGAATCCGATTTTTTTCTTCTTTATCACTACAACTAACGAAAAAGAAAAAAAAATGTAAACCGGTTTACAGTAAAAGAAAGAGAAGATGAATATTATCTCTCTGGTTATATATCGTAATATTTAATAATACAGCCCATAGCATCAAAATAATCAATTTTTTTTTTCTATTTCATGAGCCTTTCTATAGTCTGTAAAGCTTTTTTTTCAGGTAGAATTTATCAACGGTTAGGATATGAAGAATTTTTTTTTTTTTTTTTTGCATGTTTTATATTGACAGTAAAAAGTCTTACAGGTTGTACAATTGCTTAAAAAATCAATGTTTTGGTTGTTGTTGTTGTGTTTAGTTTGATCAAAACAATCAATTAAAGATATCCATAGAATAGAAAGCCATTTATTATTGGTTTGACTTTTCTTTTTATTTTTTGATTCAAAACATCTGTCGTGATTGTTGTTATTATGGATCGAATTTGATCTAAATTCCAACTAGTGTATGATAATAATTTTATAGTTTATATATAAAAACAGGGACCAAAAAAGTGTTCGACACACAATGGTCGAGTACTGGCTACAGATAGATTTAATTGTCAGTCACAGACGGATAGAAGAAAAAAAAAGAAACAAATCTGTCGCTATTTTGTAAACACAGAATATTCTTCTCTCTGTGTCTTTTTTATGGAATGAAAAAATGAACGGCAAAAAAAATAACAATGGGCCAAAACAAGCAAATAATGATGATGATGATGATGATGATGATGGTAGTGTCAAGTGAATGGATTGGTCGTTTCAATGTTCTGTATTTTTTTTTTTTAATGTTTGATTTGAAAATATTTAGAGAATCTTCATTTTATGAAAATGAAAATGCAAACAACAGAATAGAACAGAATAGTAATAATAAAAATCTATAGCCTTGTATTGTGACAATTTTGTTTCTTTTTTTTCCCTACTTTCATTTGGTTATTGTCAATGATGATGGTGAGTTTTTTTTTTGTAGTGAGGAATTTTCGAAATTTGCTATTTGTCATAACATTATGCAATGTGAAATTTTATATTAGTTTTTTTGTTTGGAAAATTTTTTTTTTTTTTTTTTTTTTTTTCACTCTCATTCTTCATTTCCAATACCGGATATAAACAAGAGAGCTTAACAACAAAAAAGAGTGAGAGAGAGAGAGAGATGATGGAGAGAGAATCAGCAATGAAAGTCATGAATATACTTTTTCAATTATTTGGCAAACAAAATGATTCTTGTTGTGTTGTCCCATTGTTTTATTATTATTATTATTTGAGCTTTTCATTTTTTTTTTTTTTTTTTTTGTCGGAGATCATATATGACATTTTTTTGTTTTGTTTTGTTTTGTATATTGCTTCGATTGCATTATTACCACTCTTTTCAAATATTTTTTTTTTTTTTTTTTTGCCTATATTCGAAATCGAAATCATTTTTTTTTCATTTTACTCTTTATTTATCCACGCAAACAGACAAAATGGAAAGAGAGAGAGAGAGAGAGAGAAAAAAATGGAACATTCGGGAGAAAATGTAAAAAAAAAATATGTACAACATTCGACATTCATCGCCCATTTCAGACATTCTGATGTGGTGATGATGAATCGACGTCATTGTCAAATGCCGGATGATTGGTCGTTTGTTGATGATGGTGGCTCATACGGCTACCATATTTTTTTTTTCTAAACAAATGTCGGAACAATCCATTGATCAGTGTTTCACAAACCAATCGGCAACAACAATTGTTTTTCATCAAATTCACAAACCAATATTCTCATATAGAATATTTTGGTGATGTTGACAGATACAATCTTAATACCGAAACACATAGACACACACACACACACACACACACGCAATATTTGTACAACAAATAACAGTTTTGGAAATAGATCGATTTACTACAAAAATAAATAATACGTGCCATAGACAAAAACAAAAACTAAATCCTATGATTTTGTACTATTTGATGAAAATGGCTGCTTGAAATTGCATATATTTTTTCTAAACAAATGTCGGAACAATCCATTGATCAGTGTTTCACAAAACCAATCGGCAACAACAATTGTTTTTCATCAAATTCACAAACCAATATTCTCATATAGAATATTTTGGTGATGTTGACAGATACAATCTTAATACCGAAACACATAGACACACACACACACACACACACGCAATATTTGTACAACAAATAACAGTTTTGGAAATAGATCGATTTACTACAAAAATAAATAATACGTGCCATAGACAAAAACAAAAACTAAATCCTATGATTTTGTACTATTTGATGAAAATGGCTGCTTGAAATTGTCATTAAAGGTACATGGTACGAAGCATTATTGCACATACCAGAGACATATATATTCATGAAACTTGGAAAAATATCTGAAAAGTTTTTTTTTCTTATTATTTTAGCACATCAATTTATTCATTTATTTTTATGTCATCCATATATTTGATTGGTCGATTGTGTCGCGTATGGATTGTTGTTGTTGTTGGTGGTGGTGTTTCAATGGATTTTATTTTGCAAAAAGTTTGTATTTTCTCATCATTATGATCAATGATGCTCATCGATTTATGTCGATTTGGCTATTGGTTATGGAACATGCACACACACACACACACACACACACACACACAGATTGATGACAGTATTATATAACAATAGCAAAACAATAGGCAATCTTTAGCTATTTGAGAACAAAATTCTGCCATCATCATCATTAATTCTTTTTTTTCATTTTCAATAAACGATTGTAAACGATTCGAAGAGAAAAAAAAGTTATCCATTTTGATGGAAAAGATTTAAACTTTTTCACTTTCCCTCAATTTTCTGGCCATCATTATTTATAACAATGAATTTAGCTAAATGTTTAAAATTTTTTATTTTAAATTTAATGAAATGATTATATATATATATTTCATTATGTTCGTATTGAATCTAAAATGATGATGATCATCGTTGTTGTTGTCGTTGTCGTTGTCGTCATTGTCTTGATCAATCCAAATTCTCTAAATTTTCACATATTTGATGTCGGTACTTCAATAATAATAATGATAATAATCGATATATTACTAATGATGGGCTTTAGAAATAAAAAAAAGCACCAACTTGATCATATAATATAAAGGCATATTTTTTTGTTGTTGTTGTTGTTGCCCGGGATAGATTGTCAATCAATCAATTTGTTTGATGTGAAATGTTGGCCAAAACACACACATACACAGACACATTTATTTAATTTTTCAAAGTAAACGAAACTGTAATTGTTGATTACTGATAAAAAGAACAGTGGCAGTAAATTCATTCATTCATTTTTTTGCCACCCAACTTTTTAATGGATTTTTTTTCTCTCATCATCATCAACATTGAACGACGTTCAAATGTGTTTTGTGTAAAATGATTCAAATTTTTTTTCTCTCTCTCTCTACCAACCAGACAATTATTGTCAGAAAGGTGAAGTAAAATATAGAATTTGTTTTGACAATCGATGAACCAGAATAACTGGAATTGAATCAATTTTCAATTATATATTGTGTATATATATGTTTGGCTGTGTATATTGTTTTTTTTTCTATAGAATTCAAAATTGTGGTCTCACATTCTATGAATGTGTGTATGTTTTTGTGTGCAAATGAATCATTGTCAGTCAAGCAGATCAGACACGGCCATCATCACCGTCAAAAGTATTGGATCAAATGATTCATCAACAACAAGTCAACAAATTTTTAAAATGATGATAAGTGACAAGTTCAGAATTATCATCTTTAAAGTGATGAAAATCTACAAAGTAAGGAATCAAAATATACGACGACCACACACATGAACACACACACACACACATAGATTAGATTGTCATTCAATGACAAATTCTTTGACATTTTTTTTCCAAAACTAATTCTATCACAAATCACAAGAATATTTTTTTTTCATTGTACTTTTCAACTAAACCATTTCCACAGTCATTTGTCATATATGAATATATCATCAAATCAACTGAATCTAGCCAAGTTCACGAAAAAAAAATGTCATAAAAAAACACTGTACACACACAGTTCGATTCTAGTGTGATTGATGAAAATTTTTTTTTTTTTACACAACACTATTCTATTGAACAAATCAAATAATATGAATGTATTTTTCATACAATCTTTATGAGAAAAAAACAAAACAAAACAAAAAAAAGAGAAAAAAACTTTTGACTATTATAGTCTTTTAATTCTCTGTGATAAACAGGAATGGTATATTCCTGATAGCGATGGTTAGTTGTTCTGTTTTGTTTTCGTATCTGTTGTTTATGATGATCATTATACATTACACACACACACACACACACATTCACATACACAGGCGAAAATGACTGAAAACAATAATAAATTCTTTTTTATTTTGAAAAAAATTGAATATATTTCAATTTCTTCTTGTTGTTGTGTGTGTTGTGCATTTATTTTTTCCTATTTTTGAATTCGATAGGATAATAATGATCACATATATATATTAAATTCACGACCATCATCATCATCATCATCATCAACCTCATCATGTAGTCTATTGACTTGAATCGCATTATTCAAGCTTACCCATATATAATGAAAGAAAGAAAGAGTGAGAGAGAGAGAGAGAGAAACGGAAAATATTATAATCATTGCTATTTTATCGTATCGGATGATATATAAATATTCGGAAAGAGAAAGAGCTTCTGATATTTTTTTTTTTTTTTATTTTTTTTTTTTTTTTCGTTGTGAAACAGGAAAATGGATACCTGCTTTCAATACTTTTATTGTTGTTGTTCTTGTTATTATTGTTGCCACAGTAGAATATATAGAAAAAAAATAAAAAGTAGAGAATCATCATCATATTGCCTCATCGTCCCCTCCCCCCCAACCACCAGGAAAAAAAATTGAAAAAAAGGTATCCACTTAGTTTATTATTATTTGGTTGACAGTAAAATCATATTATCACGTCAATGTTTGTATGTGAATGTTTATGGGGACCATAAAAAAAATGAAAAAAAAAATTTTTTGATATTGAAAGATGAAAATATTCTCTTTTTTTCACTCTTCTCTTCATCATAGCAATAAGATAGCAAAGAAAAAAAAAAAAGAGAGAGAGAAAGAAATTCAATCGGAAATACATGCACATTTGCTACTCGATACAGTTATCTATGTATTTTTTTTATATGGGTATAGAATCAATGATATATTGTGTATATCACCATCATCACCATCATCACCATCATCATGTCAGCATCTCATTCATTATAATCGAATATCAACAGCATTCGTTAGTAATCTAATTTATGATGATGATGATGATGATGAGCACATACGACAACAATAATGTTTCGATACACCCACTCGATGTCAATCTAGTTAGTCAGTCAGTCGAATGGTGTTGTAAATATGTGTGTAGTAATTGACAGTTTGTATGTGTGTTTGGTGCGAATCTTTTTTCTTCTTCTTCTTCTTCTTTTTTTTAGATCGATAATTCATTCGCTCTTTAAATGATATTCGATTCAAAATTCATATTATCAATTTACTTTTAATGAATGAATGGTAAAAAAAAATGTCAACGAGAAATGAATGTCATTATAATGATAATGTTGAAAATATAATTAGTGGCCATTGGAACAAAAAAAAAGAGAATATAATGAATAAACTAAACTAAAGAGTGAAAAAAAATCTAAATTCAAAAACAGAATGACATTGTGATGCGGCTGCAATGCTAGCCGGACATTCGACGGTAGGAGAGAGAGAGAGAGAGAAGAATGAATCGCCGTTCAAACACGATAAGGTTTGAACGAAAAATTTTCTCTTTTCATTTCTGTTGGGCAGACAAAAACAATTGTTTTTTTTTTCATTTTATCATTCAGATAAGAGAAAATGGAATCGAAATGAATACCATTGGATACCATTTGATAGATTTTATTTTTTCTTTGCTTTTATTTTCATTTTTTTTTTTTTTTTACTTACGTTGCTGGCGTTGAATGTCCATATCCTGTTGAAGATCGATGGAATGGGAAATTGTAATGATGAGAAAAGATAGAAAAAAAATTCATTAGTAATAAATAAAAAAGAAAGAAAAAAAAGTTTTGCATCCAAAAAACAAAACAAAACAAAACAAAAATCATTCGTTATTTATTGATTTTTTTCCACATGAGATTGTCAATCATAATAATTCATTTTTTATTGTTGTTTTTCACATTCAAAGTTTGCTTAAATCAGTGAACATCAATGATGTAATGATAATAATAATGACCACATTGACGGTGTTAGCAAAAAGAAAAAAAAATACGAAAAAAATTTACAATCATTTTAAATGTCATTTCTTATCCGGTTTGATTATGGTTGAATGAATGTGAATGAAATTAAAAAAAAACACATACATTAAATGCTAATGAAAATCAATAGAATAAAAAAAAGAAGAAAATCTTATCACAATTATGCGTAATAAATCTACAAATTCGTGTGTGTGTGTCTACTCTATTTGAACCATATAAAACAACATGAATAGACATATGGCCAAATTTGATGGCCAAAAGTTTCAAACCATAAATTATCATCTTAGCTTAGCTTTTCAAATCCTTCATATTGTAACTTGGAAATATGAACGAGATGGTGTCAAGAAATATTTATTCAAATATATTTGATATGATATGAACTATTATTAAACCGGGACATATACTTTTTTTATGAATACGATTAATGGTAATAAATCATTTTGATAATAATTTAATCATAATTACATTATAGAACGTCATCATCATCATCCTAATAATAACCTAAATTCAATAGGAAAAATTTCATTTTTTTATTCTCTCTTTGATGAATTTGTTTCCATTTCAAAATGAATCATCTTTCAATAATAAAAATTCATATTTTTCATACGTTTTTAAATCGAATTTCAAACTAATAATTTCAACAAATTTTCACCGGTAAACTTTTCTATGTTTATTTTTCTTTCGATTATCACATTTATAGTGGATTTACAATTATTATTATTATTATTACTATTTCGAAGCCAAATACATACCCAAAAAAAAGAATGAATTCTCATTCGGTTCATTGACCTGGACATAGTGAGAATAATGATAATAATAATAATGATAATGATGACCACCATCATCAACACCATTATCATGACAATCAAATCACACCATTATTATCAAACACGGATTGAACTATGTCAATGGCTGCTGAAATAAATTTTTGAAAGGCGGTTATTTCGTTCAAATCATTCTTCAACATGATGATGAATGAATGAAAATAGAATTGAAATGGAAAATAATAATAATCAACAAATCATCTGAAGTAAAATTGTTTTTTCTGGTGTGTGTATGTGTGGAAAGAGGAAGAGAAAGATGATTTAGATTTGTAATATATATTTGGAAAAAAAATAATCTTGGATTTTCGAATGAAAAAAAAATGAACACACACACACACACACACACACATAATATTAGAGCAAAAATCTAGAATAAAATTACACTGGCCTTTTTCAAAAGAAAAAAAAATCAGCTAGACACGTAGGCAAATTACATTTAATGTCAATGATTGCGTGTCAACAACACACACACACACTTGGATAATATGACCAAAAGAAATGAAAAAAAAATTTGCTTCACTTCACTTTTTATATCATTGATGGTTATTTTATTTTATTTTATTTTTTAACTTTTAGTATTCTGGTACAGTTAACGGGCAATGGTGGCGTTGGATGAATCAATTAATTATTCATTATGAAAAACCATGAAACCACAACCATATATCTTTCTCTCTCTCTCTATGTGTGTGTGTGTGTGTGTGTGCTTGGTCGTTATCGGTAATTCATATTCAGATGGTGAATGTTATGATGAGGAAGAGAAAAAAAAACAGGTCCAAAAATATTACATAAAGTGAAAGAAAAAAAAAAGAAGAATAATGGATGAAATGTGACTGGTATGTATGTATGTGTGTGTGTGTGTGTTGGAGACATTTATAATGTACATGAGTGGACATTAATAATAATGAATTCCGAAACTACATTCATACACACACACACACACATATTGTGCAATTATTTCACTTGATCATCATCATCATCATCGTCTAGTGTAGCACCCATAATCAACAATCATCATACTATAGATTTCATTGAACAATTTCAGTGAAATAAAACAAAAAAACTCGAATATATATCAAACTATGCATACTATATTGTGGACACATCAAAAAAAAAACATGGTATCACAGATTTAACATGGCCATTTTTTTTCCTTAAATAATCACTATATGGAAAACAATCACGTTTCATGCACAAACAAACAAACAAACAAACAAACACACACATATAAAATAGTTTGGATGTTTGATTCTATGGATGTCTTGAATAGTAATAATAATTTTAAAAAATTAGTCAAAAAAAGGAGAAGAAGAAGAAGAAGAAATATCATTGCCACTTATGTTTGCATATGGATGATTATTATTATATTATTAATATGAAAATACTGATTTACTGATTTCTATACAAAAAAACTCGAATATTCATATTCTGTTAATCCATATAATTTATTTCGTGGTATTATTCTCTCTATGTGTGTGTGTGCGTGTGTCAAAAAATGTTGATTCATAATTGACATGAATATAAACACAATTTTTGTAGTGTAGCAAACATTTCAGGAGCTATTCCTTTACATTAGCTTCACTGCATTAAATCCATGTGTATGTGTGTCTGTCAGTTGATTTGCCTTTTATGATAATCACATTGACCAATATTGACTAGAAATAATTCAAACCAATCATAAATACGGTTTTTTCTAATAATATCCCTCTATGCTTAGTTTAGCTATATTCACCTTACGAAATGTGTTCAGTGTCGTATCGAACATCATTGTAAATGTAACACCACCACCCCCCGAAAAAAAATGGCCAAAACAAATTGATAAAAGCGAACAAATCAATTCATTTAGGCAATAGTTGGTGAAGAGAAAAAAAAATTTCAATAATAATGGGATCGATCACTTACCGATTGTAGTAAGAACAGTAGTGGCAAAATAGAAAGCACCAGAAAATTTCCATTGTATACCAGCTTTATGAGGCACACTTTTAATGACTACAGTGGTCAATATACGAAAATCTTCATCACTCATATTGTATTTACGTTTGAGCATATTTTCGAACGTTTGCAATGCAACACGTTGTTTATCTTCGTTTTCCGATTCAAATGCATCAAATATGGCCGCACCAATAAGAAGATAAGTAAATGTGCATATAATGAGCGATAATGTACGGATATTCTGCCGTTTCATGGTCAAAATAGCAACCGACTATATTTATAAAGCCGGCCGATCCTATCGCCCGATGCCGTACAAGAGTCCAATGAAAAGACTCTCTAAACGGCCTTGTCTTCGCCAGTGCTCGATTCCAGTTTTTATCAATGTTTGTACAGTGTTTGGCCAGTACGGTAGTTTCTGTCAATTTTCTTTTTTTTATATGTATATAGGATTTATTAATTCCACGATTTCATTGAGAAAAGAACATTTGATACATGAGAAAATATTCAATTCTCAGTTTATTCATTGATTTGTTTGAAATAAATTTTATGATCATTGGAAGACCAAAATGTATACCAACCACTGACGACCATTATTTGGAAAATCAAATTGATTGGACATGACATTCACACAAATATAAACACAGACACAGACACTATAGATGCCGGACACTAGAATAGATTGGTTTACAGTCAAATAAAAGTTTGATATACAATAACAATTGACGTGATAAATAATGATGAAAAAAAACCACGCTATTCACTGGTGGTGGTCACATTCTGATTCCACAGAAATTGATCATCAATTCAAACTGTTTTATGAAGAAAAAAAAACGAATGGTGATGACATCAAACATTGAACTGAAACATTAAACTTTGAGCGACAATTATTGATGATCAGATGAAAAGAATAAGGTGCCATTATGATAATTTGGCCTAGATATGGTTGTCACCAATCACATTTCGGTAGAAAAATCTATTACGTATTACGTGAAGTAATATTTAAAACAACAGAAAAAAAGCTCAGATTTTCGTTTGAAATTGCATTGAGAGTGATGATTATTGAAACATTATTCACAATATATGAATCGTTTTTTTGTCAAATGATCACGCCGGCTATATTTGCAATTAAGGCAACAACAGGACAGGTAGATAAATTAGATGGAAATGAAGCCCATGCAATTATCAGTGGTCACGACTATCATGACAAAAAAAAATGACTTTGATGGCGACATCATTTGATGTTGTGTTCATCGCCAATTAATAATTCATGTGAATTTATTGGTTGGCATGTATATATAACCAAGCTCGTTTGATTCGTTGAATTGGTTGTCATAGTCATCCATTGTCAGCCATTGTACGTCAATCCAAGCTCATTTTCTTTGATGATAATCAACAAGAATACTATTGCATAGAATTTGGCCGACGGATCTTGCTTTTTTTTTGTCTAAACGTTGATCTTTGAATTGTTGACTTTGTTTCTTTTGTTCACAGAAAAAAAAACCATTAACATTTATCAACATCGAATGGACAATGAAATTGAAAATTCTGTAGCAATCATACGATTCTTTTATTTGATCAAATTAATTCCGTTGCCATAATCTGGTTGACAAATGTTCACCTGTATAGAATATATATAGAATTGAAAGAATGTAAAGCAATGAATGAATGAATGAATAGCAAGACAAATACAATAGGCATATATATGTATATAGTTTATAAATAATTCAACAATTTTTTTTTCACAATAGCCAATGGCTATTTGGTATTGTTTTTTTTCGTGATTCAAATTCTATGTAATTTATTATGTTTTGTTATTATTTACCTATTCTTTTTTGTTCTGTTAGATGAATCAAATACATTATAAAATTAAAAATCATCTCATCAATACAAATAGAAACAAAAGTAGAAATCTACGCCCAAGAAATAAATTGAATTCTTAGATTTTTTTTCTCCATCATTCATATACAACAATGTCAATGTAACACTGACATATAGTTTCTATAGATGTTTTTGGACCAAAAGGAAATGAAGAAATGCTTCGTTTTAAGTGGTTTTAAATGGTTGCAAAACAGACCCAAATTGGAAGATGCGAGAAAGACACACACAACACAAAACCCACACCCACACACAAACACAAAAAAGAAAATGTTAGCATATAGTTTCTATAGATATTTTTTTTGGACAAAAAAAAGGAAGCCAGAAGAAATCCGCTCTCATTTTAAGTAGTTTTAAATAGTTTTTTTTTCTTTAAACTAGTTAGTAACTAACTTGAAGATATTAATTTTTTTTTTCTTCGCACTATTCGACACATTTGACGTAATAGAAAAAAAGTACTACAAATAATGATGATGACCATATATTCCGGTCTGTCTATATATTTATATTAATGTTTCTGTGTTTATTGTCACTTGAAAAAAAACGAATACTGGTCATCATGGATGGACAATATTCTGGTCACTCTGTATGACTGTGTGTGTGTCTGTTGTCCTTATCATCGTTCATTTATGAATGAATGATTGTATGGTACAATGTTTTCATGATTCTGACATCATCATCATCATTGTCGTATATAGATAACAACCATGTGAAATTGAAATAAACAAATCCTGGTTATATGATTTTTTTTTTTTGACTGTCACTGACCTCATTCGTTTTTTTTCCTTCACTTCACTTTATTTCAATCCACTAGTCCAAAATTTTTTTTTTTTTGCCAACCATTAACACTATGTTCACTATTCAACTATGTTGATAAAAGAACAAAGAACGAAAAAAAACTCAACCGGTTCCTTTTTTTCCGAAACAAATCTTGTGTCTATATGTGGATGACAAATGATAATCTCATCCATTTTATACTTGATTCAAAAGATGAGGTCATCCATACGCATGAAATGAAATGAAATGTCAACTTTTTTCTTTTCTCTTTCAGTTGTTTTTTTTTGTTTGTTATTGTTGTTTAGTAACTGCTCAAAACGGATTGACGTATATTAAATGATGATGATGATGATCAAATACTTGAGCCATTAAAATTAATTTACTTTCCATTTCCAAGCATATGTTTTTTTTCTACATATGACTAAAACCAGAGAAAAAAGTTTTTTTTTCATATTAGAAACTTGAATTTGGTTATTTTTATTGGTTCTGGTCTCATTATTATCATCATTATCATCAATAATCAGTTCTCTCTCTCTCTCTCTCTGTGTGTGTGTGTGTTTGAATTTTACTAGATGTAAACAACAAATTTTTTCCATCTATTTTGGCATAAAAATTGTTGATGCGTCTGGAATTGGCAAAATAAAAAAACTAAAACTTTTTGTATACATCTAAACATCAAACATAACATTGGAAAAAAGTCGATATATATACATTGATTAGATGATTGTCAATCAATTTGTTTGATTCACTTTTTTCAGAATCAACTATGAATCAACGTCGATAATCATGATTGATCAACAATAATACAACACAGCTCACAAAATAACAATGACATGTTGATAGTCAGGAGAAAAAAAAATCCAGTGTGACGTATAAAAAAAAGCATCAAAACCATTATGACCAAAAAAAAAAAAATTAGGTTGAAAATGATTGTACAGAATGAGAGATCAATATTCTGATCATGTAGCCCCTCTTTTTTTATTTTTTTTTTGTTGTTGTTACAATGTTTGTTATGTTTGTTTCCTCTCATGAATGAATGAAAAAAAAAATTGTCCAATACCAATAAGATGAGATCAAAATACGATTTACATGAGAAATGCATTTCAAATGAAATGTCCATCAAAATCTTGATTGTAAATGGTAAATACGAAAATAAAAAGACTCTTAAATTCTTTTAGCATAAAAAACAAAAACTAGTATCTTTCATCAATTTTAACGGTCACCACCAGTTAACTGTATATTCTACATATATTGAAGTTTCATACAAAAAGAAAAAAAAATTCTACATCAAACTCAACTTCTATTTTTTCATTCTTTTTTTTCGAATGTCTCAATAATGGATATATGTGACCAAAGTTTGAAAAGCTTGAATATTCAAATGATCGATTTGAATCGATTTGATTGCAGTGCTTGGTTCATATTCGCAACATCATTGAACAACCAATTGCACAATGAATGAATTTCTTAATACTAAAAAGATTTATTATTTAGCACTCAGATGTTACACAATATTTTAATACAGTAATTACTGTTATATGCATATGAATGAATGAATTTATATACTAATACTAATACTATGGTTGTAGCAACAAAAACAAAAATACTTATATTATATTGGACTTAATGCTTGATTATTATTATTTGGATGAAAATAAAGTTTTTTTTCTCTTCTTCTTTCTAGCTATTCAACTATAAAATGAACAACAACAACAACAAAAAAACTTTATTCCAAGGGGTGAGATCAAATGAATGATGTTGAAAGAAGTTTTTATTTTCAACACACACACACACACACACACACAGAAAAAAATGCCAAATCTTAAGTCCATTTATAAACACAAGTCCAGAATGACATACACACACACACACAAACACTAACGACCTACAGTCTAAATCAAAGGCTATTATAATGTGTAGGCCATTTTCAAGCTGATGATTTTTATTTTTTGAAGCTGTTTACAGTCGCCATTTGTATGTTTCTAATATTTACCCAAAGCAAGCATCATCATCATCATCATCATCAACATCAGTATTTAGACCGTAGTCATTTGAATATTCACATTTTGGTTTATTTTCTGGTTTTCTTGGATTTTTTTTTTTTGATATTTACTTCATAAATATTGTCGCAAATGCAAACGCTAAACAAACACAAACACACACACACACACACACACACACACACACACTATATATGTGTTTATGTGAATATAATATTGTGGCCAAAAAATGGCAAAAAGAAATGATGCGGCAATCAAGTTGGATTTAACCTCAAAATAAATTGATGACAGCCAATATGACAAATATTAGGTGCTAGTGATAAGCATTGGTTCTTTAGGGAGAGAAAAAAAAAGAGTGTCTAATGTTTAACTAAAAAAAAAAAAAAAAAAATGACAACACAACCACATATTCATTCACATATTGAATATTTATTATTCGATAATCATCAGAATGGACATTCATTCTTATGGAGATATGTTAAACAAGCTAAAACAATGAATGAAAACGTCATATATGACAAAAAAAAGACAAACGTTTTAAAGCTATGAATAAATGAAATAAATATGAATGATGATGTTGATGATGATGATTATTTTGAACAATAATTCTGTAAACATTTAGCACAGCAACAACAATGTTCTATTGATTCGTATGATACACAAGGGAAGCCACATTATCATATTAGTGATGATTACAATTATTATAAACTAAAGAGATTCTGTTATAATAACAATGGATGGATATGTCTTTTACGCTTGTCTAATTCAAACATGTCATATACACACACAAGATGATGATGATGATGATGAGACCAAAATTGACTTTTTTTTCATTCTTCCGTTATGTTTAGAAAAAAAAACATTATTATTGAATGACAATATATTCTTTTATGTTATAATTATATTTTCAATAAGGTGAATGTCTCAAGAGAGAGAGGAAGAGAGTGAGAGAAAGAGGGTACTCAATACCTATTGAAATCTGTTTTGCAAAAAAAAAAAAAAAAAAAGTTTCAAATCGAATACATATATATATATTGACAATTGGGTTTTGAAAAACCAATTTATTATGCATATAAACAACTTCATGGTCATGGCTAATTAATCACTAATTTTCTTTTTCTTTCTTTTCTACTCCATTTCCATCGGATGGTATATAAACCACTTCGCAATATAAGAATCTTAATTTTCACAACATAAATATTTTATCACAAAATCATTTTGACAAATAAAATCATTTTTTATGCAATTTTCTAAGATTACTCAAAAGATCTTTTTATCGCAAAAAGGAGGCGCCCCGGGTTTGGTAATCTGGAATGTTGAAGATTTTAAAATCAATTCACATAACCCGTTGGAAGAATTCGTTCCGTTACCCAAGTATCAAAGTCGTATTGGAAAGATCTGAAGAGAATTATCTCACCACGATAGTGAACGAAAATCCAGAAAAAGTGAGTAATTAGTGCTCAATTTCACATTTGATTCAATTTTTAATTCAAAAATTGAAATTTTGTAACATTGAATTGTTTTCTTGGTAAGTACTGAATTTTCTTACCACAATTTTCTCTTTTTCTTATTCATTTCAATTCAATTTAATTTGATTTATTCGTTTATTCATTTTCATCCAATCAAACATCCTGATTCAAATTATTTGAAACAAAATGCAAAACTTGCTGAGTTAATGGTATTGAGAGAAGAATTTGCGGGTCTAGGTTACCCAAATCTTCCTGGAATAGAAAGAGGAACAAGTTGTCATTTGTTAGTTTCAGAAATTAGTAAAGAATTAGATAGCAACATAACTGAAACAGTAGCTTCAGGAAGAATTGCATCGGTACCAATAAGTACAGAGACGAGGATAACAGATCAGCAGCTAGTCAGAGACTCAATCGCCTCGGCTCCACCAATTATCTTCTCATCTTTTGCTGGTCCAAGTCCTATTTATACCAGTAAACAAAGTGAAACAATATTAACAACAACAAAACCTATTATAACAAAACCAGCCAATATATTCAAATCAATTTTTAATCCATCAAAAATACCAATTTTTGCAAAAACTACTGCCCAATATCAATTTCAAAATCCTCCAGTTTATTCTGGTAAAATTCAAAATATTCAAACAATGGATTATGCAAATATAACTGAAGATGAACAACAACCATCAACATCTCATCAAGATCCTCTCATTTATCCATTACAAATTGAAGAAGATATTCAACCAGTGTCAAGATATGTTAAACCATTTAATTTGAAATGGGCAGACAAAGTACCAAAATTTGATGGTAGTTTCATTAATTTTCATTCATTTATCAATACATTTAATCATCATGTACATTCAACTGATTGTGATGATTCAGGAAAATTATTGATCCTTAGAGAAAAATTGGATCCTAAATCATTACAGTTGATTGCTGGTATTCGTGAACCAAATTATTTGATGGCATATAATATTATTGTAAGACATTATTCTGAATCATATCCTTTACAACAGAAATTAAAAGCAAAAGTTCAAAGTTTGCCAGAAATAAGATTTTGGTATCAAACCGAAGAAATGAGATCAAATTTAGCTGTGATCAAGGACGTATATAATGTTCTTGAGCAAAGTGAAAGTAATAGATCTTTTCTGGAAACGGATTTTTATTTCATCGTGGCTTCAAAATTTCCAAGAGATGCAATAAAGGATCTTATGCAAAAATTTGGCTCAAAATTAACAGTTAAACAATATCTTTTTAATTTGACCATGTATATTGAACAAAATGAACCCAATTAATTGTGACAAACCAATAATGGAGAAAAAAAGAATTCTCAGTAGTCAAAAAAGATGTTTAAGATGTTTTTCATCATTTCATATAATTAATCAATGTCCACTTAGATTTACATGTCGTCTTTGTAGAGGAAATCATAATACATCAATTTGTGAAAATAAAGAAAGATATCCGATTCATAATGTAAATCATATTAAGAAAAAGGAAGAAGGCCCAACTGAAATTGAAGTATTATTGAATGATTCACAAAAATCTGGACTTTATGATCCAGGTGCATCACATTCCTTTATAAATAAGACACAATGTAAAATTTAAAAAGCTCCATAGATCCCTATTGTTCAAAAGTTAAACAAGCAGTTTCTTATTCAAAAATCTCAGGAAAAACAAAAATAAAAGTTAAAGTTGGAAATATTGAAGAAGATCATATTTTCTTTGTTATTCCTGAAATAGAACAAATCATATTTGGTATTGATTTCATAGATAAATTCAAAATTATTCGATTACCATATGGAGAAATGTTTCAATATCTAGATGATGAATTAATTCCGTTAAAAACAAATGAAGAATTTAAAGAAAATGATGTTCCAACAGCAAAAGTGATACAGATGGAGAAAATAAAAGATTTACAACCACAAATTCAAGAGGTAATGCGGAATTATAGTGATGTGTTTACCGATTGTGCAGAAATTGGAAGAGTTCGTGATGATTATTGTTACATAAATTTAAAAAATAATGTACCGATAAATTTAAGACCATATCGGGTCTCACCTGTTGATCAACAAATAATCGATGAACAAATTGAAAAATTATTGGAAAAGAAATTAATCAAACCATCAGTATCAAATTATTCCTTTCCAATAGTTTTGGCTGATAAAAAAGATGAAGGAAAGAAGACAAGATTATGTGTTGATTATAGAAAACTAAATGAAGTAACAATTACAGAATCGTATCCCATGCCACTCATCCAAGATATTGAAAATAAATTGTATGGGTTTTGAAAACCATGAAATACATCGAAAAATGGTTGATCAATTAATTCATATGCAACAAGAAATAGATAGGTTACAGCACATTTCTTTAAACAGAGAAATTTCAACAATATTTTATTCGAAATTTCTACAAATTGAAACATTAATTAATGAAATTTTTATAACATCATTAGACAAACCAATATCAAAATTAATTTTTCAGTTATTCGAAAATTTTACAATATGCCCTAATTGTCCTTCAGATAATTGGTTTTTAGAAGAATGTCAAATTCGACCACATCGATCTCCATATGAAAGTATTTTAAGATTAAACATCAATGCAGTAAAAATTGATAAACAATATGATATAATACGTGCTGATCCATTTTATCTTCTTGTTGAGGATAAGTTAAATAAATCAAATTTATGCTTTTCTATGTACTCCGGAACAAGATATGCAATAATGAATAAAATCACTAAATGTGCAAGAAACATTATGTTTGATCCAATAGACGATCATCAGTCACCATTTATTTTTCATTCAGTTGATTGCAAGAATAATACCAATTTTTCAAAAGCAAAATGGAAGACAATTGAATGTAGATCAAAAGAACTGATAACACCAGAAGAAATTGTTCAAGTAAAAAACGATGAAAATTTTATTTATTTTTATTGTTTTAATCAAAACATCACTATTCAAGGCTTGACATATCCCTGTAAAAATCAAATTTATAAAATAAAACGTGGACAAAGTTTAACAATAAATCAACAAACCGTATCATTTACAAAAATGAAGATTGATTTACATCATCATATTCATGATGATTTAAGCGAAATACTAAATGTTCAAACATTTGATACATTTGGTTCTTCCATCAATTTACAAGATTTATCCACTATGGTTGAAAAAGAAGATCAATTAATTAACAAAATCATTTATTCATACTTACAAACATATTATATTCATTTAATTGTAATAATATCAATCATATTATTGTTAATATTCATAACCTTATTCTATTGTCAATATAATAAGACCAAAAATTACAAAAAAATTATTCTCGAACAATATCGATTAGCCGCACTTCAATCAAGTCACACATAAAAAAAAAATTGAAAATTATTGATAATATTTTATATTTTATATGAAAAATCATGTACTTTATGAATAACTTCTTATGTTTACTCAAATAATGTTAATTTTTCATACTCACACATACACACATATAAAAAAAAAAAAAAAAAAAAAAATGACTCATCTAAACAATCATTTTCCGTTTTATACACAAAATTTTCTTTGTTTTGTTTTGTTCAAGTTCTACGTCGTATTTTTGACGTTTACCTTTGAAAAAATGTTGACGAAACAAAATATTTTTCTTTTCTTTTTGATGATGATTATAATATTATTCATCACATCATCATCAATGGCTTTATTTTCATTATCATATCCATTATCAATTTCATCATCAATTTCATCATCAATTTCATCATCATCAACTTCGAATTCAAAAATTTATTTCAAAGTTTTTCTTAAAAATCCTGTCGATTTTGACCATGAATTTATCGAAGATACCATTGAATGGTCAATCATAAAAAAATTTAATGAAGATGTGATTCAAAAATTGAAACAAAATTGTGTTCATACTAAAATACCGGACAATAAACAAATGAATCAAATAATTTCGATCTCTGGAATTTATGGAGAGAATTTTGAACATGAACCATCGATCAATGAACGGAATAAAATTCGGATGATTGCTAAGAAAATCTTTAATGATTTAATGTCACATAATGAAATTTATCGTGAAAATGGATCTGATCAAAGAATTAAATTGTATTTTGATTCTATTATTGATAACATCAATAAATTGATCACAAAAGATTTCGATTTTGAGCGATGGATTGAAATTTTTCTAAGATGCTCAAATTGTCCAAGAAACTTAGGAAAGATGACATGTTATTTCTTCTCCCCGTCTGAAATTTATATTTCGGCTAATCAAGAATCAAACGAAAAGGATGAATCACAAAATAATCAACAATATGACGATGATGATGATCGAACAAAACAACAACAAAATCCAAAATTTTCAAATAATGATGAAGATCAAATTGAAAATTATAATAATATGATTATGATATTTGAAAATTTCAAAAATGAAATTAATTATCAAATACAGAAGAATTTCGAAAAATTTTCAATTTATTATGCATATACTAACTGGCTAATATAAGAATCTTATTATTATCATCATTACAGCCAAGTACTCAAAAGGCAAAAAGGAGAGAATAAATATTTGAAAAAAAAATGAACGAAAATCCAGAAAATTAGTGCTCGATTACAATCCGATTTCCGTTCGTTTATTCATTTTCATCCAATCGATTCAAATTGGATGCCATGTATACATAGCAAAAACACACACACACGCACACACACATGTGCACATTAATTTTCTTCACATCAAAATTGTTTAGTTTCGTTTGTTCAATTTTCGGTTATTGAAGGTTGGCAATTTGCCAATGAGTACATTTTTTTTTTTTTTTGAAAGAAAAAGAAAACATGTATTACCATTCATTGTGTTATGTCAGCTTATTTGGGTAGATATATAGTAGAATATAGTAGAATTTAATTTGAGAATGTGAAGACAGATAAAAATAAATATATTTATTATTATTCAATGGCAAATGTAATTTATGAATGACTTTGTTTTGTGAAGAACCGGAATGATTAATAGTCGATTTGATATGATCAATGAATGCTATTGTTCGTTCAACAACAACAACAACAACAACAACAACATTCAATTAGCTGTTTTAATTCGACAGTTTATTTGATCAAAACGTATTTTTTTTTGGTATGGCCAAAAATCAGATTTAGCCAACTAACGTGTGTGTGTGTGTGTGTGTGTGTGTGTGTGTGTGTGTATATATTTGAGTTTAAGTTTAAGTTTTCCTTAATAATAAAAACAATCTACACATAATTTATTTAAGACAATGAATGATTGTCGTCGATCATTTTGTTGTCGATTGCCAATGAAATATGATCATCATCATCATCATCACTGCCATCATCTACAAAGTCAATGTTTGAATTGATTGTCATTATAAATTCTGTTCCAAGTACAGGTTTCAGATTGCATTTTTATCGTATCACATACTCACTGTTTATTGTGGTTTCCATCCTTTGATGGTTTTTAATGTAAACTTGATTTAAATGTGATTCAATTTTTAATAAAAGGAAGAAAGCCATATAGAGAGAGTTTGTTAGCATAACTGATTTTGTAGTTATAAACCACACAGAAAAAAAAACCAATTTCCTTTATTGACAAATTTTTTTTTTGTTCCTTCACCATCATCAATATTGACGACGATCGTGTTTCGAACTCAAATTAAAAAAAAAGAGCCCGGCCAAATGACCGACAAACAACATCATCATTAATGATTCTTTCTCGCTCTCTCTCTCTCTCTCTGTGTGTGTGTGTGTATATGTATGTTTACAATGGAGAAAAATGAACATAATGTATGAATGAATGAATTGTTGGAACAAATCAAATCTACATTAAGTACACACACTAGCTGTTTGTCTTATGTTTATGCAGTCTTAAATCATTGTTGTTGGATATCTAAGCAATCTAAATCTCTAGCAATGTGTGTATGTGTTTATGTGTGTGTGTGTGTGTGTGTGTAGATTGTTTCAACATCATAAATCATGTACAAATGGAACGAATTTGGAAACTATAGTTATATTGGAACTATGGTTCCTATTTGTGTGCCTTTATCCATTCTGCATTAATAATATGACCAAAAAAAAACGAAGAAAAAAAAATGACAGTAGCTTCTACATGTACATACATACAAAAAGGATTGATGCACTTTTTTTTCTTTTTGTTGTTGTTGTCTAGTTACTATATTATTAATACGAATTATTATGTAAGCTTTTGAGTTTAAGATTTGATTCGTTTCATATATATATGATAAGAATTACACTAATCCATTCAATCGCATTACAAAACTATTGAATGATGATTTCGAAACACTGATTATTATTATTATGATTTTGGCCATCTATAATGATCATCATTGCTGAAATGATCTGGTAACCCTAATTTCCGGTCATATTCTATCATCTATCCACTACTAAAACTATCGAAAGAAAAAAAAATTGCTACACACCTGGTTAAAATTACAGTAAAACTATGGAAAAAGAAAACTTTTTTTTTCCACATTAAAACGTTGTTATTATTATCATTGCTTTAAAATGAGATTAAAAATCTCTCATTTGAATAATTTTCGTTCAAATTGTTTTCACAAATGTGTGTGTGTGTGTGTGTGTGTGTGTGTGTGGCATGTTAGTCATGAAGTGAATTCAATTCTCTCTTTAGCAGAAAAAAAACCCAAACTTTGATTAACTTGCAATTTTCAAAAAAAAAAAAAAATTCCAGAGAAAAAACTTTTTACAACAAAAACCATCATCATTTGGAAATTGAATTGTAAATTGCATATAACATATATATAGCAAAATGGTTAACAGTATTTATATTGTATGCACTAAATTATTGCAATGCCTCAATGTCCAGTTTTTATATTTTTCATCAACAACAAAATCAATATAGCAAAATATAGTAATGAATGAAAATTCGATACAAAATTCCAATTTTGCATTCAATGCTTGAATGTTTTTAGATTGTGTGTGTGTATGTGTGTTTTTCTACCGATTTTTTTTTCTTCTTCACTGCATCATGATAATCTGCAAATTGAAAAAACTAACACACATGCACAGTGAGAAACATATAAACACAGCGTGTGTGTGTTAGTTTATGGCAACAGCAGCTTATCATATCATTTGATTATTATTATTATTATTATTACGAACAAAATAATAAATATAATAATATACACAGCATATAGACCGAAATACAAACAATAATATATATATAGATATAGATAGATTGAAAGATTGAAAAACCAAATATACATTTGGGCATCATGGAGTAAATATTACAAAAACATGACACATACACACATACACACACAAAAGTTGTGCAAAAAAAAAATTCTGTAAAAGCCTATGAGACCAACATGATTGTCGAATATATACGAAATCAAGAATCTGGCAATAATAATAATAATAATAATAAATTCTATATATACGACTAAATGTGGCTAAAAATAGTGTTTACAACCTTATTGAATAGAATGTCGATCATGATGATGATGATGATAATCTGCATCAAATGTATGATTCAAAAACATCAATGAATAGAATGGATGGTTGAATGTTAAGGATAATAAATTTTTTTTTCATTCTTTCTTTCTTTCTTTCTAATAGATCTAGTAATATAATCATCATTGTCATTATTGACGACAATGAAAAAAACACAACACATATGATGATATATGCCAATGAAATGAAAAATGAATACCATAGACACACATAGGGGCACATATTTTACGACCACAATTGATGAATGAATGAATGGATGGATAAAATGCATCAAAATAGATTGATGGCTTTCCACACACACAGACAAACATTACGTCAATAATGAAACATTTAAATACGTTATATATTCATTTCATATGGAATCCAATTTTTATTTTTTGATCATCGATCCACACACACACACACACACACACGCAAATAAAATTGTATCAATTTTAACACCCGATTATTTCTTTTTTTTTCTTTCTCGAATTTAGTTCAAATTCATTGGCAAACAACAATGAAAACACAAAACATTTTTGGCTTTGTTCATTCATTAGGTTCAGAAAAAAACTTTTTGTCTGTTAATTGATGCTTCAATTCTATATCTAAATCAATTTCGACTTGAATCTTAGATATATCAATGTGTGTGTGGCCAGATCTAGATATCTGTAATCAAAAGACAAAAAAAAGATTGGAATTCTCACTTCCAAACACTACCATCATTACCAACACAACACTAGCCATCTTGATCTTGGTATTGTCAAAACCAAATAGATTCCGTATACATACAAAGACATTGAAAGATCTGGTTTTATTCCATAGTAATTGATCCATAGTGTTTGGGTGGCCAATTGACAATGTGTTGTCCAATTTTTACAGTGAAACTCTTTGACAATAGCCAA